CCTAACCCTAACCCTAACCCTAACCCTAACCCTAACCCTAACCCTAACCCTAACCCTAACCCTAACCCTAACCCTAAATCCCTAAATCCCTAAATCCCTAAATCCCTAAATCCCTAAATCCCTAAATCCCTAAATCCCTAAATCCCTAAATCCCTAAAGAGCCTAACCTAGCTCTCATAGCCCTACCTACCCGAGAGGGAGGCCTAGGAATTCCTTTACATAAGGAACTAGCCCCGCAGCTATACCGGGCAGCCAAAGAAGCCTCTCAGCCTACCCTAGACAGGATCAGGGCTAGAGCCACAGGGGATCCTCCCCCTAGAGCCCCTATAGCCCCTAGGGGACCTACTGCTAAAGAGGTCCTTATAGAGGCTAATAAGGTCAGGCTAGAGGCCTTTCTAGAGGACCTCCCTACCTTATATAAGCAGGCTAGGCTTGAAAATGCTAGCTATCTAGGCCGTAAGTGGCTTGGAGTCTTGCCTACGAAGAAAAACCTATCCTTTGCAGATTCCGAGATCACTGAAGCCCTCAGAAGCCGGCTCTTTTACCCTGTTAAACCCCCTAGCCTACCGAAAGTTACAGGACCTCATAGGGCCTATAGCAGCGGCACAGCTTGATTCCTCTATCGGTCTTGCCTTAACGAGGACCCGAGCTATCTCAGCAGCCTCTATTAGCAGGGAAGCCCCTAGAGGGATAGCTAGTTCCCTCTGGAATCCCTCTAGAAGGGACTAGTAAGGCTAGTCTTAGTTTTATTCTTTCCTATAAGCTATTACCTATAATAGCTATTTATCCCCTATAATTTCCTTTATTTTTCTTATTTTCTTACTCTCTTATCTCCCTTTCCTTTTTTCTCTTTATTTTATTTTATTACTTTACCTTATTCCTTTTTCTTATTCCTTTTCCTTATTCCTTTTCCTTATTCCTTTTCTTATAGCTAGCTTTATTTTCCTTATTTTCTCTCTTTTTTCTATACCTTATAGCTATTATATCCTTATCTCTTTTCCTTTTCCTTATATCTCCGTTATAGCTATAGTTATTTCCTTTCCTTTTACTGTATATAGTCCCTAGAAAAGCAACTAGGCAGATAGCTTAGATAGTTAATACCACCCTAATCTAACCCTAGGCTGCAGAAGAAAAACGACGAAAATACAGGACCCTAGGGGCCTTCTTTCAGCCTATTATTATCTCGGCAGGGGGCCTCATGGAGCTCGAGACCGCCAAGACCTACCGAAAGTTACAGGACCTTATAGGGCCTATAGCAGCGGCACAGCTTGATTCCTCTATCGGTCTTGCCCTTACAAGGACCCGGGCTATCTCAGCGGCCTCTATTAGCAGGGAAGCTCCTAGAGGGATAGCTAGTTCCCTCTGGAATCCCTCTAGAAGGGACCCTTAAGGCTAATCTTAGCCTTATTCTTTCCTATAAGCTATTATCTATAATAGCTACCTTTTCCTTATAACTTTCCTTATTTTCCTATTACTTTTATTTTTATTTCCTTATTCTCTTACCTCTTTTTCCTTTTATCTTCTTACCTTATCTTATTACTTTATTTTATTCCCTTTACTTATTCCCTTTACTTTCTTTACCTATAGCTAGCTTTATTTTCTTCCTTTTTTCTATACCTTATAGCAGTTATAGCTTTATCTTCTTTACCTTTCCTTATATATTTCCTTATAGCTATAGTTATTTCCTTTCCTTATACTATATATAGTCCCTAGAAAAGCAACTAGGCAGATAGCTTAGATAGTTAATACCACCCTAATCTAACCCTAACAATAAGGCAGTGGAAAACTTTGAAAGTAATGATCTTTCGCAAACTGTTACCGAAGAACTATTTGTCAAGCTTAGAGTTCAATAAGCAACATAAGACTATGAATTTGTGGCTCTAAGAGGCTGTGGCCTGGTCCTGATTAAGAGACCATCATGCCTCACCTCAAACATCGACTTGTTCAATTAAACATGGTCATTTACAAAATCTATACCCTCTAATGCCTGTACGTTCCTTGCTCAATTATATTTTCCCCAACTCTATAGACTGAGATTCTGCCCTGCCCTGCCCTTGTCACCAACATTTACCCGCAGAGGGGACTCAGCATTACCGTTCTCTAAACGATAGTTATGGGAGGGAGATTAGTGCAAAGCTTCTTAAGATGAAAGACGTTCGTCTTGCTGTTCAGAGTGCGTATTAATCTCCACTTACCCTCTTCTGGCGTCAACAAAAACGCCACGCTGTTGGTACTGATAGCACGGTTATGATTAGCACGCGTCTTGTCAGAAGTTGATTTACTCACCGTCTCTTTTCATACGTCCAGTCCCATTCTGCACAGTAGATCCTGACAGCAGAGTCGAGGACTATGCGGTTGTACTTGGCCCACTCTTCAGCTAGAGTGACATCTGGATCATCGGGGCCCTTGACGACTGTATACCATTTGTCAAAGCGATCTAGCCGGTCATAAACACCCTTGAAAGTATTGCACCACATGCCCCAGATGGTATCGTCGTTCATGTAGCTGAACGTGAGGCCTGTGAGAAATTAGTTAATGAGTATCAAGTACTGGAAATGAAGGTGAATTAATGCTTACCTATCTCCTTAACAGTCATCCACTGCTCGTCAGTACTCAGACCAGTGTACACTCCTGGGGAGTAGGAGTTGGCTAGGTCGAAGATCTACTATGATTAGTGATGCGCCTTGGAGTTCAAAGAAAAATAGGGTCTTACATTCTCCTTCTTTCGGTTCAGTCTCTCCTGCAAGATTGCGAGACGGTCCTTGTGATGATTATTGCCGAGCTCAGTATAGAGTGTGCCGAACAGGGGATATGCCTCCCCTGGATTCGAAGGATTGGTCCAAGGAAAGTCGACACTATCCACGTTCATGATCTAATCCTCGACCCAGTCACAGTTAACCTTCCCTGTTGTAGTTCCTGGAGATGGACTTTGCCTTTGGATTTGGCCATGAGTGAGCCACTCGGTAAAGAATTAACCTAGGTTCTGTCCCTCGTAAACATGCTCCGCTGAAAAAAGGCACGAAATGTCAGCATTCCCGTGATCGAACACGTTTGTGTGATAGACTTACTTTGATAAGCCGATGGAAGGAAAACGCCGTTGCCCACATAGGTCTGATCGCGAGTACGTTTAGCCCCGATACTCCAGTCAACACAGTCGGCTGAGCTGTTTCCCCAGTAGCGAGAAATCGAGTCGTAAATACCGCCATCCACTCCGTCCCATACCTTCATCACATCCTTGGGGAACTGCGGGAACTTGTATTAAGGCGAACCCCTCTTGTTGGGGGCTTCATACAGCTTGCCACAAACATAGACATCCTTCCAGGCATCTTTCACGACACCTGCACGAGCGTGCAAATCGTTCAAGTGATCAACAGACTCACCCCCAACTTTTTTCTCGGGGAGGGCGTCACCTTCCATCTGGTCCCGTTTCAAGATTGCATTGGGACCAGGCCAATCTTCTTCATCCCTGTCATCCTCAGAGGTGCACTTTGAACATGGTGGCATATCAGCTCGAGCTCTCCATTTGCATTGCATGCAAACACAGCCGCAGCAGTTTCTCGTCTCCTCGACATCAAGACATGAGTTGCATCGTCCGTTGTCGCAGTTAATCTCACCAAGACGTTGATCAAATCTCTCTTCAACAAACAGATCGGCGCCGTAGCGAAGTGCATCGTTTGGTCTCAGGCGCATAGAGCCAAAGTTGTCTTTGGGATTGCTTGGCTGCCCTCTCTTGTTGAGTTTGATTGACGGTATGGCAGCGGACTGGTCTCGTGGCGAAGGGAACTCCATAGTCGCTCGCTTGCTCTTGGTCGAGTAACATTGTTCGTGGTTGGGAGTTGGCTAAGCCTGTCAGTTAGAAGAAGACACTTATGTCCGAAAAGTGGTAACGTACGTTATCGTCAAAGAGTATGGCCATCCCATCCACACCTTCCCAGCCAAGAAACTCTCTTGTTCATCTGTCAGCATAGGTTTCTGAAAGTCACTCTCAGTGTCGGATTGTACTCACTTCCCGTCAGCCTCTTGTCTGAGGATGTTTCTAAATACCGTTAGAAAATACTCGACCCGAGTTCCAGAGCAGAGATGACGTACTTTACCGAAGCATGAGGGCAGACTTGGTCGTCCTTGGCTGGTGGGATCTCCCATGAGGCATAGGTTTGACTGGTGACAAGTAACTGTTTTCAACTTAGCTAACAGATGATGGAAAGGAGAAAATCAATAACGGAAAACTCACGGATGTAGACTTGGACATCTTAGTTGGACCCTGACCTTGTATAAGAGGTAATATGCCAAAGTGCAGGTCAAGCCTAAAGGCGAGATAATATCCGATTTATATGGTGCTCCCATTTCTGCCTCCGTCTCCGTAAAGAATATCATCGTCAAATACCTCGATTTCTGTGTCCTTGTGGTGCTTTCTGATACTGTCTATCTCGTCTGGGAATAGAATATGGGGAAAGGTGGCTGGAAAGTCGCCTAAGTCGGTCTTAATACGTGTAGTTAGACGCCCGTCTAATGTCGCTGCATGGTTTGGTCTAGAGGATGGGCCCTCATCCATATAAGACGTGAACAACACGGTTTGGCGGTTGATGAAAGGAGTGAGGCTCATGTAACCCCAGAAAGATCCAGCACTGATCGTGTGTCCTTTCAAGGCTTTATAATTAATCTCGCTTTTCGCAGGGTTGCCCTTTTTGGCCATGTTGATATCAAGATAACCCATTCCACCAATTCCAAAGGTCAAATCTGTCTCGCCAGTGACTTTGATGAACCTATTGGCTTCCTTGACGTTAACATTCAAAGAGTCTCTGGCTGAGGTTGCCTGCGGTAATGTATAAGTAAGATAGAATTAGGAATGGAGAGAACCCGAGGAATACTTACAATGACTGTAGCTGCGTAGTATATGTCTGCGTCGACCTTACCCTTGATGAAACCTGCGATACCTTCACCATAGTCCTTATCCCCTATCGGATAATTGTCGGCGGCTTGCCAAAAGACTGGCGTACTCAAATCCTTCTGGATCTTGAGAGAGTTCTCGCCAGAACCATATTTGAACTTGTCTCCTTTTTCGAAAGTTCTCTTCTAGTTAAGGTTGAGAAACGAAAAGTATCGGCGCTCCAGATCGCGCCTCTGAACTCCTGGAGAATCGACAAGACCATCCCAGTATCCTTTGACGTTTGTCATATCCATTCGTATGGCGACTTTGGCGTCGGCTCGCCGCTCGTGTTTATTGAAGTCGAAGGAGAACTCGTATATCGGGGACGTGGGGGTATGCCGCTTGACTAGGTGGTCTGGCATGGTTTGGTCTTGGGAAGATAGATGTCAGATAAGTGTGATCAAGAAAAAGGGAGACGAAATGGGAAGTATCTCACCTTCAGCAAGCTCTAGTGCGATTGCTCGAGCAAATGAATTTGGTGCACAGTCGTCTGGCATTTCTACCAGGGTGCCTTCAACACCACGCTCCCTAACCCTAAAGCAGCCATCAACATCCTGACTTGTGCAGACGACTCTAGCTTTCTGAGTTTGATTGCTGGGTTGGTCGAGCACGTTGTCGGGACAGTCGAGGAAAACAAAAGGATCCGGCCGGCCATCTCTTGCCTTCAGCTGGGTAAGTCCATGAGACTCCCTAACAGCAAGAAGAAAGCCGAATCCCGAGTTCGCAGGGTCCACCTCGCCAGACTCGGAGCCAGCTCCAAAGGTGATAAGACCGTACTGCGGGTCAGAAGTGTCGGATGGAATGTCCTCCTTGGGGAAGAGCCTCTTGAGATCGACTAGGTTGAAGTCGCCGCCTGAGGAATGTCTCCTGGGTGTACTGCCTGTGACGGCGGTCAAAGCAGATAGCGTGCTATCGTCCTGGTCGATGGCCCATACCATCAATCCTGAGAGCCCCATCTTATTCGCGTAATCAATCTTGGCTTAGAAGGTCTCTGGATCGTCGTAACTTGGGAATGGATTAGACTCTTTCCGCATTATCAGATATAGGCGATACTCACGAAATCCAATTGTTGTCACCGTAGACAAGGTACCGGACAGCAGCCGTTCTGTCATGATATGAAGTCGCACCAGTCTTGGAAATGATGTTTTGGATCTCTGTATAAACGGGTGAGCATACAGGAAGGGGTAACTAACTTGGAAGCATTGTCGCTCACCACGATAGGACAAGATACCAGCAGTATCGGTACAGGGGCCCTTGTCTCCAGGTCCCTTGAAACGACAGCCAGGCTTCCAGCATAAGGGCGAATCGAGTTTGAAAGACCTGCCGTAAAAGCCCAACCCAAGGACGATGTTCTTTGGATCGACTCCAACGCGCCAAAACTAGATGCAGTATATGGATTAGCAACAAAAGGTTGGTGTGGTGGTTGAGTTCAAAAAACTCACCAAGTCTAACGCCAGGTCAATCTCGGTTAAGTTGCTATATGCCGAGACCTGGCTTCCGATGGGATTGTCGCTATCCCAAGTGCCATGCAGATCATAGGACATGAGGTTGATCCAGTCGACATATGGTTCCATAGCCTTCGGGTCAAAGTGGCGAAGGTACCAATAAGAGGTCGGGGCAGTATAAGTGACGATATAGTCACGACCACTTGCTTTAATCGCAGCTTGAAGCTCTTTGACAAGTGACACAAAGTTGGCACCATCTTGACCCGAGCCACCCCGATCTTTTGCACCAGGGTATTCCCAGTCAAAGTCGACGCCCTCGTAGCCATACTCATCTAGGAACCCCAAGAGGTTTTTAATGAAAGTGGCGCGATTGGAGCTGGTAGAAGCGAGAGACGGGAAAACATCTTGCCACGGTCCTGGGTCGCTAAAGGTCCAACCGCCGAGAGCAATGATGATTTTGAGGTCTGGATTCTTAGCTTTGAGATTCCCCACGTTCTTGTAGAGGTCTGCAGCGATTCCATCCATGTTTGTGATTCGAAACTCTTTATCAATATAACCAAAGGCAATATTGAGGTGGGTCAACTGATCAACAGGAATCTCTCCGAGAGTCATGGTACCGCAAGCGTGATCGGTATTCCAACCTTCCCAATATCCAATTATCCTCTGCCGAGCATCAGACTTTGAAACGGACGGCTTGGGTTGATCACAGTTGGACTGGCAACCTTTGGCACAGAAGTCCTTGGTAGTACCACAGAAGCCATACTGTGAACAGCAGACATTCAGAGGACATTCTTGGCCAGGTTTCTTGGCGTAATTGCCGCACTCTGCTTTGGCATCGCAGTTCGACTGGCAGCCTTCGCCACAATACTTGGGCTCATAGCCACACCATCCATCGGGCCCGCAGCAAGCTTCGTTGGAACATGGCTTATCGGGACCGCAAGTATAGTCGTCTTGGCCCTGGGTAGAAGCATTGGAGGTGGCACGAAATGTAAGTGCTGCTGGTATTTGTACCTCTTCTGCCACGCTCCCCAAGGATCTAATTCGCTGGCCTTGATTGGCAGGCTCTCGAGCCTGTCGATGGAGGTTTGCGTGGTGGTGCAAATGAGATGCAGTAACATGGGTTGTGAAAAGGGACGGAATGAGCAGTGCACAGGTAAAGAGTGACATGACTGCCCTCTTGGAGTGAACCATGATGATAGGCCGGCCACCAAAGGGACAGAGCAGATTTCGTCAAAGAGACAAAGACTCTACAAAGACAGAATATAATAACCAAGGTAAGTGAAGAAAGATTGAAACTTGGATGACATGACATGCAACAGCCACATAATTATCTATCTGTATGAGAACTCTTGAATTACGCTCTCAGATATCATATCTGCTCATCTGAGCCGAGATTCCATGACACTTTCAGCGTCTTGTGGGGAGCAAATTTGGACCGAGTCAGGTAGCATCCGTTAATCTTAAGAGTCAAAAGTATGGTCTGATTATGCGTGACAAGATCCACTAGAATCCTTCCCACTCTTGAACCTAGACCCGGTTAGATGCGGGCTGTATCCAACCGAGTGATTCGGTTTCATGGATCTGCATGATGGGCTGTTGGTTGTGTTCACTAAATTACCCTGTAAAGTCTCTGAAAAGCTCAAGATCAGTTCAGTGGAACCTGTCAATTACGTATAAGCGATCCTTTGTTACGGTGGAATTATGATTGGGCTCGGTGTTTCGGTTTGAATGCTCAGGGTCTAGACTAAGAAGACACTAACAACCAACAGCATGTGCTAGCAATCATGTTCAACCAACAACCACAAAAGCGACCAATGAGTGATCTTGTAGACACCTGTTGGCTCTAGAATCAAGGGCTGAAACCAGGTACCTACTCCACAAGGCCTAGGCCTAGGGGGCATCAGGAGCTAATTAAGTCTAGTCTAGTAGATCATCGGCTTCAGTCGCTGCAGATCCCGAAATACGATACGACGTGCAGCTGAAGGAAGCCGTTAAATGTCGCACTCATACTCATGAGGCAGCACGAGTCTATCGTTGGTTCGGTCAGGTTGAGGCAACAGACCTAGTCCGAGATGTGCAGTCACCGAGATTACACTTGAAATATTTTCATGCATGCCAGTCTTTGGCCTTTTTCGATTTAGCTTGTTTCAAGACCATCTGCTTCGAAAACAAGTCCTGTATGTAGATACATGCCCTTCATGTGACCCTGTCTATCTTGATACTTTTTTCTTTGCTCCATAGCAATTTCTCTTATTACCCAGTGTATATATGACAGTCTTGTCTTGTGGACTACGCTAGAGTCTACAACGCACATATTGTGACCATGTTACTCTACTCTTTTCTATTATTGCTTATTGCTAGGTTGCACGCCGTAGTGGCTGGATCCCTGGTCGAGAGGTCTTCTCAATCGGTGACATGCACTGATTACACAATCCAAGATGGCGACACTTGCTTGAAAGTCGCAAAGAATAACAAGGCAACCTATGCACAAATTGTTTCTTGGAACCACAATGTTGCTTCTCTTTGCTCGTAAGAAACTTCTTTTCTTCTCTTTTCTTTTCCGGGCAGTCACTTAACAAAGATTATAGCAAAATGAAGTCTCTCAAAGGAACCAAGATTTGCGTAAGCAATCCTTCAGGTAACTTTGCTATCCCTACCAATACCAAGGGTGACACTTCTGTCGCCACCACTGCAGCGTAATGCCGGCTCCTGAACAAAAAAAGGCCTCTGCCGGATGGATCACTTGCTAACATTACCGTGCAGGCCAATTCCATCCAAGGTACCTAATGACACGAACAAGAATTGTAGACAATACGCGGTGGTGAAGGAGGGTGAAGACTGCTCCAACCTTCTGGCTGCTTCGGCTATTACTATGGACGACTTGTAAGATGATTCGCAAACGGGCTGAGGAGACTTCTACTTACCGATATGTTGTTGCAGCTTGGTTCTTAATCCACAAGTCTGGAGAAATTGCACCAACCTCTGGCTGGACTATAGCTACTGCGTGAAACCTGTCGGTGCCATCTCGACCTATCCTGGATATGGAGGAACAGCTGCCCTAAGTGCCACCTCGCGACCTTTCAAGAAGACAGAGTCAACCGACCAGTCTAGTCACAATGGTACTGATCCACTTGACCGTTTCCCGTCTACGGATGACATTGTTCCCATTGCCAACGGGACACGGCTGGATTGCGTTGAGTGAGTGGCATTGCCTACCAAATGCTTTGCTTTGGAGCACTTCATAATCATCTACTCACACCTTACCTTGTATAGATACTACTGGACTGAGAATACTACCGATAATCTTGCTGCCGATTGTTAGGCACTGACGGCAATCTACGGCATTGAACCCGAGGTAAGATGTCAAGATATACTCACAAGACAAATTCAGGCTAACTTGCATCGTGTAGGAGTTTATTCTGTGGAATCCGTCACTGACTGATGCTAATAAAACTGAGGAGGACTTTGACGCAGATGCACCGTCAGCCACAGGCACCATGACATACAGGAATGACTTTGCCTACCCGTGCACCGTCTCGTCGAGCGTCTCGTACTGCGTCGGTCTTTTGTCAGCAACTACTCGTAGGTCCACAGCTGGTATACCTCATATGGTATCACGCCTTGCTAACAAGTCTAAAGCCGCTGCGGCAGAAAAGGAAATCGAGACGCTGACCCCTCGCGCTGCAGGTAAGGTAGCGAACTATACAATGTGGTTCCGCGTTAGACGTGCAGCCAGGTGCAATGACGTGATGGCAACCAATGGTTTAGAACTCGGAGAGTTTTACAAAATGAATCCAAGCATCAAGTCGGACTGCACAGGCTTAGTCCTTGGAACCTATTATTGTCGGTTAACATATCCACGCGGTAACAGCGTAGGAATACCGGGATGGGCCTCTACGACTGAGTCAGAGTCAGAGTCAGTAACTGCATCTGCATCAGCGACCAAGACATCTACATCTACAAGCAGCACAAATTCGGGCACACCCTCTCCCTTGCAGACTGGTATACTCAAAACGTGCAACGACTACCACAAAGTGATCAAGGGAGATACTTGCTATAATATTGCCCAGGGGGCCAAGATAGAGCTTGAAACATTCTACAAATGGAATCCGGCTGTCAAGTCGGATTGCTCAGACCTTGAACTGGACACATATGTTTATATTAGTTCAACTTAGTCTAAGTAGGTGAAGAGAATAGAATATAATGTACGCGTACAGCCATGAACAATTCCTCAATAAAATTTAAGATTGCTGGGTTAGTCTATACATAAGGAATAAACAAGAACGGATGGTTCAGTATTAGCTAAACTCGTGTCGTCCATTGTTTCCTTACAACCAATAGATAGATATCACAATGGATGTTTATTTCTGTGAAGCTGAGCCCACCCAAATACAAGACATGACCCCTGCCCGCCTGTAACCCTAGGTACCTACCTACCTTAGCTTCTCCACTGGTCTACCCACTAAGCTAAGCTACCTACAGCCCCCAAGGGTAATAAAGGTGAATTCTGATACCTAGACTTCAATTGGCTAGTCCTGACTGATTGGATCTAATGAACTCCTAGGAGTTGTGCCAACAAATCGGGATCTAGCAGGTCATTAGCAAGTACAAAGTTAGGTGGCAAAATTCACCTTTATTACCCTTGAGGGCTATACAGGTACTTAAGCCCCCTGACAATCAGTGGACGAGTCAAGTCACCAGTTACCTAGTTTCATACATAAAACGCCAAAGACCCTGTAGCTTCTGTTGGCATCATTTCACTATAAATGCAAATAACCCCTCTTTATCTTTTATCTTTACACTGTCATCTGTCCCCCCCTACTTGAGCCTCTATAGCCATTTCCACCTTTGCTTATCTCAAAATACCACCATGGGCTCATCTACTTCACTTGCGTCACTACCAAACGAGCTGGTTGGGTCTGTCTGCGATCTGCTCTGCAATCGCGACATCAAGAGCTTGCGTCTTACTTGTCGAGCCTTGGGAAACAAGTCGACTCTGAGATTCGACCGCGTCTTCATCTCTGCCAATCCGCGCAATGTCGACGTCTTGCTTAGAGTCGCCAACCACAACGTCTTCCGTCATCGCGTCAAAGAGATCATATGGGATGACTCCGTTTTGCCTGAAATCCCTAGAAGAAACAGCGATGAGCCACGTGGCTATAGAGCGGATGAAAATGAAAATGAAACCAATGCCCATGCCACGAACGAGGACCAAGATGACATCTCGAGGGGTTTTGTCCATCTTTGTAAGCACAGCATGTCTCTCACCAGCGGCAGGGCGCAGGACAAGAACAAGTACCAGGGCGAAAACCAAGTGCAGAAGCAGCTTCAGAGCCTAATGCCCAGTCGAGATTCACTGGCGCATTATCAAGACCTGCTTCATCAGCAAAGCGAGGTATTATCATCTGGCTCAGATGAACAAGCTTTTCGGCACGCTGTGCAGCGGTTCCCGCAACTCACAAAGGTCACCGTCACACCGGCGGCGCACGGTTTTCTTTTCATGCCGCTTTTTCAAACACCCATGATCCGAGCCTTGCCATTCGGGTTTGTGTATCCAGTTATTCGGACTTGGCCATCTGACGAGGCTCTTGGATACGGTAGTCCTGAAAATTGCCCAGAAGGATGGGGAAATGACGACGAAAGGAAACAGTGGCGCGGATTCTGCACAGTGACAAACGTCCTGGCCGATTACGCAGACAGCCTTCAAATCTCAGAGCTAGTTGTGGACAATCACACTCTGCCCACCGGGATTGACTACACTCTTTTCGACAAGCCAAACACAGAGTATGATAGTCTTTGCAAGATTGTTGCACGACCTGACTTTAGACGTATCGTGCTCTCGTTAACAACGGGATGTCGCGCCGACTTTGACGCTGAAGATTGGAATATCTACCGGAACGGCAGGATTTCCTGCCTCTTGGCCAAAGCAATTGGTCTGGAGGAAGTTGTCTTGAAAAGTGACTATGGATTGAACTCTTGGTCTTGCCCCATCCAGGACTCCATATCGCTTTTTGATCTCTTTCCCATCGAGGACTTGTCACGCAGACACCTGAAGCACTTTGGACTTTCCGGGATGCAAGTCGCCCAGGATGATCTCATCTCCTTCCTTGGCAAGCTCCCGCCAACTCTGAAATCAGTCAACCTCAGCTTTCTCTCCCTTGTGGAGGGTCATAGAAACCATGCTGACATGTTGGCCAATATCCGGGACAAATTAAGCTGGAGAAACCGACCTGCCAGCCAAAGAATCAAGGTCAGCATCTCAATGAAGCTCAATCAGTACCATAAAGGCCGCTATGTATGCCTTGACAAAGAGGTTCAAGAATACCTTTACGGCGATAGTCCCCCTCCCTTTATTGCTCAAGAAGGAAGGACGGCTTCTCTATTCTCATATGGTACCGGCATTGTCCATGACGAGTTCGACCCTAGCTTTGTGGTACCATATGAAACGAATAGAAGGCGTCTCGGAAGACGCGTTAGTCACTTTATCAATGCTGCATAACTGGGTGTCAATAATACTCTACACAAGACGAGCCGCAGGTGGGGATTCAAGTTTGGTAAAGTAGAATTGACATGCCACTGCAGACTCCACTGTTGCAAACCAGCTATCTAGTTCACAATGGGAGCCATAGCGGCTCCTGGCTTATTAATATTATTAGAGTTTTCTTTTAGATCTAGGGCGCTATTATATTAACTTATAATATTATTATCTTTATTATTATGTTTTTTATTACTCCCTTTACGCTTAGTAGTATAAGCTCTATATATATTAGTAAAGAGTTTAAATTAGATAGTATAGCTTAAGTAGCTATAGCTATAATAATATTTATCTTTACTATGTAATTAATAGATTATATTTATATATAAAGTTAATATTTTAAAAGCAGGTTATATAAGTAAGAAATATATAATATAGTATAATATAATACTTAGCTATTATTACTAGTTATAATATATTAAAAGTATAAGACTTAAAATATATATAAGTATAATACTATTTAAATCTTAAGCTTTTATTAAAGCTTATATTTAGTTTATTTAGTTTTATATTTTATTTTTATAAAATGTTAATTAATTATTTTATATTTACTAATTTAAAAACATAATATTAATATATACTTACTATATATTATATTAACTTTATTATATCTTGTATTATAAATGAATAATCCTTTTAATTAAATTTTAAGGGCTTAACTATTTAAAGTTAACTTTCTTATTAATTAATTTATTTTAATTTATTTTTATATTATATATATATTTAATAATAAAAATATTTAAAATTAAGAGACTTTTTTATAAGAAAGTAATATTATTAATAATACTTTATTATAAATTAAAAAAGAGAAAAAAAGCTATATAGTTTATATTTTTATATATCTCTTATTAAATTTTAGCTTAGAAATCTATATTAGAAAAGCTTTATATACTATATATAATGGTTAGGTTTTCCAACGGATAAACTAGTCCGTTCTAAGTTTATATTAGCAGAGTTATAGGGCATATAATACTAAGTGGTTATAAACTATTATATCTCTTAATAGTAAATAAGGCAGGTTAGGCATATTTAGGTAAAGATATTTTATTAATAGCTATTGAGCTAAGTGTATTAACTAATACTAAGTGAATATATATATACTTGTAATAGCTTATGGTTTAGGCATTAGGCTTATGCTATAAGTTAAGCCTTATATTGTAAGTCTTATTATAAGCTATAAGTCGCAGATCCTGGCGGCTCACGGTATAATTAAGCTAGTGTAGGCGGTTGAAGTTATAATTAGTGAAAAATAGTAGGGCCTATATAATTATCTGTTAAGTTATAACACTATAGCTAGTTTAAGTATAAAGTTAGCCAGGCTAGTTTAAATCTAGTTTAATAATTAAGATTATATTTCTTTTTTCTTTTTTTCCTATTTTTTTTAAAGAGTTAAATTATCTTTTATAAAAAAAAAATTTTTAACTCTACGCTATAAGCTCCTCTTGCTCTTTATAATGCATTTTTAGACCTGCAAGCTAGGCCAGATAGTAATAGGGCTTAAGCAGGAGCTTAAGCGTCTAAGGGACCTTAAGAAGAGGCTTGCAAGATAGCCTAATAATATCTATTATAATAAAGTTACTTTCCTCGAGGAAGTCAGGTTAAACTATAGGCATAAGGCCTAGTATTAATACCTTAGGTTGCAGGTAGCCTAGGCTAATAAGGCCTTTAATAACGCTGGTATTAAGTTAATTAAAAATAAGATTATAAAGGTTACTGCTAAGGTAGCTAAAGTAATAAGGGTATCTGCAGAGGAGGCCTTATAAGTAGCAGAAGCTATATATAGGGTTAATTAAAGGTTAATCTAGGGATTATATTAGGGATATAGAAAGTTATAATACAGGCTAACCTAGAGGTAAAAGCTCTATAGGAATTAATTTAATTATATAATATATTATTTTAAAATTCTATTATTAAACTTATATTAAAATTTTAAAATTTTAAACTATATTTTAAACTAAGGGCTTATTTATATAATATATCTTTGCAGTATATTAAGTATTAAGTTTCTAGTATTACTAGTTATTAAGAAGTAATTAATTAAGTAAAAAGTTAAATATAAAAGGCAAAAGTGCAGTACTTACTTATCTGCAGTACTTACTTATTAAATATATTATGCCTTATAACCCTGCTAATATAACTTTTAAGTAAACTAGTTTATTACTTATAAAACCTAATAAATATAAATAGTTAATTACTTATTTTAATAATAGTTATATTTATTTTTAGTAGCAGTTCTATAGTATATTTACTATATATAAGCATAATAGGCAGGTTAAGCTCTTTTAATAAATATAGCTTAAGGGGCTATATTTAAGATTTATAAAGTTAATAAATTAATTCATATAATATATTTAATAAGCAAGCACCGCAGATAAGCGAGTGCTGCACTTTTCCCTCTTATATTTAACTTTTTACCTAATTAATTAGTTATTAATAACTAGTAATGCCAGAACCTTTAATTAAAGCTAGGACTTATCTTGCCCTTTAGGCTCTTTAAAATAATTAAAAATTAAGTACTTAATGCACTGCAAAGATAAGTTAGGTTAATAAGCGCTGTCTATATTACTGCCAGTAAGGCATTTAATTATAATATAATTCTATTATTAACTTATAGAAACTATCTAATTAGGAAGAGTATATAATAGTTTAATTTATCCTTAACTTAGATTTATAAGGATTTCCCTTATAACTATATTTTATAGAAAAAATAGCTAATTCCCTACTTACTAACTGTAATATACTACCTATTAGTATACGCTAGGCTTATAACTTTATTAAGTAATAGCCAGAGCTAAAGATATATTTATTTTAGAGATATAATTACTAGAGAGCTAAATATAAAGATCTTATAATTATTTATAGTTAGTTTTAGCTTATAGAGAATATAATTATAAAATATAGTATCTGATTAAATAATATCTAGAACTTTAATAAGACTGGCTTTATAATAGGTATTATGCAGTCTAGAATAGTTATTATAGTCACAGAAAGGCAAAGAAGGCTAAAATTAATATAGCTAGGAAACTATAAATAGATTACTATAATCTAGGCGATTAATACTAAAGTTTAATTAATTATACTATTTATTATTACCGCAGGCTAATATTACCTTGCGAATTAATATTAAGAATATAACCTCCCCGGCGATTAAGTTATTATATTAAGCTAAAATAAATAGATAAATAACTAGCTAGGTCTTAACTAGCTAAAGCACTTTAATAAGTTTATAGTTAAGCAATTAATTAGTTCCTATTGCCTTTTAATCCTTAATAGTTATAAAAGTTATTACTCTATTAAATTTAAGAAATATTATAAGGAGAATAAGATTATTACTCTCTATATACCTGCTTATATATCTTACTTACTTTAGCCTCTTAATATTAAGTGCTTTATAGTACTTAAGAAGGCATATAGGCAAGAGATAGAGTATTTAATTAAATACTCTATAATATATATTTTCTAAGACTAAGTTCTTTAATGCCTTTTATATTGCTTTTAAAGTTACTTTTATTAAAAGCAATATATAAGGGGGTTTTAGAGGAGCTAGGCTTACTCCCTTTAACCTATAAAATATTATCTTAAAGCTTAATATGCAGCTATAGACCCTATTGCCTTCTGCGGAGGCAGCTAAACCTTCCTCTCCTTAGACTTTAAAGACCTTAACGACAGCAAATAAAGCATAATCTCAGAATAAATACCTTAAGAGTTAAATCAGAAGGCATTATAGTAGCTCTCTAGAGTTAATTATTAAAGCTCTTTAGTCTCTTACTAAGGCAGTAAAGAGAACTATATATAAGACTACCCTAATAAGAAATAAGATTTAAAACCTTTAGGAGGGAAATAAGAAGCTAAGCTAGCGCTAAAGGTTAAAAAGAACTAGACTATAGAAAGGAGACCCTATAACTGTAGAGGAAGTATTATAAGTAATTAATCAGATAGATATTAATATGCAGGTAGCGGGCAGGTTATCGAGAAGTGGTAGTTAAGGAAGGTCGGTTAAACCAGGCATTCGGCGATATAGTATATGCAGTAAGACTAGGCATAATATAAGAACCTATTAGGAAGTTCCGGAGGCATCTGGGGAAGAGTATAGTAAGTGATTTTAATTAATTAGATAAATTATAGTAATCTTATTATATAGATAATAAAGGGCGTATAGAAAAGTGTAGCGCTTGCTTGTCTGCAGCGCTCGCTTATTAAATACATTATATAGTATATTACTATATAATATATTACTCTATAATATATTCTACTATACTATTTATATAGGGTAGGTTAATTAGTCTTAAAGTAAAAGTGATATTTAAATCCCTTTATATCTTTATTTAGTTAATATATAGCTTTAATTTAAAAAAAGACTAATCTCTATCTTAAATAGTCTTACTAATAAGGCTATAGCGCAATTTTAAATATAACACAGTCACAATACAAAACAATTTCCAGATACAGGTTTAATAAGATATAATATCAAGTTTTATAAGGCTATCTATACCTCATAGTTACCTAATACCCTTATATAATTATCCTCCATTAAACTCCGCAGTCTCTTCGCCCTTATGCTACTTTGTGCTTGCGGCCTTTATAGAACTTGTAGTTGAGGTTGTCGCCTTTGCTGTAGTGACACTTGTTACAAGTGTTGTGGCCGTGGCCTGTGTCGTGGTTTGGGCAACAACGCTTGTAGACTGAGTGGTCGAGGTAGATGTAATAGCAGCTGTAGATTGTGTCGTGGTAGTAGATACAATTGCGGTTGTAGATACCGTCGACGAAGATACTACCGCAGTCGTGGACTGCGATGTGGCAGTAGATACAATTGCGGTTGTAGGTTCCGTTGTAGAAGATACTACCGCAGTCGTGGACTGCGATGTGGCAGTAGATACAATTGCAGTTGACGATTCCGTTGTAGATGTTGACACAGTGACAGTCTTAGATTCTGTTGTGGCAGTGGAAACGACAGTAGTTGTAGATCTAGTCGAAACGGTAGTCTCGGTAAGCTGAGTAGTAGCAGTCGGTTGAGTAGCAGTTGATGTGCTCTCGGTAGTGTCAGTAGACTGAATAACAGTTGTAGTTTCAGTAGACTGAACAGAAGTGGTAGACTGCGTAACAGTTGTAGACTTAGAGAGAGTCGAGGTACTGAGGGTAGTATCCGCAGACTCGGTAGCAGTTGTAGATTGAGTGACTGATGTGGTCTCGGTACCAGTTGACTGAGTAGCTGTTATAGACTGAGTAACGGTGGATGACTGAGTGTCAGTTGACTCAGTAGCTGTTGTAGACTGAGTAACGGTGGATGACTGAGTGTCAGTTGACTCAGTAGCTGTTGTTTTCACAGTAGACTGGGTGCTTGTTGAGTCGGTGGCCGCCGTGGTCTTGGTATCAGTTGACTCGGTAGCAGTTGTACTTCCAGTAGGTTGACTGACAGTTGTGGACTGCGTGGACTGAGTGGACTGAGTGGTAGTAGCAGTCATAGTCTCGGTAGACGCAGTGCTAGTGGACTGAGTGTCCGTTGTAGTCCGGGTCATTGTGCGTAGGGTTGTATCAGTAGACTGCGTAATAGTCGTGGTTTTAGTCGCAGTAGACTCAGTGCCTGTGGACTGCGTACTAGTCGTAGGCTGAGTGGCCGTTGTTATCTCAGTAGTGGTAGACTGACTGCTAGTTTCAGTAGATTGAGTAGTAGTAGCAGTCATAGTCTCGGTAGACGCAGTGCTAGTTGGCTGAGTGTCCGTTGTGGTCCGGGTCATTGTGCGTAGGGTTGTATCAGTAGACTGCGTACTAGTCGTAGGCTGAGTGACTGTTGTTGTCTCAGTAGCTGTAGATTGAGTGACAGTAGTGGTCTTAGTCCCTGTAGACTCATTGCTAGTAGACTGACTGCTTGTCTCAGTAGACTGAGTGTCTGTTGTAGACTCAGTGCTAGTAGACTGGGTAGCGGTGGTAGACTGAGTAGCTGTTGTAGATTTAGTGCTAGTCTCAGTCGATTGACTGCTAGTAGACTGAGTGCTTGTATCAGTAGACTGAGTGCCAGTTGTAGACCTAGTGCTAGTCTCAGTCGATTGACTGCTGGTCTTAGTAGACTGAGTGCCAGTCGTAGACTTAGTGCTAGTCTCAGTAGACTGAGTAGCTGTCGTAGATTGAGTAGCTGTTGTAGATTGAGTAGCTGTTGTAGATTTAGTGCTAGTCTCAGTAGACTGAGTAGCTGTCGTAGACTTAGTGCTGGTCTCAGTAGACTGTGTGCCAGTTGTAGACTGAGTGTCTGTTGTAGACCCAGTGCTAGTAGACTGGGTAGCGGTTGTAGACTGAGTAGTTGTTGTAGACTGAGTAGCTGTCGTAGACTTAGTGCTGCTCTCGGTAGATCCAGTGCTAGTAGACTGGGTAGCAGTCGTAGACCTAGTGCTGGTCTCAGTAGATTGAGTAGCTTTTGTAGATTGAGTGGTGGCCTGAGTAGTACTAGTGGAGTGGGTACTAGCGGACTGACTAATAGTCGACTGTGTAATGGCTGTAGTCTTAGTGATTAGTGTTACTTGCGTTGTGGTTGTCGGCTTTAATGTGGTCGTAGGCTTGTATGTGGTCGTAGGCTTGTATGTTGTCGTTGGCCGTCTTGTAGTTGTAGGCTTGAATGTAGTAGGAGGCCTGTATGTTGTCGTTGGCCGTCTTGTGGTAGGAGGCTTTAATGTTGTTGTAGGCCTGTATGTTGTCGTTGGCCGTCTTGTAGTTGTAGGCTTGAATGTAGTAGGAGGCCTGTATGTTGTCGTTGGCCGTCTTGTGGTAGGAGGCTTTAATGTTGTTGTAGGCCTGTATGTTGTCGTTGGCCGACTTGTGGTAGGAGGCTTGAATGTAGTAGGAGGCCTGTATGTTGTCGTTGGCCGTCTTGTGGTAGGAGGCTTTAATGTTGTTGTAGGCCTGTATGTTGTCGTTGGCCGTCTTGTAGTTGTAGGCTTGAATGTAGTAGGAGGCCTGTATGTTGTCGTTGGCCGACTTGTGGTAGGAGGCTTGAATGTAGTAGGAGGCCTGTATGTTGTCGTTGGCCGTCTTGTGGTAGGAGGCTTGTATGTAGTTGTAGGCTTGTATGTTGGTACCGGACGTTTTGTGGTAGGAGGCTTGTATGTTGGTACCGGACGTTTTGTGGTAGGAGGCTTGTATGTTGGTACTGGACGTTTTGTGGTAGGAGGCTTATATGTTGGTACTGGGCGTTTTGTGGTAGGAGGTTTATATGTTGGTACTGGACGTTTTGTTGTAGGAGGCTTGTACTCTGGTACTGGACGCTTTGTTGTAGGAGGCTTGTACTCTGGTACTGGACGCTTTGTTGTAGGAGGCTTGTACTCTGGTACTGGACGCTTTGTTGTAGGAGGCTTGTACTCTGGTACTGGACGCTTTGTTGTAGGAGGCTTGTACTCTGGTACTGGACGCTTTGTTGTAGGAGGCTTGTACTCTGGTACTGGACGCTTTGTTGTAGGAGGCTTGTACTCTGGTACTGGACGCTTTGTTGTAGGAGGCTTGTACTCTGGTACTGGACGCTTTGTTGTAGGAGGCTTGTACTCTGGTACTGGACGCTTTGTTGTAGGAGGCTTGTACTCTGGTACTGGACGCTTTGTTGTAGGAGGCTTGTACTCTGGTACTGGACGCTTTGTTGTAGGAGGCTTGTACTCTGGTACTGGACGCTTTGTTGTAGGAGGCTTGTACTCTGGTACTGGACGCTTTGTTGTAGGAGGCTTGTACTCTGGTACTGGACGCTTTGTTGTAGGAGGCTTGTACTCTGGTACTGGACGCTTTGTTGTAGGAGGCTTGTACTCTGGTACTGGACGCTTTGTTGTAGGAGGCTTGTACTCTGGTACTGGACGCTTTGTTGTAGGAGGCTTGTACTCTGGTACTGGACGTTTCGTCGTAGGAGGATTGTATGCCGTTGCCCGCCTTTTAATTTGAGGCTCTGTACATCCATCCTTTCTATTCCATTCCTGTCCGTAAGGACAGTCGCACTCCTTCGTGGCCGGGTTAAACACTTGGCCCTCCTTGTAGCACACGCACCTGCCGTGTTTCAATGTGGCTTGGCTTCCACAATGGCTGTTACGTCCATACTGATTTGCAGCCTCATCATCCCGGGCCTCAAGACTATTGTCCACAATGTCAAGTACAGGGAGTGCAGTGACTGTAGTCAAGGTAACAAGTACCTGAAGTAGGAAATATTTGAATAACATGATGGCTCAGCAGCGCGTCTGTTGGAGGGGGAACCTATGGTGGTTACAGAAGAGATCAAGGGTTTCACAACTCACCGATGGGTAATTGTACGAATAAACAACAAAAGGGCTGTTACCTCCGATAATATGCCTTCGTTTCAACAGCAAGCTATGGTGGACAGTTGAGGTTATATAGACTGCTGGTATTCAATCGTTGCGGAATTACCCTTCTCCTCACATAACGTACTGATAGTCCTATCCTTGACAAAAGCCTAGCCTTAGATACCCTCCAATGTCTCAGATAAGACACTGGCAACCCTAACGCCATGTTCATTTCGCTTTTTCCAGTTCATGCATCCCTTTCGCCGAGCATCTGGAACCAGCCACATGAGACTACTGTCGCCCACTAAACATGTACTGTGACCAACTGCATGGTGTATTTACCTGTCCGTATCAAAGTGATTTAATGATGATGAAGGACATTCGGGGTGTTAAGACAATAAAGAAAGACATTCACTAACAGTACTCCCTTCACGTTCTTTACTGAGCATAATCCCTTAACATTTCGATGGTATAAACCTTGATTTTCGGGGCACAGAGTTCAGTCCGATAGTTCCTTTTGTCACCTATAACACTATACTAAACACCATACATTATAATCCAAACGAAAAGCTCCCAATGATATGTTTGATTCATCTCGAACTCTAATTGTGCTTTGGATTCAGATTACATCTCACTCGATTAGGGAGATAACGAACCATCATGTTCATAACGATTTCCCGATTATGCCATGTATCCCACTCAAACGTGACTCAAACGTTTTGTGTTCGGGATGGAAATCTGGCTCGCAGGTTGCTTGTGATGTGTACATGAGATACCAGGAAGTTCAGATATAGAACATAAAATATCTGAGAATACCTTATGTTCTCGAGATCTCAACAAACGGGTGGGTTGTGGACCGAGACCTGGTGGCGGACACACTATCCGTCAGAGGAGGTGTTGATTTGATGAGACATGACAACACAACGTTTTCGACTCCTATCTCAGCCCCTGAGCTTGAAGACACTCCCATTATCTTGTAAGGAAAAGTCCGCGTCACTATTTGGCTAGCTAAAGTATGTAACCATCACAACTGCGGCATTTGGGTTTATTGAAAGCCTTCAAGCCCATGACGACGATAGTCCGCGAACCAACGATGCCAGAAAGGAATATTAAAGGATAGCACACGAGCAATCAGTGGCAAAATAACAGTTACTAGTTTACTAACACGCCGTTGACCGTTGAGATTTAGTATAACGGCCACCCAATTATCCATTGTGGCGTTACCCGAGATGGTCCAAACGAACTGGACCCATCGCTTTTGGAGTCATACGTAGTGCTTACAAGACGTTGTAAGAAATTCAAACGCCAGATAGTCCAAGATCTGATGGCGCTACTGCACTCCAATGCATTATGAGACTGCATTATCATCACTGCATTGGCAAGATGCAGCAGGTGCATAGATCGAGACTTGTCTTATGCGTAGACGGCAGGGTAAGCTGTTACCAAACCAAGTCTCCCCCGGATTTCTCCAGCCGCTAGTTTCATCGGAGTCTGTGCAAAGGACATGGAGACCTGAATCCTATTTGGGTCGTTCAAGTACGAAGATCATAACCCGGAACAGTTGGATCTATTCTGAAATAGGACAACAGCGAGCCTCGATCATTGTGGGCCCTCTTGCATAAGCGGAGATAAGGTTCATAATGTCTCGGTTAATCGGAATCAAGTTGGAGAAAGACTAGACGCAGGTATCAAGCCACACAACCGCCACTTTCTTATAGCTTATCCTTTTCGGGTTCTAGATGACGCTGAAGACGCATCCTGGAGTAGGTACTATTTGCATTCGCTCTTTGGCACAGCCATAGCTGATCCCCTGCGGTTTACCTTATTGTCGTCCTAACATTTGCCAAGGAGTAGTCTTTCCTCCCGTGATGTGTATACAAAATATATTGTCTACTTTGCCCATACCTTTTTCACAGCATCTTTCGTGTCCAAGCTCATTTTCTTACCACATTATTGAAAATGTCCGCAACTTTTGTACAACTCTGTTTCTCTATAACCTGCATTTCCTTAATCTCCACAAAGTTTATCCATCTATCCACCAATGTCAAGAATATCTCCCCTGTCGCCTTCATCTTATTTCTGCCATCGTTGCTTCTTTCAGATGTCTTCATCATTAGTCTTTCGCGTCAGGCATTAAGACCCAAGACAGGCGCGACTTTAGTCAACACTGTCTGCATCCTATGCTGCATCCTCTCGTACGTCTCCGATACTTGACACTGTTTCATATAATGACTTGAATATTAATATGACAGTACAGTATCGTCTTTTGGGGAGCTGCGTCTTCGCAACTTGGTTTCTTTTATGAAACTGGAAATGAGATAAGATGGACTGAAGCATTAAGCTATGCAGGTGATAAGAACGGCATAAAGATTCTGCTGAGTGGTATTCATACTGTCTTGGCATTCGGTATTCTTATCCTTGCTATCGCTTGGGTTACGAAGTGGTACCTTTACAGAGCTGCGGGTGAACTTTGCTTCAGGGTTGGGGCGCCCATAACCTATTGTATGTGGCCCTCTCCTATCATTTGACTATTCTGATGCTAACAAGCGTCAAGTATGGTCATTACTCAAACATTCCAGGATATATAGAGGTCACCGTTTTACTCGCTATGTAAAAGTCAGCCAGGATCCTTCTAGATCCGATAGCAGCTTTGATGAGAGCGAAAACAGAGACGACATTGAAAAAAGCCCCGTGCTTGATTCTGAGCATCCCCAGGACGAAGCGTCAGTTCAACCTCCCCATTGGGGCATCATTGCGACTATCGGAGGCTTCTTGGCCCTGACAACTGTTTGTCGTCCATCCACTCCCTACAACATGATGTCGGTGACCCTCCCTTTTGCCTTATTGGAGATGTTCAAGCCAGTGCCTGATATATGTGCCGAACAAGCTGCACTGAATGGAAATAAGTGGCCACTTCCCAGCCTCGTTGAAAAATCAAAATGGGAAAATCCCAAGGGGCACTTCAAAGGATGGGCTCCAGGCAGCAACAAGTATATCAGGCAGTATAGAGACACAATCCCCAAATGGCTCCCAGAAGTAGTCCCTTCTGGCTTCCTCAAGTGGTCTCCACAAAACACAACTCAGACCAAGAATAACCAAAGCTGTTTTGGCGCCGAGGTTGACGGAACCTTTTATAACCCGGTCAACGACCCTCTGAAAATCACGAACCTTGATGACAGCATATTGGACGTCTTGCAGAATGCGTTCAAAAACGAAACCGTCAAGATCCGACACGTCGCGTTAATCTTGATGGAGAGTTATCGAGAGGAGCTCTTCCCTCTTCAACAGGGCTCTGATTATCACCAGATGATCATGAAGTCCCATGGGGACGCAGACGAAGATGAGATCAATGCACGATTATCTAAGCTAGGCCCAGTTGCCGAAAGGATCACGGGCAAGTCTGGGAACTTTAAGAAAAAGGACGGGTCGAATTTCGGCCCTGTTGTAATACCAGAGTGGAATGATACAACACAGGACGGATTTGGTGGTATCAATATAGTTGGCGGTCTCACAACATCCTCGGTGTCAGTCAAGAGCCTAGCCACAACTCTCTGTGGTGCTTGGTCAATGCCAGTTGACAAATTTGAAGAGTCAGAGACGCAGAGCTATCAGCCTTGCATTCCTCAGATTTTAGATCTCTTCAATAACATCAAGGAGAATAAGTCAACCGGCGACTTTACAGAACTGCAGTGGGTACCCGCGTTTTTCCAGTCTATCACGGATGGATATGATCGACAGGACAAGTTCGACAAGAAGATCGGCTTCAAAGAAATTATTACGAAGAACCGGTTAGAACATGACGCCAAGGAGGGTGAGGAGCTGGAAGAGATCAACTATTTCGGATACGCCGAGACAACACTGAACTCGCACGTCAGGGATTACATCAAGCAAGTGCAAGAAGAAGGCAAGCGAATGTTTCTTTCACACTTTACGAGTACCACCCATCACCCATGGGGGGTACCAAAATCCTTTAACTCAACCGGTTATCTTAATACAAAAGATAATATGGGATGGCATGAGGATTTTAATAAGTATCTGAACGCAATGCGCTTTACCGATGCCTGGCTTGGAGAATTTTTGCAAATATTTGATGACCTTGGTATTTCAAATGAGACGCTTATTGTCTTTGTCGGAGATCACGGCCAGGCATTCCAAGAAGACATTCCCTCTAAAACAGGCACATACGGGAATGGCCACATCAGCAATTTCCGTGTTCCAATCACCTTCAGGCACCCCAATATTCCTCGGGTTCAGTATAACGCAAACGCTACCTCGTTATCAATCCTCCCAACTATCTTTGACCTCCTGATTAACACTCACTCACTTAATACGAAGGATACAGAGGTTGCTTCTGAACTTCTTTATGACTACGAAGGCCAATCCTTAATCCGACCATACAAGAACTCGCATAACGGCCGACGCGCATGGAACTTTGGCATTATCAACGGAGGGGGGAGCTTGCTGTCGGTGACATCGGCAGATGCCCCTTGGAGGCTTGTGCTACCTCTAGACGACAAGTCCGAGTATCGGTTTACGGACTTAAAAAACGATCCTCTTGAACTCAAGCCTCTTGAGAAATGGTCCAAGGATGACCTAGTTAGCACTGTTAAGTCAAAGTATGGCGAGGATGCTTCGCAGTGGGTTGTTGAAGCAGAGGCTGTAACTCGGTGGTGGGGTCTGGAACGTAAGCGTCTTTGGGGCTATAATCGTGGAGAGTCGGGGAATAAGAAGAAAGAGGATTAGGATGGACGCGAAATAGATTGTACTTGTGAACACTAGAATACTACATATCCCCGGTGTGAATGCAGTCATGAGGCCGTTGGACCATTGCACCAAAGGGTCATTCTGGATTTAATTAGTTAAACACAATAGAGAATATATACGCATCACGGTTCTTCCAAAAAGGGAAAAGATCTTTGAAATCCCTTTTTCCATCGAAATTACTGTCCACGGTAACAACGCCTCTGGTATGAGCGTGCAGCCACATATTTCCATACTTGATACTTTCATTGCTGAATTACACGACGCACTCCGTATCTGGTGTGCGTAGAGAGGGTTGCGGGGTGAGTGCAGGGATTTTATGTGTCTTGAAAATCAAACATTGAAGTGATGGTGAAGACGGTGCATTGATAGCGGTGACACTAAGTTCTTCGAGGATGCTAGTAGGTGATATGTGGGATTAGAGCTGATCGCGTGATTGTTGGACTGACTAAGCCACCGATCTGCATACAGATTGCAGTTTGTGTTAGCCTGCAATCCCAAGAGGGAAGGAGATCGTGTCAATGATGTTGAAATAAACGCATCGCGATCTAGGGAAGATAGGGGTGTGGGAGGAGGGGGTTAGATAATGGAGCGGCCAAGCGAAGGGTTCATGCACGACATGTGTGACATGGTTGATAGACGAAGTCTCGAACCTACCTCGCTCTGGTACTAGTAGAAAACCTGCATTAGATCTAACTTTGCTTAATGTTGGCTCGAATTTCTTGAATTGTCTTTTATATTGGCACTTTAGTGTTTATCAAGGTTGCTATGTCAAGCTGGCAATGAGCAGCAATGCCAACTGCTATGTAGGAAAACAAAACCTATTATTGTGCTATACCTGATGAATAGTCCGGGACTCGATTTTCAGCGCAAAATAAGCTTTAAACTAAATTAAGTTGGCACTTGGGAGCCTTTTAGTCAATATGACGTCTTTGGTAAACCTCACCCAACGCACTGCAGTGCCCTTGTTTGTCAGCATGGTGGTCCATTGTTTCACTGGAGATTTCCAACTTAGCAAGGTCGATTTTGTACAAGAGTGTTCGCGTGCTCCTTGCATGAATGGCTCATTATTGTAGCAGGTTAGAGTTTTCACGCAACGTTGGACAACTTTCCACCTTTGACCCGGCTGGGAGTCTACCGTCTTTATCTCCTTTAGCATCGTTCAGGACTGACAAGTAGAGATAACCTCTAGCTACTCGGTAGTTGACGTTGATCTCATTGAGTTGTTTGTGAAATCATATGTATTGATACCTTGGCCGCGGTGGCGCCAAAGTTGAACTAGATATCAGCGACTAGACACAAAAGACAATACTGCCCAGCCCCGGGTCTGGAAAGAAGGGCGTCCATCTCATGTAGTACAGTAGAAGCTTACGCCCAAGCTTGTACTCCAACGTTGATAAGTAGAGAAAACGGTGGGACTAGATACAACCGTTCTAAATACAATAGTCGCATTCCTCTAAACAGGTACGAACGTCAGGATATGCCGCTATTCATACTCGGCACTTTTGAAGCAGGCTTTCCTAAGCGAGATAATGCACGTCAACCCGAATCAACATATGCTGGATTGAGAGATACTGCATCAAGCAAGGCATCAGGGTTACCGTCGAGATGTTATTATTTGTTATGCAAGGGAAGGTGCCTGAAATTCAACAGACTGAACTATCAGTGAGTACGGACTCCGTCCAATCCGCCTTCCATGGCCGTAACATTGGTCCAGAACATCGGGATATACCGACATATTCTACGGTTGTCCAGCAATACGAAGTCCACTACGCGATACCCACCCATTCCATAATAAGCACAGCTTCGTGCTTTAGTCACTATCTGGAGCCATGTAACAACCATTTCATGAAGTCCTCGGACCGAGCAGAATCGGTAGACCAGAGATACATGCGGGCCAGGTCTAGACCACGCTGCGGGTGCTTAGATAGCGAGGACCTGATAACTCTCTTCGCGGTTGAACTTAAGAGGCTGGATGGGTGTCACTCTATTGAAGCACATCTGTTGTTTCTGAAGGTCATCAACTTGCTACGCCAGCATCGTCAATAAAGATCACCTCGTAAAATAGGTGCGATTAAAGAGTTTGTAGATTACCATCTTAAGATAGTCAAACATTGCCAGATTGGACCAAGCGTGATGCCAGTATGGACAGTGAGTGCATCCACTAGTCCCAATATGATCACTGCTTTTTCCCTGCACTCTCATGCTGACAATCAATTTCTACTAGGCGTCAAGACTACAAGCTAATGGCCTCAATTACTCAAGCACCACTAGAGACTATTGAATCTGCAAAGTTTAACCCCACAGAGGCTACGTTAACGGAATTTAGGAGTCCGATATAACTGTAAGCTGGAAACTCAGCTGTAGCCATGAGATGAGGCTGATATCTCCAACGTCAACGCCACTTTCAACTAGTGCTTATAGTTGTGCGCATAACGCTTCCCGTTAAGCCTGTAGGGCTAGCCTGGCAAGCTTCACTCCTCTCCTTGTTTAAGCTTAACAAGAACAACGGCGAAATATTTTGTGGAGGGTTGAGAACCAGAAGAAGAAGCGTGGGTGTCCAGACATCGCCAGATCCGCGACTGAGCATCATGGATACGTTGATTTGCAGCGCTAGCGCCAATGCATATATAGACCCTCCATCCACGCAAGACGCCACTGCACCAGCTTTAACGGTCATTGTGCAGTATGTTTGTAGCGTGGGCGATTGCACCGGAAGATTTCCGCTGGCTCTCCGATACGATGGGTAACTAGGGAGTCTAGATGCCCGGTACTTGGTTCTCCAGGTACGGGACTAATGAACCTTTTTATCGCCTCACTCTCAGCCGCATTGTTAACGACCTTGCCTTCACTAAAGCCGTAACTGCCATATCCATTCTCCATGCAGATTTGACACTCTGAGCTAATCTGTCGCATCCTTACTGATAATAACGGAAATTTCAAGTACAAGTACTAATCAATTTAACTTTGATCCTGGTAGATTCCGGTTCTGTATTGTCTGTATTTTGACTTCGCTGATCTGATTATTTTTAATGAGTGTGCTCTGATCCTGCTTCGTTTGAGCGGATCAAGAGGTTTCATTAGCTTTCCGGGCTGCACTCTTCAGTGCACATCTCGATAGGATCTGAAACAAGTAGTAACGATAGCCAAATCTAAATCAGTCAGTGTTATCGGTTTGGGTGTCTGTGTGGTATCCTTAGACCCATTCACCTATCGGTTATGATGGGTAGTGTTGCAGGGATATGGGTACTACAAGGCACTCATGAGACACTGCTTACTAGTTCAAAAACAACAATGGAAGAGGATCGTTGTTGAACAAACACGTCAGACAGCATCATGTTGAGCTGGTGTGCAATAACGTAATGGGGTGGAAGATTGGAGTTTGAGACTATTCAAGAATCATTACTATTGCATGTCAGTTGTGTTTTCAGCGTTGAAAGTCAATTCAACAATACAAACAAAAGAGCGGAATAATTATAAATTAGATATTCCATCTGGATCCCGCGCGTTTTCGGACCAAAGTTTGCGGCTCGACCCGACTGTCTGGTTCTGGATTTGTTTGTGGCGTTATAGCTTATACTAACATCACTAGCGTTTGTAACAATTTGTACGCCACCATGAAGCAGGCATCTGTCAGGCATTGACCTTGATTGGATGATAGAATGGATAATGCACGATCTCGCCTTTCGGCAATAGATTGCACCACCGAAGCCAGCTCGTATCATCCGTTTATTGCTTCCGGGTGATGGTCTGTTTCCCAAGAAAGCATAACATTGACAAACTGATAAACTATCACCATAGACTATTGAAATGTAGAGGCTCATAAATCGGAAGGCTAAGGGGTCCAGAAAAGTGAGTTTCTTGTGAGGTGATGAAATAACCCCGTGTAGAAACGGTGGTACCTTGTAGGCACAGACGGGATAAAATGTATCTTCCAAAAAGATACCCAATCAGTTGACTCATTGACTACGAAGAAGAGTAGCAAGAAGCAAAATTCACTGTCAACGACCAAGTCCTCACTGCAGATTCGCTACTAAAAGAGTGCAGCTGTTAACCTACGCGGCCAAGTCACGTGTCCCGCCGGCTCAAACACAAATCCCGTGAGGACCGACGACGACTACACATCGTGCCCAGCAAAGATACAAGTAAATAATCATTCACTCAGAGTAACATAAGCTAATTGATGACAATCCTCGACCTGAATACGCTTAAATCTTCGAAGATAATGAAAACCTTGATAGATACAAGATATTTTCGACACAAGTCTTTCCGAAATAAGAACTCTGGGATCCAGCACGTGTATGTCCTAAAACTGACAGAATTCAATCACAGAATTAGCCAGGAAGAAGGAGGAAGATTGTTGTTTTGTTTCTAATTTGAACTTGAATAATGAAAAGTTTCCCATTGGGACAAAATTGAATCCATGGTGGCCTAATGTATTAAAAATTAAAACTTTGGTATTGATCCAAACCAGTTATATGGTCATATACGTTGTGTAATCGAAACTAAATACCCCAAATGTGCATACCGATCATCGTAAGTACGATGAGCTGTTCTCGTTCATGACCCTTTAAATATCGATTTGAACCTCTTATACAAGTTTGAATGAAAGTACAGCTTTTTTCCCGGCGCAGTCTATATGCGAAAGCCGTGAAGCACTGCGGATGAAGATGGAATCTCCGAAAGAAATGCCACTGTACCACCTAACTATGGGGAGGGCCTAGTCGAGGCCTGAGATGAGAATGATAAGATGTGCTACATCTACCGGAAGCTGACAGACAGAAAATGTAGTTTGGAATCATATAAGAAGCAATGCAAAGCTATGCCTGACGAAGTTGAAGAAATTCAGATTTCTAGTTACGGTTGCTATTCTATCAGACCCGTTGACTTGTCAATAATCTGGCAGAGGTCACCTCCAACTGGTCTTAGAATTATCAGTAGACTGTTACGATCCCAGCGGTTACGTCACGCGTACCCCACAAATTTCCTCCAACTAACACCAAGCTTACCCACACCAGAGTAAGCCTTATAAGTTTACTCCTGCATATATAAGACTTACCCTATAGCTTACGTCTTATATCATAAGCCTTTTTCTAAGGCTTACTACTATATAAGTAAGCCCTTATATATATATATATATATTTACTTAGCATTAAATAGAATTTAGCTTACTAGCTATTAATAAAATATCTTTACCTAAATATACTTTACTTACTTTATTTATTATTAAGAAATATAACACTTTATTATACATAATATTATAATGCCCTATGCATCTACTAATATAAACCTAGTATAGACTAGTTTATCCCTTAAGATTATTATTTATAGCTAGTTTTAGCTTATAAAGAATATAATTATAAAATATAATATTTAATTAGAAGATAGCTAGAAATTTAATAGGATTAGCTTTATAATAGGTATTAAATAGTCTAGAATAATTATTATTAATATAGAGATATAAAAGAGATTAAAATTAATATAGCCTAATATTAATTTATAAGTTAATACTAAGAATATAAGCTTTTAGGCAATTAGGTTATTATATTAAGCTAAATTAAATAGTTTAATAACTAGCTTAATCTTAATTAATTAAAGCACTTTAATAAATTAATGGCTAAATAATTAATTAATTCTTACTGCCTTTTAATCCTTAATAATTATAAAAGTTATTACTTTATTAAATTTAAGAGATATTATAAGAATAATAAGATTATTATATTTAATATACTTACTTATATATTTTATTTACTTTAGCCTTTTAATATTAAGTACTTTAACTAATTAAAAAAGGCATATAGCTAATAAATAGAGTATTTAAACTAATACTTTTTAATTTATATATTTTAAAATTTAATTCTTTAATGCCTTTTATATTATTTATAAAGCTATTTTTATTAAAAGTAATATATAAGGAGGTTTTAAAGGGGCTAGGCTTATTCCTTTTAACCTAGATTATATTATCTTAAAGCTTAATATATAGCTTTAGACTTTAATACTTTTAGCAGAAATAGCTAAACCTTTTATTTTAAAAACTTTAAAGACTTTAATAATAGCTAATAAGGCTTAATTTTAGATTAAATATCTTAAAAGTTAAATTAAAAAGTATTATAATAGCTCCCTAGAGTTAATTATTAAGGCTATTTAATCTTTTATAAAAGTAATAAAGAGAACTTTATATAAGATTACCCTTATAAAAAATAAAATTTAAAACCTTTAAGACGGAAATAAGAAATTAAGTTAACGCTAAAGTTTAAAAAGAATTAAAATAATAAAAAAAGATATTATAATTATAAGTAAGATATTATAAGTAATTAATTAGATAGATATTAATATATAGGTAATAGGCAAGTTATTAAGAAATAGTAGTTAAGGAAGGTTAATTAGATTAAGTATTTAGCAATATAGTATATATAGTAAGACTAGGCATAATATAAGAACTTATTAGGAGGTTCCTAAGGCATCTAGGGAAAAGTATAGTAAGTAATTTAAGTTAATTAAATAATTAATTATAATCTTATTATAGTTTAAATTAAAGGTAGAGATTTTTAATCTGCTTGCTTGTCTAATCTGCTCGTTTATCAAATACGTTATTATATTATAAAGTCAAGAAAGATTTATTATATAGAATTGAAGGGGTTGTGGTAAACTGCTCTCGCTAAGATCATGGTACATGCTCCAGACAGTCAATTAAAGAGCCATAGCAGCAAGGACACCTGCGACACCAGCAACGCCCATCATATCAACAACCATAGTGGGAGCAGCAGCCGCCTTCGAAGTCTTGGAGGAAGCACTGGTCTGGCTCGCCTTGAGGGTCTCGGTAGATGTCCTGTACCGTGTTAGTTCTCACTAGTCGAATGGTGGAATCTGTGAACTTACTGTTTTTCGGTGTGTGTCTCTGTGGTGCTTGAGGCAGCCATGGCAGGGACAGCAACCAGAGCAGCGGCAAGGAGAATGTTCAGCTTCATATTGGGAGTAGAGGTTTGTTGTAGAAGTCGTTGGAAAGAGTGTATGATTTCGATGTTAATGATTTAAGTTCTTTGATAGAAGTTCCTAACAGATCCTTTTATACCTTGGGGCTGTTCCCCAGTTTTGAATGTGTTATGCTGCTCCCAGTCTGACTCTTCTACCGTGATTGGTCAATGCGTAAATCGGCATTTTCTTGCCGTCTCAACTTGTACTAGTCCAGGCTGGTCGACGTATAAGCCTCAAAAGAGAGATGGCGTAGGACATTGCAGTTATTTAAAAGGAAATACGAGCCTAGCCACTGGTTACTCGTTAATTAGTTGCTTGGTCCAGGAACTGACACGACATCTGGGCCATAGCACAGTAGCTGCGCCTCCTTCCATGATGGTTGATCAGACACCTCGGCATGCCGTGTTATCCGCAACACCCAATGGTATCTTTGTTCTACCTGCAGGATAGTTGAGAATTGGAAATTAAAGTCATCTTCATACCATAACTTTCTCATCATGCTTGAATAAGTTGCAGAATTGCGCAGGTTAACATTTTAACATTCAATTGAAAATATCAAGAGGTATTGGGCAGACGTGTAAGACTGAAAACAATAATGCAAATATAAAGCTAGCTCGTTTAACTAGAGGCGGGGGAGTGAGAGGCACAGATGACGTGTCGGCAAGACATGCACTGACCGGTTCCAGTTATATGATCTGACATAGGCAATAAATATAGAGGTTCAAATTTCGCTTGATCTCATACGCAGAGAGCACCAATTATTCAGCAGCTGCCTAGAGTGACCTAGTCCGGTAAGGAAGGACACTAGGAGTCAAATTACAGGTTATTCAGGTCGAATGGGACCAAGGTTGCAGGGTAAATGTCCTGAAGCAAGTCATTCTGAAACATTAAACCATTCTCCCAGTCGAATGGACTCAGTGTCGATTCCTCCTGATCATCATCCAGCGGATGCAAAAAGTCCGTGGTCACATGGATGCTTACTCGAGTGGCACTTCCTGTGGGGACATCGTCGATGTTGCTCGATAGCCCAGCTGGTTCGATGATGGGATCGAGCAGTACCCAAATCATCGAAGGGGGGAACTCAATCATTGCACTAGTCGTGCCCGTCTCCAATTGTGTTCCCATAGCGAGTGATTGTAGTTCTTTGAGGCTTTCAAGCTGACGTTTCATGAGTGGTGGGCTCTTATGAGTTCCTGGCTTGAGTGTCACATACCTTGCGAGACAAGAATGGCCAAATTTTTGACATGCGTTCAAGAAGCCTTTGTCCTTTGGCCAAGTTCTGGCTTGCTTTTCGAGCAAGCTTGACATTTCTGCCAAACTGATATAGCCATGGAATAGTTGATGTCGCTGCAACTGCCAATCCGATTAAAGGGTTTGAGATATCTACTGACAGATCTTCGAATATACCCACCAGCCAGAACACCCATCCAGAGTGGAAGATAGCCTAGTCCACAACCTGTTGAAGGAATAATCGAGATTGACTCATGCCTTTGTTGCGACGGAGCGCGACAAGATGAATGAAAGGGTGGTTGAGGAGTGCAAGAGATGCGTGGAGAATGAGATGCGTTGTCAACCACGGATTCCAGTACTGGCGATATGCCTTTATGTCTTCAGTTGATCTTTTGAAGGGAAATAGATTCCTCATCAGATGCTTTCGATGTAGCTGAGCCTCGTACTCAAGCAGAGATAGGTTAAGCTTGGAGTATGTAGACTCCGGTAGCCATGGTATTTGAATCTCGCCCATGCGGATATCGTGTAGGTAGGATGCGACTTGACTCCAGATAGAAATGATACCCCCTGCATGTGCATTGATACCAAAATCACGGCTTGTTCCCCCGGTGTCATCAAAGTCCAGGGCATTTATCTGGTCTAAGTCGTGAGGCAGTGGTGGCGGTGGCTCAACACTTGGTGGATGTCTATATGCGCGGTCTGTTTTTATTGCTTGGGAAACATGAGGGAAGAAGATAGATTCGATCATGTAAATACTCCAATAGCATCTATTGTCTTTGTCATGTTCTGTAGCGTTCGTAAACTGGACGTGCCACATATGGCCAACAGTACTCAGCCTTGCTGCGGCACCAACGGACATCCAAGCTCGCGGTAAATCGTCAGCTATATGAGAGTGAGTAAGTATTTGAGGACTGGTTTCTTAATATTACCTGCAACATTTCTCAAGGCCAACATGCACAGGGCCTGTAGTACCTCTATTGTTGGCTTCCCCCGCCCTGCAAGTTGTTGGGTGGCAGCTTCAGCGGAGTGCCAATAGAATGCAGAAGCTTGTTGATACTTGTTGATATAAAATGAATGAGACGAAAACTCAAGCATCAGTGCCAAGAAGCTATGCAGAAAATATTCAGGTGAAACTTGTAGCATGTTTCCAAGACATTCAACATCGAATAAAGGTAGTGGCTGGAGATGCAACTTGATTCCGTAAACCTCTACAAAATGTCTCAAGACGCTTGGAGGCGGATTTGGACTGTGAATAACGGATGAGTATATGGACCGAGACGGGAGGTATCGTCAAGGTTACCTGTCCTCAGAAAATACATGCTTGTCCGAAGCAAACAGTGTAGGTGCAAAATCTACACCCTCCCTTGGTATGGAAGCTGTTGTTTGCTGGTTCTCATGTGATTCAAGCTCTTCTCTTACACCTGAACTATAGGATGCGTGGTGAGCCTTTGAGCAGGATGATACTTCTGGGCAAAATATACGCGAGCAAACCAGACAAGGAGGAAACCTGGGATTCCAGCATGCGTATCCTGTCTGCCGTGGACTTTCTACGCTGTCGATAAGCCAAAGTCATTCAATCTGGGGGAAAGGTATGTGCCTACTTCTGGTGTCTGGTAGCACGTGTAGCTCGGTTGGTCGTTGAGCTACCTCGTGCAGCGTATTCACAAGGTAAATCCAGACGTTCACAAAATGAACAAATAGGTCGCTCCCCCGTGCATCTGGACTTCTTCCGACTAACAAAATGTCAGTCAATTGTCTACTGGAGACTGGTAGCTTGTAGTCTTACCGACAAGGCTCGCAGGCCCGTCTGATCCCGTCTGTCTGGGACCTCGATCCTGGTGTCATAGTTAATTCTTGTTGTTTAGAAACTTCCGCGGAGTTTCATTTGGTGGAGTTTCACTTTGAAGGTGGAGACAGACTTTTCATTTCCGCTCACGTGTATTTGACAATCAACCATGATTGGATATATCAAGTGGACCGGAATTCCTAATGACTTCCGAGGAAAATCAGTAGTTCCGATTCGTCTGCCAGACAAGATTGAAGAAACATATAAATTGCTAGAAATATTGATTCAAGAGTTGAATAATCTACTATTGAGACATCTACTGCTCGTACTATATTTTTTCGCATTGTGTTATGCTCTCTGGACTTGCCTTTCACTAACTACAGAGTATACCTTTTTGATAGAAAATGTCGGTCTTAAAAACTATGAAAGCTGTGGTTTTCAACGGCCCTTTCGATGTTTCAGTCGAGGAGAGGCCTCTCCCTCAAAGTGTGTTCTTGCATTTACGCCCTATTCAAATATCTGACTTCCACCAGTCCGAGATCCTCGGGATGTCATTATCAAAGTCAACATGACTGCTCTGTGCGGATCGTTTGTCACCCAATTGCCCCAAAAGTTCAAATCAATGCTAATGTAGCAGTGAGTTGCACCTCTTCCGAGGAGTTGAGCCAACGGAGCCCAACTTTATCATGGGTCATGAATTTACAGGCACTGTGGTTGAGCTAGGCTCAGCCGTAAAATCGGTAAAGATTGGCGATAAGGTAGTCTCGCCTTTTACTGCTTCTTGGTAAGTCAGCCTCCTTGAGAGTTCCTGATTCATACCCCAGTTCTAATACGCTCTTATAGTGGTGAATGCTATTACTGCGAGAACGGCGGGTCAGCCAGATGCGCCAACAGTCAAGCTCTCGGCTCGCCAAATCTTGACGGTGCTCAAGCCGAGTATGTTCGGGTCCCCTTCGCCGATGGGACTGTCGTGAAAGCCCCTGCGGGTATACACGATCAAGCACTGATCCTTATGGCTGATATCTTCCCAACTGGCTATTTTGGCGTCAAGAGCGGTGTTGAGATGATGCCAAACCTTGATGTCCATGACTCAACAATTGTCGTGATAGGATGCGGTCCAGTTGGATTGTGTGCTGTTGTTGCTGCTGCTGCACTCAAACCCAAGCATCTGTTTGCTGTAGACAGTGTCCCATCAAGACTTGAACAAGCCGCAAATTTGGGAGCCGAGCCTCTAAACTTTATGGATGATAAGCCTGGAATGCAAGATCGCATCAAGTCGGCTACTGATAGTCGAGGTGCCGATATTGTGGTGGAAGTCGTTGGTCTTTCGCCAGCACTTCGTACCGCCTTCGATTTAGTCCGTTCCTTTGGCGCTATTAGTAGTATTGGTGTTCATAATGCCGAGGTACGTCGTCTATGCAGTAAATACTTCGCAGGTCGCTGATATGATATAGATTCCTTGGTCTGGAAATGATGGCTATAAGTAAGTTCTACCAATCACGTCAACAATAGATTATAATACTCCGTAGTAAGAACGTCCGACTCCAGATGGGACGATGCCCTGTGAGAAGCATTTTCGAGGAAGCAATGAATGTTCTGAAAGGAGAGCAAGATTCTCTTGGGTATGTATCCTTCTATCTCCTCTTGCAGCATCTAAGCTGGTGTCTGGTATTAAAGTGACACATTAAACTAACATGTTTCAGTTTCCTATTTGATAATATCATGCCTCTATCTGATGCGGTTCGGGGCTATGACCTTTTCAACCAGTCAAAGGTTCAGAAAGTCGTCTTTAAAATTTGAACTTGCGCACACCATGGGCAAACAGTTTCTTCACGGCGAACGTTATCTGGGCAGTTTTCGTCCGTGGGAGCAATATTATTGGAATCTGGCAAGGGAATTAATTTTATCTTGTCAGCAGCTCCATTTTGCTCCAATGAAGTAGACCCGCGAAGTTATTGAGATGCTGAATGGACGAAATCCTTTGGAGCCATGTAACTTTGAGTTCCATAACGCAATCGACACGATTAATTGCGTTATACCAGGGTAGTCCCATTTCAGTAATATTTCCTATGGGCCGACAGAAACTTCCAAATGTGCCTTGGTCAGAATGAATGTTGCCCCATGTCAGGCAATTAAGCATAAATAGCGTCTATTTCGTCATGTACGCTTCCGCTGTTAGTGCGGCGTTTTGCGGCTCCGAACAGCCAAAAACCGGGTTTCTTGTCCGCATTAGATAATATATCACCTGTTGTTATATAAAGTAATTGAGATTACAATCAATTCCGTCCATGGAGTGTTCCATTTCTTCATCCCACGGAATCTTATCAAAATGGGCAGTGAAATTAAAGTAGTCGGTGAGGCAGACGCTCCATCCATTGAGTCTCCCTCAAAGGGCAAGACAGTGACGAAGGAATACGCCGATGTGACTCTTCGTCTTATTGAAGAGCATGGAGACAGTGTTGAACCTCTATCTCCCGAAGAAGAAAAAAGAGTCCGAAGAAAGTTGTACTTGCGATTGGTGGGACTACTCTCAACGATCAACATCATGCTCTTTGTTTGTTCTCTCGTTCAACATTATGTTCTTTCTGTGGAAGCTGACTTATTGTTCTCTAACCCAGATCGATAAATCCACCTTGGGCTATGCAGCAATTCTCGGACTCTTCGAAGAGACGGGCATTTCGCAAGCTCAGTACAATAACTTGAACACGATGTTCTATGTTGGTACGTTGAATGTGGTCCTCAATTCACATTGTTTTAACTCGGATAGGATATCTCGCATTCTTGTGGCCAGGCCACTACCTCATGCAGCGCTTACGCTTCAGCAAATTCATTGCCGGCATCATCTTCACCTGGTCTGTCGTCATCTTTCTCCACTGTGTCGCAACTCAGTATGTAGGACTCATTGTTTTGCGACTTGCCTTGGGTGCAGCCGAAGGCGTAGTTGTTCCAGCGCTCGAAATGACCATTGGCATGTTCTTCAACCGAGCAGAACAATCTTTTTTACAGCCGATCCTTTGGATTACTTGTCAAGGCGCACCGATTGTTACCGGTTTTATCGCATATGGCCTCCTTTGGAGTAGCGGACCAGTTCTACCCTGGAAGCTGCTCCATATCGTTACCGGCGGTATAACTTTCATCCTTTCCATCTGGGTCTGGTTCGATTACCCTAGTAACCCTGCTGAAGCTCGGTTCTTGACACTGCAAGAGAAGGTCCATGTCATCAAGCGTGTTCAGGAATCACAGCAGAGCTCGATTGAGCAAAAGCATTTCAAACGATCACAGTTCATTGAAACACTGAAAGACCCAGTATCTTGGTTGTTCGCACTACAAGCTTTCACCTTAATGTACTGCAACAACCTCACCTATGGTCAAAAGAACCTCCTTGTTACATCTCTCGGTGTCAGTCCACTTGAATCTACCCTCGTTGCCGTGGCGGGAGGCGGCTTTGGCATTATCAACTGTGTTATTGCAGCGTTTGCCCTTCGGAAATACCCCAAGAACTTTGCCTTGCACTGCACCTTTTGGTGCTTGCCTGCTATTGCCGGTGGTATAGGAATGGTGACAGTACCCTGGGACCGAACCATAGGTCTCCTTGCCTGCATGTTCTTAGCTGCTCACACTTACGGTGTCGCTTACATCATAGCTCTTGGGTGGACAAATTCTTCAGCTGCCGGCTATACAAAAAAGCTTACAAGGAATGTCATGTTTATGATTGGCTATAGTGCTGGAAACCTGGTGTCACCCCAGATATGGGTCGCATCAGCCAAACCAAGATTCTACGGAGCCTGGTCCTCGATGATTATAGTCAGTTGGTTTGGAACGCCTGTCATCTTGTGGGTGATTCACTTCATCCTGGCTCGAAGGAACAAGATCCGAAAGGAAAGGATCAATGCCGTTGGCGAAAACGATCGTTATCACTACGTCGAACAACTGGACGAGAGCGGTCAATTGGTGAAAGTCAAGGTTGAAGTTGCCATGCTAGATTTAACGGATTTGGAGAACGAGAGCTTTATCTATCCGTTGTAGGCAATCCAATTCTATCACCAGATAGCCAGTTGAACAGAACGCGAGAAGCCGTGGCATCCAGTTAGAATCATACTTTGTTATCATCAAAGATTCTGACAACACATGGAATAGTTATATGCTGAGGATTAAGGCTTCATGCAACCTTGATACCAACCATAATACCACTGTGTTCGCTGACGCAGACCTTCTTTGACCCAGCTTGGGTTTTCCAATCCCTTCCAAAGCGGCCCATTTTTCTGGTTTTATTCTCAGCTTCATCTAAAGTAACCGTCTCAATGGACCCTATGTAGAGAAACTTGTCCAGCTTTCTTTCGTGCCTCTTCCTGTCCGGGTGGAAAGTCCATGCATCTGCTCTGGCTTTAGAACGTTCATCGTTTCGGGAAGGCTTTACGGTTGGTGGCACCGGTGCTGGCCTATTTTCCCAGACATTCATCAAGCCTATCTCAGGATCTCGGTGGATATGTCTCTCAGACACAGCAAGTGGACCCATGTTGCCACCCACCAGTCCGCCCAAGGTTTGTTGTCCCTGCGACCATTTGCCGTTCAATAGCTCAGAGACTGTAACGAGCTGGGAGCGACGAAGATCCGGGTTACTATAGTTTGGCTCAAGGCGCGTCGTGCATAGGCGAAGTGACTGTTTTGATATCTTGGGACCATGGCCCTCGGACTCGGACACAGGAACGTCAACCACAAGGGCATCGCAATTCGTTCCAGAGAAAAATGAGACCCGAGAGCAGTTTGATATCGGCAAATTTCGCGAAACCATCGTCATGGAGAAACATTGATTGGATTCCAGGTCGCCTTTTCCCTCATCAAAATCATCAAATTGATCAAATTTATACTCGCTGTATGGTGGCTCCGTGTCTGAGAGAATGAAGTTTTGTTGAGCCCATTCATTCTTCAGGATAGCGTCTAGTGATTCTTCCCTGATCTCTTGTGGCATTACCACGAGGTTGTCAGGCTTTTGGCCAAACATGTTCCGTAGATGATCGATGGCGGCGGAGGCACGAACGGCTGCAAGGCTTGAAGCAGATGGAAACAATTTCCATGATACAACCTTCAAGAGATCTCCCTTCTTGTGTGTTATGTCTTGATTGCTATGAGGCTCCCAGGATGAAGACTGCGGGTTATATATTCGTGGCTTGAGGAGTCCATGGTCAGGCTCTTCGTCGGTCATGACTTCAGGAAAGGCGTTAAGAAACATGTCGTTGAATTCCACATCAGGAAATTCATCAACGTCGCGAGCATCGCCTCTGCGCGCAAGCTTACGAGCAATAGTTTTATTTACCAGTGATTAATCTGGAATAGTGCCGTAAGATCTGATCAGGTTCATGCCTGGCGGTTTTGTTTGAAACCGTGGCTGCCAACACTGATTCAAACCTGCATTCTCGCCAGTCGGTGTCCAGTGTCCAGGGCATCGTTGACTCAGATAAAGTACCCTAGCGCTCCTGCGCATGGTAAGGGAGAATTGCCTCGTGGAGGATAGACCATACATGCTGTCAGTTACAGCTTGTTGTGATGTTTGATGCTGTTAATGTCATGGTGTTATTTCTGGGTGCGGGGTTGAAGAATGAAGGAGAGAATTTAATTCGCTCGGTGATTTGACACTAACTTGACCTAATATGGATGACGCTAGCAGCGCAATGATAAGATAAGATAAGATTACCTACCCTGCATTAACAGCTCGAAGATTTCCCTCAATAATTCATTAACAACAGCATAGATTCGAAAGAAAGCCTTCCGTGGCTTTAGCATTCTTGACATTATTTTTTTCAAGGTCTTTAATATTAGGATAGGATACTATCTACGTGATAGAAAGAGAATAGTACTACTAGTACTGTGTGTATGTGAGGCACGAATACATTGTAAAGAGACAGTTGAAGAACGGTGTTGCTATTTTCAGAACTATCTCTCGCCATTAGACCCGCTCAAGGTTGAGTGGGCAAAGAGCCTGGCCTCAGTATATTAAAAAGATTAACCGCTGGAAGCATAAGAGACGAAATTACTAGGTCAGCTTATGCTCCTTAGACTATAGTTAATAGACTGCTTGTTTTTGTATACCAAGACTTGGGAGGCCATTTTTTCTAGTACCCACTAGCGTGGCGAAGCCAGTTCATTGAACAGTTGTACATCGAACTGGAATATGTCTCACCAGTCGATCACAGGGCGGCACAGCGGCTAAAAAGCTCGAAGCGGCAGACTTAATTTACTAGCTAGATACTATCCCAGGATGTGATTGGTGTCTTGTACGGAGAATATAAGGCCAGGTTAACCGAAGTTCCTACTAGTGCTTACGTGACTCCGCCTTCTCAGTCGGATAAACTAAGAGCATATCCACTCCATGTCGGGATCTAGCTGTAAATGTACATTGAATTGATGCACTATGGTGCTAATCTGAGTATGATAGGCCAGTTGTCTCGACTCACCGCCCACGTTCCCCTGGGAGTGGGGATGAGCTGGAGTGGCAGGGTACATGTGCCAAATTAACCTCTTTCTGTCAGGGGGTCGTTCTCAAGAGTGGGCCATCATAAAGGCATTGTGCCCTGCTAGTCTAAAGAGAAGGATTTTGTTTGCTTTACATTGTTTGTTACATAGTGGAATAGCGATGGAGTTCTCTTTACTGTGTTTGTTGTGTGTATTGACGCCAGTAATGGCCTCGTTCCCTGGAGGCTTTGAGCTGTAAGTTCACAGATCCACCGTCTGAACTACGAGACTACCCTAACCAGTCCGTCTTAGCTCAAATTCTCTCCTCCTCTCGCGCGCAGATAACCCCGTTAGCAAAGACGGCAACTGTGGCTCTAATTCCGATTTCAATGCAACATGCCTCACATCCACTTTTGGTAACTGCTGTTCTGAAAAAGGGTTCTGCGGCAAGACTGTGGCATACTGCGCCGAGGGCTGCCAAAGTGTGTTTGGTACCTGTGGAACAGGTAGTGGGCAGCTTGTTAGTACCTCAGGATCTTGCGGTGCGACATCCTCTAGCAACATTACATGTCAAGGAAGCGAGTTTGGAAACTGCTGCTCTGAGAAGGGCTACTGTGGCAAGACTTCGACGTATTGTGGTGCTGGGTAAGTGCGGTTTTGTGTTTTCTGAATGACGTTTATCGGTTGACTTGATTTCTTTGAATATCACTGACATCTGAATAGGTGCCAAAGCGGGTTCGGTACTTGTGAATCCGATGATGAGTCCTCTTCGGTTACTACAGCCACTACAGCAACTCGTGAGACTTCAACCTCGATAGCAGCATCAGAAACGAGCCTTGGTGCTATCTCTGTTGATGGTAACTGCGGATCCAATTCAAACATCAGCGCCATCTGCGAAGGCAGCGAGTTTGGTGATTGCTGTTCGGAAAAGGGATACTGTGGCGGAAGCTCGAGTAAGTGTATCCGTATCAAGCATGTGTATGTCACGATACTGACTTGCCTCTCAGACTATTGCGGAGCGGGCTGCCAATCTGAATTCGGTTCCTGCGATTCGACAAGCTCATCAGCAAGTCCATCATCTAGCTCAGACCCGACAAGCTCACCACTAAGCTCAGACTCGACAAGCTCGTCGACAGGTTCCCTCAGCACCGGTGCCACGGCTGGGATCGCGATCGGGTCTGTTATTGGTGGCCTCGGATTGATAGGCCTTCTAGCCTGGTTTTTGATACGGAGGAAGAACCGAAAGCCGATATCACCAGTGATGGAAGTTGGTGAGGAGAAACCCGACAATGCGCCGAGGTATGAGCTGAAAGGGGAGAATCATGCTGAGTTAGATGGAGGAGGGACTCCTGCTGAGTTGCCTGGTGATTATGAGAGTTACAGGAGATAGTGAGAGATAATGGATCACATTGGGAATCCGCCAGGTAATCATAATTATCGAATGGCAAGTTAATATTGCATTTCAGTTTACCCCAGCATCTCTCATTATGCATTCTACCAGTGTTGTAATATGATCGGTGTGAATTGATGTAGACAAAGGGTTATCTGACCATGCCCTGTTTGACGATGCCTTGGACATACTATAATGGAAGGATGTGGCTTTAGTTCAAGTCATTGTTTCAATTAACTTCAAACCTTCCACAAAATTTACATGCCATAGCTGAAGTAGAGACTCTTTCTTTCTGGAAGTCTTAACTATGCAACGATGGGACTGTAATCACATGTCCTTTAGACTTGAGCATCAATCACGTCCGTGCGCCGAGTATCTGTTGTAGAGATACTTCTACTTATCCTTGTGTAACATTACCGCTCTGCTTGTAATAATCTGCCCACTTGTAAAATGTGCGGAAGTGATCCTATTAATATAGAATCAGTGCTATATCCAATCGCTGAGGTCTAAAGAATCTAGTGTGTCATATCTCATCACACCACCTTGACTTCATAGTTGTAGGGTTTCATCTTATGGTACGTACATATGTGCCACACTCGCCTCGCGCTACCATGAGCGGAACTTCAACCACCAATCACTTTCCGCAAAACTCTCCACCACGCTTGGCTTTGTGGATTTCCCTCGGATTTCCCTTTTCCTTTTTCCCTTAGCAATACCGAGGTGAGAACCTTGATGGCCGCACCTATCGCGAAAAGACCAGCAAAGAAACTCTACACGCTGTCGCGTCTCGTCTAAGTCCGCTTAGTAGTAGGCATGAGCCTTCAAAGTATAAGTGATAAGGCCCAGCACCGCGCCTGCGACCCTTGCAGTTAGTTTTTTTCCTCCTCTGTGTAATCATCATCTGATGACGTGTTTCAACAGGGAAGCGAAAAGTCCGCTGTTCTCGCCATACTCCTTTATGCGAACGATGTTCTCACTTTGCTTTGACATGTGAATATTCACCTACAAGGACCATGGGGCGTCCGAGGAGAGGACAGCCGCTAGGATATAGATCGACTGGTGTTGCGAGTACCAGTGTTGCATCAATGTCGCCAAAGGATATGGAGGCTGGCAATTTTACTGGCATCATGGATCAGTTCCTCGATGACTTGGGAACGCCGTCGCCTTCCTTCAATATGGACTTCTCGATGGACCAAGAACCTATACCAGGACGTGTATCATTACCACCCGATCTTTTCACTGACGTTTCTACACAACACGATCGCTACAATTATTATCCTGGCACTGAAAGCAGGGGTGCAGCGATAACACCACAAAGTATGGAAAGCGCGACGAATCCAAGACCACCTGTTCAGAAGTGTTCTTGTATCGAGTTAGTGAACCAGCATTTCTCAGAGATAGAAAGCTCCCTTGAGACATTCCAAACGCTCAAAGTCCTCAAAAAGTCTCTGGTGTCAGCGAGGACAATCCTGGAGTGTACAGTCTGTTTTCAGTCAATCAAGAGTCCACGCACATCGCGAAACGTCTACCTTTTGGGTTCTCTTCTATCCAGCATTGGCTCTTCTTATGGTGACTTTTTCTATATCCAGAAGCAACGAACTTCCGATCCATCAGTCTCCAGCACACCTGTGAGCCTTTTTATTGGACAACAGGCTGATTCGCGAGACATGGTTGAGGTTGCTCTCGAGGGACCCAGTTACATTGCCTTTCTACAAGCAAGTCTCAAAAAAGAGTTGGCTTGTCTTGTGCAACTAGGTGACGAGTTAGCGGCGAGACAGAGTCAATCTCACACCGAAGGTCACGAGAATTGCGAAACGGGAACGAGTTGTTCAAATACCGAAACACAGCCAGCAACTAAGCATCCGACCGAGATGTGTCCGAAGGAAGTTGACATGACAACTGCTTGTGCATGCTTTCGAACTGTTGATCAGGTCAGGGCTGCAATAGCAGAGGCACAGAGAATAATCATAGCGTGACACAGAGCAGGCCTATAATACACTTATCTCTTCCTTACGCATTAGTACTTGTATACTAGTGGAATATTAGAACTGTCTTGAGAGTGAATAATTATTATCCCGTGTCGTGTATATCGTCATTATGTCTTACAAACGATTGATTATATCTGAGTCTGTGGTTTCACAACGCGGGATGGTTAGCGCAAACAAGAGAAGCGCGCCGCGGGAACGGAGCGCGGAGACTTTTGACAGCGGTGGTGGGGCCGTCCACGGAACGAAGAGTGTCACAATGAACCGCAACACGACTCTTTGTTTTGTGTATTTATTTGACATAAACTTTTTCTCTTTCTAATATCCTAATTCAGTGCCTCAAGTCATTACTACTACAACATCTTTGAAACCATATTTACAATACCATGGGTGTATCCTGTTGCGGACCTAAGTCGGGGAATGAGAGTGCCAATTTGGATGGGCATGACCATGCAAGCGAACCCCATGTTTCTGAACACCACGATAACCATGAAAATAACCACGAGCATGAGGATAAAGACAATCACGATCATGATCATGGGGGATGCTGTGACGGTCATTCCGATGTCTCTAGCATCACATCTCAGGCCTCAACTTGCTGTGGCAGCGAGGAGCACTGCAGTGGTAAGCTCGTCTCTGTACCGTTGATCTTCATTCTGACTTTAAACAGAAAAATGTATCTACGCCATTGCTGCCCTCCAATGCGAAAAAGCCTGTAGCGAAGATCCTGGTCATCGAGGTAACTGACAAAACAGTACATTCAAATCATGAAATATCTAACGTGAAAAGGGTCCCACAACCAACCCAACGAGAACGAAATTGGCCATCACGAGGCTGATGCCGCGTGTGGTACTCATCTTGCAGCTGCGTTCGACCAGTATAGTAGCTACCTCGAACAGATCCGTTGCATCTGCCGAAGCGCCATCGAACAAGGAACCATGTCCATCGAAACCTGCTGCATGACCAGCCGATCGAACACAAAAAAATCCAAGCATGGGCACAGAGGCAAACAAGAGAAGAATGTTCTTCCTGCTATCCCAACTTTCAAGCCCTCAGGCCCTGCGAATAAGGAAGTTGATGTTGAGAATGGAGCAAACCTTGAGACCATCGGCTTCTTGGTCAGTGGTATGGATTGTACATCGTGTGCAGATAAGTTACTGCGAATCTTTAGGAGCATGTCTGGCGTTTCTAATGCCCAAGTCAATTTTGTCATGGGCAAAGGAGAAATTGATGTTGACTGCTCTTTGACTAATGGGGAAGAAGTCCTTAGTTTCGTATCTGGTGCGACTGGATTTATGCTTAGCAGAATCGTAGGTGGGAGCTACTTTGTTGATGTCTTGGCTACGACAGCACAGAGCAAACAACTAGTTGATAACCCACCCCGGGGTGTAGTTGATGTTCAGTGTCTTGACAAGAAGACAGTTCGCCTCTCTTATGATCCAACGACGGTTGGCGCTCGTGATCTGATGGAACAGCTACACGACAACTGCAATGGTCTGGCCGAGCCTCGTGGCGACCCTCAACTTGAGAATAGTCGGCGTCGTCTCTGGGACCAACTTACAAAGACTCTCTTGGCGACTGCTCTCACTATCCCGGTTGCAGTGGTATCATGGAGCGAAGATCTCGTGGACAGGAAGACTGAGGGCATCATTTCGTTGATCCTTGGTACACTTGTCCAAGTCATCGCTTTTCCAGAATTCTATCGCCCAGCCCTCGCTGCCTTGTGGTACAGTCGAACAGTCGAAATGGATATGCTCGTTGTCATCAGCATAACTGCTGCTTATGTCTACTCAGTCGTTGCGTTCAGTTTCGAGATGGCAGGTAGCCCCCTCGATGAAGGCCAGTTCTTCGAGACCAGCACTATGCTTATCACCTTGATCCTTGTTGGCCGGCTTATAGCTGCTTTTGCACGAGTCCAAGCTGTTTCTGCTGTATCGCTTCGATCAAAACAGAACAACATAGCTGTTCTCGTTTTGAGGGAAAGCAACCACGAGATCGACGCTCGACTTCTTCAGTACGGAGATGTTTTCAAGGTCTTACCACATTCTCGAGTGCCTACTGATGGTATCGTCATATCTGGCAAAACCGAAGTGGATGAGTCTATGCTGACTGGAGAAACACTACCGATTGTGAAGCAAAAGGGTAGTAACCTTATCGCTGGCACTGTCAATGGTGATGGCACTGTCACAGTTCAGCTGACACGCCTTCCTGGAAAGAACACAGTCACCGACATTGCACAGCTCGTGGAAGAGGCCGCGAACTCGAGACCTGAGATTCAGGATCTGGCCAACAAGGTTGCCGCCTGGTTTGTCCCTGCCATGTGTACCGTGGCTATCCTTGTCTTTGTGATCTGGGTCGTATGCGGAATGGAGGTTCTCAAGAACAGCGCTGGTACGAGTGTTGGCAATGCCATCACATATACTGTGGCCACACTCGCAGTCGCGTGTCCTTGCGCTCTTGGTCTTGCTGTGCCAATGGTTCTTGTTGTCGCTGGTGGCATAGCCGCTCGAGGTGGCGTTATCATCAAATCTGCCGATATCACTGAGGGAGCTCGCAAGACCACTGATGTTGTCTTTGATAAGACTGGTACAATCACAGAGGCTGAGCTTGTAGTGAATGAGAGGGTCAATTTGAGTGGGAACTTGTCAGATAACCTTGCTTTAGCAAAAGCACTGGTTTCTGGAGGCAAACATCCTGTCTCCGCCGCCATCGACAGTTATCTCGAACTGCACACTGTCAAGAGTATGCCCGAGGTGCTTAATGTCCACGTTGTTCCTGGCGCTGGAGTTGAGGCTGACTTCCTGGATTCGACCGTCAGAGCTGGCAATGCTCGCTGGACTCAGGCTGACCAACTGAATGATGTAACACGGCTCCAACACAGTGGCCTCACTACACTCGTCATTACACGCGATCGTGTACCTCTTATTGTATTTGGGCTTTCGGCTCAGATCCGCCCAGAAGCAGTACGAGTCATCTCTGAACTCAAGTCTCGCAATATCAATGTTCATCTTGTTTCAGGTGACCAGATCAAGGCTGTTCAGACTGTCGCAGCTTCTGTTGGAATTCCAGCGGACAATGTCGTTGGCGAGCGTACTCCACCTGAAAAGAGAGACTATGTCGCTGCTCTAATGGATCAGGAGAAGCGTGTTCTCTTCTGTGGCGATGGGACCAATGATGCCATCGCCGTTGCCCAATCTGACTTCGGTGCTCAAATGGGTGGGGGTTTGACCAGTAGCGACGTTACTCAAAACGCCGCAGGGGTAGTTCTTTTGAACGGCTTGGAAGGTATCCCATTTCTCCTTGACATCAGTAAAGTCTCGTTCCAACGCATGTACTTCAACTTCGTTTGGTCTGGTATCTACAACGTTCTGGCAATAACAATGGCAAGTGGTGCTTGGGTTGAGTTTCGGATTCCTCCCCGATATGCTGGGTTGGGAGAGATGGTTAGTGTTGTTCCTGTAATTCTTGCTGCAAACACTATGTTCTTTGCCAAATACTTCAAGTTGAGGGATTAGAAGAAAGCGATGTCAATGGTTGTATCGTGAAAGAGAAAATTAGGTATTATAACCTGAAGCACCATCTGTCCTGCGTGCCAATTGCCATCCATGTACTAATAATTCTGAACAAAGTAGCATAGATTGACGTACTAATTTGGTCTCGTATGCTCCAGCGTCTAAATTTCAGAGAGCTTTAGGACAATTCGCCAAGTTTATTTGTGAGCGTTGCGCTTAGTTACTTATTAATTATCCAACTATAGTGCTGTATTACAGAGACTGTACCCCACCAAGACGGACTAAAGGCCGAGGCACAAGCATTTTAATGGGAACCTCGGCTATCTCATCGCTGTCTTGTCTCACCCGCTCGTTGTTGTTCTTGTAGCCATTTTCACAAGCTATCAAATAACCTTACTTGGCCATTCTTTGACACAGGTATACGTTATAATGAGTAGCATAGAGACAGTCACAATTGTACCTGATAGCGAGCGTTACAAGCTTCACGCCCTGCCAGCGTTGCCACCAGTAACAGTCTCTGGAAGAAGTTCTACGCGAGCCTCAGCTCTAGAAGTTCAGAGTTACAGTCATTCTGTGAATGAACAACAGCTCGCTCCAGTAGATGGAGGAATCGCAGCATGGCGACTACTCGGCGCAGCTTTCGTATTTGAGACACTATTATGGGGTAAATCCCTCTGCTACCCCAAGCAGGTGAAACTAACATCAGACAGGGTTTCCGTTATCCTTTGGTGTCTTTCAAGACTACTATTCAAGAATCCCAGCTTTTGCTAGCAACCCTTACATCGGCGTCGTCGGTACAATAGCATCTGGCCTCGGCTACATAGGCGCCTCGTTCATTATGCCATTCATCCAGCGACATCAGCGTTGGCGACGGCAGATGATATGGATCGGTTGTATGTAACTCAATTCACCCTCAATTCTTCATGGTTTATATGATAACTCTTACTGACGGCTCTTGTTCTGGCCAGGGCCAATCTGTATTGGCGGACTAGTGACAGGTTCTTTTGCTAATACGCTCGAAACCCTGATATTGACTCAAGGTGTTGCTTATGGTATTGAGTTTCTGATCCTCTACTACCCCATACTCATCATGGTAAATGAATACTGGATATCGCGTCGAGGTATGGCCTACGGTCTACTCTGCGGTGCGTCGGGGGTTTCTGGCGCCATCATGCCCTTTATTGTACAAGCTCTCCTCGCAAAGTACGGATATCAGACAACACTCCGTGCCATAGCTGTTGGTCTGGCTGTTATGACTGGTCCTCTCATTCCCTTCCTAGATGGTCGTCTTCCGCCCTCAGAACACGTCAGCACGCCTAAGACAAACTGGTCCTTTTCCAAGAGTTCTCTCTTCTGGCTGTATTCGGTGTCCAGTCTGTTTCAAGGTTTTGGATATTTCTTCCCGTCACTATATCTCCCATCTTTCGCAACTTCACTCCATCTTGGCGAGAAATCAGGACCAATTCTCCTAGCTATTATGAGCATATCCCAGGTTGTAGGGCAATTTGCTTTCGGTTATCTTTCAGACCGCAAGATATCGCTTGATGTTCTGGTTTGCACATCCAACCTTATGGCTGCCGTGGCCACGCTCACTGCGTGGAGGCTGGCCAACTCATTTCCCATCCTAGTCGGCTTCACTATTCTCTACGGATTCTTTGGAGCCGGCTTCACTGCCACCTGGGCAAAGATGAGCACCACAATCACCGATGACGTGACTGCAGTTCCAATTGTTTTTGGTCTGCTCAACTTGGGCAAAGGTATTGGTAATGTCCTGGCAGGTCCGATCGGGGGTCTCCTGGTTTACAGCAGCAGTGCCCCTCAGCACTCGTCAACTGCCACGACGTTGACCCGGTCATCGTATCATTGGGTGATTATCTTTACTGGGACGTGCATGTTTGCAAGCACCTGCACTATCTTCTTGCGATATCTGAAACGAGTTCTTAACATTTTAAGTACCACTTAGGTGTCCCTGCGAAAGTCAAATCACGGACGAAGTTATTCTTTCCATGGATGGTTAAGAAGCTACAACAGTGAATAAGTGGAAGCAGAACGTTGCTTGTTCAACTATAATCGAGTTATTACTGGGATGTGTATCGAGACTGGGCCTGATGCGTTTCAAAAACGTTTGACCAGGAGAAAACAACATCACACATCACTAGACTACACATGGACTAAAAATTGATACAAATAGTTATGATTACTGTTCAAGTGCATATTATATTTAGCATGATGTCGCCTACTGTAGCGGTAACAATAGGAGCAACCGTAGCACAAAAGGGTTTGAGTCGAGTTGAAAATTTACAAGTTTTCTTCAGTCGACATGCGAAAGTCACGTGGCCTGTCAGCATCGAAGTTGAAGACAGATATGACTCCACATCTCTCTTGAATTGTTCTGTCACTGGCAACCTTTCTAGTAACATGAAGCCACAAGACCTTGTCTGCTCCAAATGCTGGACTGACTTCTTTAACACTGAGTCTTTCGAAAAGACTTGTACTGCCGAAGACGACGCCTACATCCATCATGAGACAAGTGCTATTTCGACACTCGACGAGATCAAAAATGCCTCATCATCCGGTTGCAATTGGTGTAGTTTTGTTGCGACATTCTTGGATGGTTCAAAGCATGGAAGCACACCTATAAAAGTGGTGTTGCTTCCTAGTCGTGAAAGGCACCGTGCTACACCAATGGGCCGCAATATCTTTTTTGTCCGCGTTTATTATCTAGACGGGGAAGAAGAGAAATTTGCCGATGTCTGCAGTATCTATGCTTTTACTTCCAGTAACGATGAAGCATCTGTACACGTGACTGCGCGTCCATTAAGAACAGATGTTGGCAGTCAAGCCGCTAGTTGTCAGGTGCGGTCGTGGTTCGAGGAATGCAAAGGACACGAGGGCTGTTCAGATCCGCACACAGAGAATACACTTCCTACGAGGGTCATCGAAGTCAGCCCTGTAGATCAACTCGAACCACGGATTATTGAAACTGGGGGGCTCAGAGGAAGGTACGCAACTGTGTCATATTGCTGGGGCAGAACCCCCTTCGACACACTCAACACATCCAACTATGCTCAATTCATTAAGAGCCTTGGAACTAACACTTTGCCTCCTACCTTCCAAGATGCCATTGCTATATCACGCAGGCTTTCCATCCCATATTTGTGGATAGACGCCCTTTGCATCGTCCAAGACTGTGAAGATGATAAGAATCGGGAGATTTCATCGATGAAGGATATCTATGCCTCTTCCACTCTGACAATCGTCGCTGCTTCTACACAAGACGTTCATGAAGGGTTCCTTCAGGACAGGCCCCATGCAAAGAAATATTTTACGATACCGTTTCGCATGAAGTCCAATCTATTCGGGAGCTTTTCCTTTGGCAGCCTCGACGATGCAGCTTACGATGAGCGTTCTGAGCCGCTGGCAAAAAGAGCTTGGACATTGCAGGAACAACTTCTTGCTCAACGTACTGTCACCTATGCCAGTCACACTATGATATGGACCTGCAAAGCTGGTACGAAGACCTTTGATGATTCGGTCCATTACCCCTATTACGACAATATGGATACATACTCTAGCCTCAACATAAACAAGCTACTCATGGATCCCGAAGACGCAATAGTTTGGAAATATGATGTGTTAAGCTGCTGGTGTCGACTCGTTTCAGCCTATTCGCTTAGACGTGCCAGTCTTGAGAATGACAAGCTCAACGCAGTGGCTGGAATTGCGCTCCATGCCTCGTTTGCCCCGGCCCTGGGTCCAGAGTATCTTGCTGGAATGTGGACATACAAATTAGCACTACAACTGACATGGTATGTCCAAGATCACCACAGAGGTCTGCCTGATGGTGAAAGACTTGAGTCATATCGGCCAAATATATACCGCGCGCCTTCCTGGTCTTGGGCAAGTATAGAAGGCGGCATGATTGAGTTCGATGATATATTTGCACCTATATTTGAAGCAGTTGTGATTTGCAAAATCTTGGAGTGCTCAACAACGCCAAGATTGAACCAGAACCCCTTTGGGGAGGTTGTTTCGGGACATTTAAAGGTCAGGGGTTGGTTGAGAATTGCATGGTTCTACCCAGAGACCTCGAATCTTTTCTTGCTACCTCTCTCCAACGTCGAGGATCATGGAAAAAGCATAATCTCCCACCAAGAAGGCTATGAGCAATACATGAAGGATTTCGTTGCTATGCACCCCGATATTGATCTGAACGATAGACCGGAAGTTCTACATGGTACATGGAATACCAACACTGCTGGTATCTGTGACGAGTCTCGGTTCACTGAACCAATGGTTGTTTTCTGTCTTGGGGTAGCTTCCGAGGGGTCACAAGGAAATATTTCCGGTTTATTACTAGCAAGCACAGCCGATCAATGCTCATATACGAGAATTGGCCAGTTTATGAGAGGAAGGAGGAAGGACTTTAGAAACAAGGAAAGAGCCATGGAGGAGGTGATAATATTATGATAAAAGATATATTTTTTATATACTAAGCTCAACCCTTTGACAAGCTTTGTCTCTTTTCGCACTTACTAGATTGTAGCCTCTGAGTGGTGTTATGCCATTGTGATAAGAATTAGACGTTGTTACATTATCGCTGTCTCCAAAGTTACTGAACCTTCCCTCTGGAGTCGACTGGCCAGATCTCCTCAATGATTCCATTGCGATGAGCATAGTAAAAATCGTGGAGGTTAACGGTTGGGTCAATATGGCTGGGAATCATCTCGACCCTGTCACCAACCTTGAGTGATGGTGTTCCGTCTTCCCAGTTCAACGATCCATGCTCATCACCCAACTGATTGTAAACATATCTTTTATCTTTGCATTCAGAAAGACCACTGTCGGTTGTTAGGCTCTTGAGTCCCGTGTCTATAGTGACTTGTCGTTCGCCTTGCTTGCTGACGACTGTTGCGAGGAATGACAGACTGTGGGAATAGTATGCTCCAATAGCATTGCGATAGTCTATATCCATGAAGATGAAGGATCCAGGCTGTAACTCCGTCACACCTGGTACTGTCGCACAGAAATCTGCTGTGCCAGTACCTCCAGTTGTGACAACCTCGATGTTGAATCCCTCTTTCTGTAGCTCCTTGGAAGTCTCTGTAAGAATGCGCATTGATTCAAGACATTGCTCTTTCCTATCTTGGAAGTCGTGAAGATGTTGCAAGTGACCCTCGTAACCTTGTACACCAATAAGACGCATGTGTTTCAAAGTGTTGATATGTCTTGCTAGTGGTAGGGCACCTTCAGGTTTGACGCCAGTGCGGTGAAGTCCAACGTCCAAGTCTATCAGCACATTTATTGGCTCGGGCACACCTGAGTTTGCCAAGGCATCATTGATAGCCGTGGCAGCCTCTGCGTCGTCTACCACTACCCTGACACCTTGATGTCTCTTGACGAGCTCAACCAATCTTCTGACCTTGGCCGGACCGACGATTTCACACGTAATGAGAAGGTCTGTAAAACCAGCAGCAGCAATAGCTTCAGCTTCACTCAGCTTTGCAACGCATCCACCTTTGGCACCAGCGGCAACAAGCTTTTTCGCGATAATAGCACTCTTCGTCGTCTTGAGATGCGGTCTGATGTTGCGCCCTGTTGGAAGAAGTCTGTCCATGAGCTTCTTGATATTGGCCTCCATGATAGCAAGGTCGACAATCATAGAAGGAGTGTCAAGGTCATCCAGGCTGTCGCCTACTTTGGGAGAGTACATGTTGGCAGTATTGGTAGAGGTTTGGTGGTGAGACATTTGATGGATCGTGCCAATGAATTGTGCCAATGGGTCGTGATAATGGATATGTCTTACGAGTGAGTGAATAGATTGGCATATGTATCGGGTTTACTTTTACCCTCCGAAGTTCGATGCCACAGATTGGAATTGGGAGTATTACATAGTAAAGTAACGTTGTATGTAGATTACAGAGCACAGTGCGTCACTCTCCCCGCCTCTCATCTCATGACCTTTTGTCCGCCGATCTTCCCTGCTTATCGCAGTTTTGCTTCCCCGCCTAGGCAGTGGATATGCAATGGGTAACAGAAAAGCTTACCTCATAAGTCTTAGCGCACAAAAATAAGTAACTCAAGATCCATAGTCCAAGTATCTTGAATTGACCTACTAATTTCGTCTCTTGTTCCCTCTGTAACCAGCTTTCCTGATACCTTGACGCCCACTTATAAGAACCAGCGAAATTCGGGGACAGATGGACCATCGCGCAAACGTTGGGTAGGTACATCAGCAGCGGTAGTCTTGGTCCCCGCTTTGCGATTTCTTCGCATGTTATCAAACACCATGAATCCACCCAAAAGACCCGCTATGAGACAACCGCAAGCCCCAAAGCAGGCTGTTGTGATAAGAGCAGTCGGGTATTTGGGCTTTTCGCTTTCACGGAAAATGTTGCTTGATACGAGTCCCATCAAATTTGCTAATGGGACGCCCACCGACGTGAGGACCACTCGACGCCCCTCGTGGGCAATGTTATTATTGTACCAGGTTGATAAGAGAACAGATGGTGCAGAGGTTCCCCAAACCATCATGAAACATGCGTAATAGGCCAGCTGTAATTGAGCTTGAACGTCAGATATTGCAGCATAGATAATGAAGCCGATAAAGGTTAAGGCAAATCCGAGCATTATGAAGGGGAAACGAATGCGCAGAAAGTCGGAGCTGAAGGCTAGGATGAGTAACATAACCGCACCGCCAACATTAGGTGCAACTGTTTTGACATATTAGCAGGTCGAATACATCAGATCGTATTCACATACCAGTGTAAAGATTAGTCTTAATGGTCCCATATCCGAGACGCTGGATGATTTGCGGCATAAAGAGCGCAACGGATTGAATCGGTACACCTAGGCAAATCTCAATCAAGAGGAAACAATAAGTCGTTGGCTGTTTGAAGATCTCAATCGAGTCCTTGAAATTGAACTTCTCCTGCACAACTGAAGATGAATCGACCTGCATTCGGTGCAATGCTAATGACTTTTCTTCTTCACCGAGAAACTTGGCCTCACCAGCTGAGCGTGGAAGATACCAGAAGGCAAAGATGGAGAAGAGAACAGATGATGCACCCTCGATAATGAATAGATACCGCCATACAAACATCTTGGACTCGATCTGAAAGACTCCAAATGATAAAAGTCCGCTCTGTTCTTGTTAATATCATTACTCTCTGGTTTTTAAAAGAAACTTACAAAGGCATTGGCAATATTCGAGGCCGCGTAAAAGACAGCCAAGCGACGTGCAAGCTCTCCACGTCTGTAAAATGTTGTGAGATAATATATCACGAGCGGGAAAAAGCCTGATTCTGCGACACCCAAGAAGAATCGAAGCGCGAAGAGGCCACTGAAGTTCTGGACGCAAGCAGCTAACAGAGTCATGGAACCGAATGTAAACATGAGAATTGGAAGAACTCTGGCAGGGCCATACTTCTTGCCGATGATCGCAGTCGGTGGGGCGAAGATAACGTAAGGGACGAAGAAGATTGACACCAAAAGGTTATACTGGCCTGGCTGGAAGTTTAGATCTGAGTCATTAGTTACTGCCCAAATGAATCTGTGGAGTAGAAAGTCTTACTGTCACTTAATCCAGCTGTTTGAGCGTTTCCAAGGTTGCCTTTATCCAACGCATTGAATAAATCTACCGGTATGTCAGAAACATTGAAGGAACGTATACGGCATCAATCTTACACATGATGGCTAAGACAGGCATCAACCGAACGTCGAACTTGCGGCAGAGTTGACGCTCTGCAATGTGGTCAACGACACGAGCTGTTTCTCCTTCAGCAACATCATGAAGCGTGTTGTCGATGAAGTCGTTATCTTTGTGATCTTTTGGATCCATACTGCTTTAATGATCCGCAGTCTTTTGTGAAAAGAGTAACCTTGAGGCGAGAGGAAAAGTTGAGCAACGATTGCAAGCGTGTAATATCGCAGATGTCGTGTGAGAAAGACCAGCGCGGAGTAATATGACCTGAGGTTACATCAATCCGGGTTGTGATAGATATCACTGGTTACATATCAAAGGTATGTTATCTCAATGCACACACTGCATCATCAGTATTCCGTACATGATAATGATCATGATCCCTACAATCTGGGGGTGGGTCACAGTGCCCTTTGCAAACACGCCGCGCGGGGACTCTGGTGTTTGTACAGTATGAGTTCGCTGTGTAACATAAAATGTCGATCCCAATCCACTACCAATCAGCCGAGGCATTGATGACTGAGGTTTCAATAGACCAACCAGAATATTCGGCAATAAATAAACCTCCGTCTTATCGACGATCACCTAACAGCAGCTTTGCGAAGCTTACCACCGGCTGGCTTTACGAGCTCAGTATGCTTTTCACATCTTTTTAATTATTTCCTTGTACAAGTCGCAAATACAATATGAGTAGCCAGCCTCCATATCCCCTCCACGAGTCAGTGGTCAGCCGAATAGACCCTGAATATGCCGCCTTCTATAATAAACACATTATAGACAGGCAGCAAGTTCACCTTCAACATATTGAAGCATCACGGGCCAGCGGCGTCCTTATTCCAGGCAGTGGGCCATTGCAACCAGTCGCCAGCACGGTCGACTACAAAGCCAACCGAAAGGAAAGCGAGGGCCCTGATGTGAGTGTCCGATGCTTCACGCCGAATGGTGAGAAGCCAGAAGCGGGATGGCCAGTATGCATTTATTACCATGGTGGCGGGTGGGTTCTTGGTACGATTGATACTGAGAACGTCATCGCGTCGCATTTATGTGCTCGAGGCAAGTGTGTCGTCGTCAGTGTAGACTACAGACTTGCGCCTGAGAACCCTTTCCCCGCTGCTGTGCACGATTCTTGGGAGGCTGTCTTGTGGGTCCTTGGGGAAGGCAAAGATATCCTCGGGCTAGACACATCAAAATTGGCAACAGGTAGGTCACATGCTTCACCGCATTTCTATGAGTGGAAACTGATTCAGGATATTCAGGTGGTTCTTCTGCTGGTGCTAACTTGGCAGCCGTCATGTGTCAAAGGGCCGCCGATCGAGCATCGTCCCAGTTCTCTTTGCAACTTCTTTCGGTCCCGGTAATGGATAACACGGCTGAAATTACAAATAACGAGTCGTGGAAAGAAAACCAAAATTCCCCGGCGCTCCCAGCCCCGAAGATGCTTTGGTACCGTAACCATTATCTACCACACAAGGACGACTGGTCACATCCTGAGGCCAGTCCACTATTTTGGAAGGGGGATTTTTGTAAACTTCCGCCAGCGTGTTTTGTTGTTGGTGAATTGGATGTTCTTCGCACTGAGGGCGAGCAATTCGCAAAGAAGTTGAGAGATTCTGATGTCAAGGTTGATTTCAACATAATGAAGGGTCAACCACATCCGTTCATTGCTATGGATGCAGTCTTGGATGCTGGTTCAAGAGCTATAACACTGTTCTGTGATGCTCTCTACAAAACCATGTACGAGACATGGTGACTATAGGTTACCCCATAGTAAGACTATATAATTCTTAGTATGGTTACATTCTAAATGTCAGCTACTGTTCGATTGCTTAACTACGCCTAGTGCAATGAGAAGTAAAACCTGGTGCTATTATTTATGAGTTGTATTCTGTTTTTGATTCCATGAATTTTCCCCCATGCCTTCTCAGTTCCTTGAAGGTTCCCAGCAAAGGTTCATCTATCTGCGCAGATGCATGTGTGATTGCGTGAAAATGAAGCTTACGGTAGCATTAATAGCGGTTATTAATTTTCTGTAAGCAGGGAAGTGTTGGTGGAATATTGAAATCACTGACTTGCTACTGGATTAATTACGGAGAAATAGTAACCAGTGGGGAACTGCACATAAAGCCTACGGACGTTTCAGCGCGACCTTGACATCGCGAATCACATCGACCGGACATGTTTCATCAAAATCGGTAGACAAGGCCCGCAGGCCCGGTCGGCTGAGTTAAACCCTGTAGTCTCCATTAAATCTCAAGTCAAAGCTGTAAATGGACCGATTGGAAACGGACTCTAGCGGTACCCAGCTATGCTGTATAGTGATTAACATCCAATCTCAATTATCCCACCAATATAGAACACGGACGGAAGTTTGTTGTTAATGGCATAAGAGACCCTTGGTAATTAAAAAACTAGATATAAAGGCACAGACAGATACATGTCCATTCCATTGGAAATATCTCAGTAACAATTCATTTGACGGTATTACACACTTCCAACTTCTCTCCAACAACTATTGAAAATGAAGAGCACACTTCTCTTGGCCGGGGCTTTTGCTCCCTTTGCCCTCGCTGAGTCTCTCTGCGAGCAGTATGGATACCTCGCCAACGACGGCTATGCATTCAACAACAACGCCTGGGGCAAGGACTCAGGATCTGGTGACCAGTGTACCTACGTAGACTGGTCTAACAGCAACGGTGCTGCATGGCACGTTGAGTGGAACTGGTCCGGTGGCCAGGATAGTGTTAAATCTTATCCTAACTCGGCTCTCCAGATTGGAACGGACAAGAAGATAGTTAGCTCCATCACCAACATGCAGTCTACCGCCGAATGGACCTACAGTGGTGATAGTATCCGTGCCGACGTTGCTTACGATCTTTTCACTGCTGCGGACCCTAACCATGACACCTCGAGCGGCGAGTACGAGCTTATGGTCTGGTAAGTGTATTTAAGGTCACCACTATAAATAGAGTTACTAAACTGTCTAGGCTTGCTCGATATGGCGAGGTTCAACCCATTGGAACCCTGCAGACAAGCGTTACTATCGAGGGCCATACTTGGGAGCTCTGGGTTGGCATGAATGGCAGTATGAAGGTGTTCAGCTTTGTTGCACCCACCCCGGTCAATGACTTCAATGCCGATATCAAGCAATTCTATGACTATCTCGCTAAGTCACAGAACTACCCTGCCAGCGAGCAATACCTCCTCAGTATGTATATCTGGGTTGTTTTTACTAAAACGGTTACTAACTGATTTCCTATAGCCTTCCACTTTGGTACCGAACCCTTCACGTAAGTTCAACTTATTATGCTTCTCATATAAATATATACTAACAAATCATTTCAGTGGAGAGAATGCTAAATTCTCCGTCACCAACTTCAATGCCCACCTTAAATAAGAGGCTACTTTGTACCAGTTGAAAGGGAATACAGAGCATAGGATATGAGTGTGTATATATACTTCTTTGATAAATATGAATACTTCAGGAACCTCCAGCAATGGCGTATTTGGCATTGAAAGTGGTATAATTTCTACAACTGGCGACGTGGTTGAAGCTTTGTCAACAAAAGCTTGTTTGAGACTTCTCACGTAATCAAGCGCTCAACTGAAGTGAGGGTTTTTAGAAAGCGATGCATAATACTGTTTGGGCTTCATATACAAGTTCTCCATAAATTCAGTTCTCTAACCTCGTCTATGGCCATGATGACTATAATATTCCACGTCTTGTACTCCACCAGTTATCGTCCAATAATATATGCACTCTGATCCCACTTCAGTTGACATCTTCGACCTAGCAATATTTACATGCGGCAGGAGGGCAATACCCATGGTTGCAAGTATAGCTGCACAATCCCTTATAGCCGTCGTCCAGCCCACCAGCAGGGCAACCCTCACGGCCATTTGTGGCCGGGGGCGACAAGGGCGAGCCATACGACTTACACTTGCATTGGGCCGGAGGGCAGTAATTGTACATACAGGTAAACTCGCAGAGGCCGGTAAGGTTTCCACTCTCGCCATCTGCCACAGTGCCCTCTATGCAAGCCTGGCCGTTACTTGGATTAGTCACCGCAGGCGGGTTGTTTGGTTGCGTCGGCGAGGCCGCGTTGCTGCCAAGAGAGGGCTTGGGATCACACGTCGCAACGCGAAGTCCGACAGTTAAAGATGCAAGACCGTTGCTGTCGAGGGGGTCTGAAAAGCTGGCAGCAACGGTTCCCACGTAGGCGTTGAAGTTGTACAAGCCGCAGGGGCAGACGTTTGTGATGTCCATGAGAGACGTCTCTGACAAGACATTGCTACCGCCACGTTTGAGGGTCAATGTCTGCTTTCCGACTCCAGCGTTGACCTTGATCAGAGTTGCTCCTGCGGGGACCTCCTTTGTGACACTGTTGCCTCCAGAGTTGACAACCACGGTCCCGGCGGACTTGAGCAAGCTGACAACGTATACAACATCTTCCATAGATTCCCATCCATCAGGGCGGCCCTGGAAGTAGTTCTCGTTCGGTTTCGGCGGCGACCTGCCGGAAGTTGTATCGGTAGCGTCACAGTCAAGGCTCTTGAGGTTACGGCGGTACCAGTAGACAAGCTGGTCCTTCTCGATGTACTTAGCGACGTTGGTGTCTTTCGCTTTGTATGCGGCGATGAAGGGCGTACAGAGGTCCAGCCAGCCATTGTGCGGCATATCATTGGCCCACTTGGATGCTCCATCGTCGTTGTGCTTGGACTTGAGAGGGCCGATGTAGTGAGACTCGCCGTAATCGTTCCAAGTGAGGATCTCGATCATGTCGAACCCTCTTTGCAAGACCTGGTTCCAGCGGTCAAAGAAGAGAGAGCCGCTAGGGAAGACCCAGTTCTGATCAATTTGTTAGATACATGAGTTGAGTTAATGTCACAAAAGGAGCCATTACTTACCTTTGCCCAGTCGACTTCGGGTCCATAGTGGGTGAAGAACCAGGGTGATACAGCTGAGTCGATGTCAGTCACTGAGCTCCTTTCGAGAAGACAAGACACTTACGAGCCATGTACTTCTTACTACCAAGCCAGTTTGCGTAGCTGCTATCCCCGTCGGCAACGCTGACGCTCTTCCCATTCTTGGGCGCCTTATTGTTGCCATCGTGAGGCCAGCCCATCCAATTCAAGGCCCCGTCAATACCGTTGGTCGAACTGCCCGATGGAGTGAAGTTGGGGACGAAGAAGATGTTGGATCCGGAAGCACTTCTTACAGCGTTGGCGTCAAGTCCGTCACCCGCAAAACTGGAGACAAAGACCCTGTCATCGACGCGTAGCTGAGCTGCACGACCGCCGTATTTCTTAATCTTCTCACCAACGCCAGCTGCATTGTCCGTCTTCCAAAAGTGAAAGTCAAATGAGATGAAAACCTTCATGCCATTGCGGTTAGCAGAGTCGTACGCATAATCAAGCTGCACGTCTGTATAAGTGTCAACACCAATGTTAAGTGCAAAAGCGTCAATTCCGGCAGCCTTTGCACGCTTCATATCGTCATCATAGTCGGCAGAGCTTTGTCTGTTGGCGACGATACCGATCTAGTCATGTTAGCTGCTTTGATATAAAGTGCGATTGTGGGAGTTATACCATAAAGTGAGCAAACACCAGACGGTCACTGGAAGAGGCACGCTCAGATAATGTGCGGCCTTCAACAGCGGCTGCCTGGCAAGTCACAGCAGCAAGAGCTGCAAGACTGAGGTGTATGAAGAGGCTTAATATAGACACCATGATGATGGTGTTCCCCTGGGTGGTTTGCTGGAATGAGGTTGCAGAAGATGCCTCCGAAGTATGAGCGTTTAATGGTAATCGGTCTGACATTTTATATAATACTGAGAGGCAAGGTGTCTACCCGATCATCCGGGCCAAGAGCCAAGGTCAGCGCGTAATTAACGGTGAGTGGGCCAGGAGATCCATCTACAGTGTAACATGATAGCGCGTTCACTATAATCATTTTGGTTAAAATAACCTCTTGCATAGTTGGTTGAACAGCTATATGCTTTATGCTCACTGAGAATTGTAGAGGAATTAATATTTATCTTTCTCCTATCTCGACTCGCTGAAGATAAATTACTCTGAAATAGGGACAAAGTTGAAACTCTCCCATCTTTGTCAACACAATGTGAATACGAGATTGCAGGGTCTTGAAGGATTTGTAAACTCCACATTTGACATAGTAGGATTGTGAGATGATCCGACTTTATCGCGTTGCACAGCAGATAATACTCAGCTTACACTTGAAATGTAACATTGTCTGACAGGGTTCTCTACCACTGGCGCTATTTATGCTGTCGTTTATGGTTAATTTTATTCAGTCCTTTTTACTTCAAAGTATTTAGTTTTTTGTGAAAGCTTACCTCTTCCCAACTCTGAAGTTTCAACTATATCTTAGTATATTAATTATAAACATTAATTAGTCCCAAATGTATTATAAATGCCCGTGCCTTGTGTGAATTACTCCCATATATTATCTAGGTTGGATCTAGGTTGGATCTAGGCTGGATCTAGGCTGGATCTAGGCTGGATGATAGAGGAAAGAGATTTCCTCAAGTCTGTGACAAATCATCGGATAGCAATGTTGATATGCGCGAATAGCACAGCTCTAACTAACTTACCCCTTTGTGGCTTACTTTGGTCGGCTTACTCCCCTCGACTAATTTGACAGAAACGTGCTGTATGTGTCTAGGACATGTTCTAGAGCTGACGTTGCTGTGATTCGTACCTTAAACGAGGTTGCATGCGAAAGCCAGGGTAAATGTTGCTGCGGAGGCAGTGTAGCAGGGTTACTGCCATAGCCACACTCAAATATCACATCATTGGCCTAAAAAGACTCTCGAGTCCAGTACCCTGGAAGGTTTACCGTCGTTCATTCTCATTGTGTCAGAATAATTTAATCCCTCGTGCCCAAGTCCATGAAACAATGGAAGCCATAACTACGTTTGCGGTCGCTGGCAACGTCCTTCAATTTATCGAAGCAACTAAGAAATTACTATCAAGGCCCATGACATTATTAATTCAGGCAGCAATGCGCTCAAGGATCTCAAAAACTTACGGGTTACCTCATTGGGGCTAAAGATTGTACTCAAAGAACTTCAACAAGGTCAAAAACAAATACCGACTGGTATCACTTCCACTGCTGAGTCGGAAGCGCGCATATCTACATTGGCATCCAGCTGTATAGAGGTAGTTGATGACTACTCAAAAAGCTCGACGAGATCAAGATCCACGACAATGGCAGGCGCATGGAAACTATCATGACAGCTTTCAGGGTCATGTGGAATGAACATGAGGTAAATCACACATATGTAGCCTCCCTTTTATAGCAGACTGATAACTAATCAATCTCTAAGGTCTCATCTCTTCAGGTCTCTGAATACCCAGCAAGTTATCCTATCTCAATTGAAGACAAAAGGCCATGAATCTACACGAGATGTCACTGGATCATTTGGAGGCACCGTTATCAACTATGTCTCTAGCTATGTCCCAGTTGAAAGCTGTGAAGAGGAAGTTATACGTCTAAAGAGTGGAATCCGAGACGCCATTCGGAGGAATCCACATTTCAGAGACTACGGCGACATTGTCAAGTCGGACTATCCAGCCTACAGCATCTCAAATTCTAGACGCGAGGAGGCTGAGAAGAAATTCATATCAGATCTAAGATACAGGGAGATGGATATGAGAGAGGCTACAATCGCAGAACCATACGAGGACACTTTTCGATGGATCATGCAAACAGATGAGGTCCATCGTAGAAATACCAAGTTCAGGGAATGACTCTCATCGAGTCTCAGTTATACTGGATCACGGGAAAGGCAGGATCTGGCAAGTACACGCTCATGAAGTTCCTCGATAGACTAGACGGAGATACCCATGGGAGCGACCTTTGTAGAAGTTATCTCAAGACATGGGCTTCTTCTGCTGACCAACTCGTTCTCGCAAGCTTCTACTTCTGGGCTGCTGGTTCCTCCACCGTTATATCATAAGAAGATCTCTTCAGAGCTCTTCTTGTTCAGTTATTCAAGCAAAATCCCCAGATCATCCCCAAAGTTGCGACCTTGGAATGGGAAGAGTACTGCATTTTCAACCAGTATGCCAGGTTTGATACCAGATATCACTAGCTTCAAGCACTACTGTACGAGGTTGTAAAAACACTAGTGCAGTAAGAGAAGGCAAAAGTATGTTTTTCCATCGATGGCCTGGACGAACATGGAGGAGACCCCAACGAGCTCATATCCACGATCAAAAACCTATTGGAACTAGGTAATATCAAGATCTGCGTGTCAAGTAGGCCCTGGCTCATCTTTGAAGATGCTTTCTTGCAAGCGCCAAATTTGTTATTGCAGGGCTACACTCGTCCTGATATCCTTCACTATGTAGCCTCGCAGCTCAATCAAAACGAGGGATTTGCAAGGCTACAGCGAAGAGATCCACAGTACGCTGGCGAGCTAATTGACAACATTACCAAAGAATCATCTGGCGTCTTCCTGTGGATTCGCCTTGTTGTTAATTCACTTCTAGCGGGGCTTACCTACGACGATCGCATATCGGACTTGCAAAGGAGGTTAAATCTCTTGCCACGGGACTTGGAAGCTCTGTATGTGGCTATAACAGAATCTTTGGATCCCTTTTACTTTGCACATGCGGCTCAGTACTTCAAGTTCATGGCAGCATGTTCTTCGCCACCCAGTGTCCTTTTGTTCTCACTCGCTGATGAAGAGGGCTCTAATTTTACCTTGGAGCTCCTAGTCAAGCGTTTCACAAAAGATGAGGAAGAAATTCGTATCGATACTGCACGTCGACAGAGCAATAGCAGATGTAAGGGGTTGTTGGAGATTGGGTCTGGTGGCAACGTACAGTACCTTCACCGAACTGTCAAAGACTATCTCAACGGTCCAGATGTGCAGTCGCGCTTGGACCAAGCGGTAGGAGACTATGACTGCCATCTTCAACATTGTTCAGCAAATCTCGCCCTCATCAAAGGGTCATTAGGAGAAGGAAGAACTATCAGTCGTTCCAGGCTCTGCATTCTGGTTAAATCTTGCGTAGTCGCCGCATCCAAAGTTATAGCTGATAAGTCCTCGATGATCCGACTTCTGGATTGCCTCGGCGAGACTATTCAGAGAGCATTGCCAGGGGATGAATGTATTTACATTCATAGCCTTCTTCTAGACCAAGATGATATTAGCCCTTGGCTTGAATTTCTCTATAGCACTGGCTTCATTGCTCTAACAGCCCGATTTGGCGTTGTAGACTATACTCGTGCCAGAGCGTCCAAAGGTGGCATGTCTATTGACACTAACCCGGATCATTGTGACCTTATTCAATATCTGCTCATTGATGACACAGCAACCAAAGCTTCTTTCTTGAAGAAATTATGAAGTCGACGAAGATCAGCTGTTGTGATTACAGAAAGGCCATGGCCACTACTATTGAACGCCAACTTTTGTCGTCCACCGGAGCCGTAACCGTATTATTGTTTGGTAGAAATGGGCGCCGACTCGGTTTTCGTTTTCGACCGTTCTGGGGCGACGTTCTGGTCTGAAACTCTTGCAACGCCAATTGCCGACTGCCGCTTTGGGCCAACTATGAAAAAATCATGGGAACAATGGGTGCCGATTTTGCAATTTCTGACCTCGAGAGGAGCCAAATTTGATCGACGTGTTATGAACTTGGTGATGAAACGGTTGTATCATACACAGACCGGATATATTGATCCGGAACGACTGTATATTGCATTGAAGTTAGCCTTGTCAAAGCAGGAGGAATTGGGATTGGAGTATTTGCAGGGTTAGTATGATGTGGGAGGTTTTTTTAGGAATGGCAAGGAAAGGTCACTTGATGTTTATGAAGCTATGAAAGACATTTGGAAATAAGTGCACACAGAGATTTTATGCACAATTAGAGAAGCCGTGTTGCTGATCCTACCCCATTCATTAAAGTGCAACAAACAACCCTGCAACGCATATATGGACGGACCATCTCAGAGTAGTATTGACCTATAGCCCACACCGATCGTAGTCACATGAGAGCCATAAATTGAATGAACACCCCCGCGCGAGCTGCGTGATATATGATAATGACATCAAGAACACCAACTCACGCTTTCCGTCAACCAACGATTACTACACTATGACTCTCTCAAGACTTACGAGAAAGACCCTAGCTGTCTCCCGGGGTTTCACCTACACTTATTATGTCTCCAACGCCAAGGCTGACAAGCCGACTATTATTCTCTTCCATGGTTGGCCTGACTCATCGAACCTTTGGGTCGGATTGATCAATGATTATCTTGTCCCAAATGGGTACGGTGTTGTTGCGCTGGATTGTCTGGGATATGCTGGCACTTCTAAACCTACCGACCTGGAGGCGTATGCATGGCAGCACATGGCAGCTGACGCCATCGAAATCCTCGATGCCGAGAAGTTGGGAAATGTTGTTTCTCTTGGTCACGACTGGGGTAGTGCTATGTGTCAACGCCTCTATAACTTTTATCCTTATCGTGTCGTTGGTCTTGTCATGGTCAATGTCGCGTACATCCCACCAGGAGGTAAGTTCGATCTCGAAGCAACAAACAAGGCGACAAAGGAGACATTTGGCCATGGCATCTACGAATACTGGCACTTTTTCACTGCCGAGGACTCAACAACTATCATGACCAGGAACGTCGAGTCGGTATACAGCGTCGCATTTGGCGATCCTTACACGTGGCTCGACAACTGGGTCAGTCCGGGAGGCATGCGCAAGTTCATTAGCGAAGGTCGCACGCAACCAACACTGCCATTTACTACTCCCAAGCATAGGGCAGACTTTATGGAGAGATATGCCAAGGAGGGTGGATTCGATGCACCAAGCTGCTGGTACAAGGCCTTTGTGGCCAATGTTCAAAGTATGTCGGACAGGAATATTTCTGAAGATGCCAAGATTGTCAATGTTCCTGCGTTTTTCTGGGGAGGAGAACAGGACTTTGTGTGTCGTCCTGCCGCGCTTCAGGGCTCAATTGATGACGGGTTGCTGCCAGATGTTAAGAGTGTTGTTAGACAAGGAGGGCACTGGGCACTGCTTGAGAAGCCGGAAGAGTTTGGTCAGGATGTGCTTCAGTGGCTACAGTCAACTACATTTGCTAAGTAAATGAAAAACAATTAGGGCTTTTGCCCTTTACGACTAACACAGTTATAGAAGTTAACTTAGCAGGGGTCAATTCCATAGACTTATTAAGATGTTATACCTATATAATCCCCGGATAATCTAACATATAATGGTATGCAACCACAGTTTCTATCTTGTTACCTAACAACAAAGAAGCATATCGCCAACCAATATATATCTTCAAAATACCTGCAGCTATGGGCTATCACACAGCTAATTTTGTTCCAACCCTTCGTCATACCACCTATCCGGCCATTGCCGAAACAAACCCCGAATTATCAGCAGATGGTAAAGTGGTTTTCATTACAGGCGGTGGTCAAGGCATTGGGCGCCAAATTGCCAAGTCTTTCCTCACTGCTGGGGCCAAAGGCATATTCCTTGTTGGACGAAATGAATTGACCTTGCAAGATGCAGTCAGCGAGCTGAACAATTTGCAAGGGTCTACAGGTAACAAAACGACCTTTCACTATGCCAAGACCGATGTTACAGATGCGGATGCTGTTGCATCTGCTTTCAAGCAGGCCATTGAAGTATTTGGTCATATCAACATATTGATCCAGAATTCTGGCTACCTTGATGATCACCGTTCTGTATTAGACTCTGACCTCGATGACTACTGGAAAACCTTTGAAGTTAATGTCAAGGGAGGTCTCCATGTCGTCAAACAATTCCTAAAGCAGAGCAGAGGTGGCGACACTATAATTAACATGAGCTCTGGAGCTGGACATCTCCCCTACATCCCAGGATACTCAGCCTATTCGGCGTCTAAACTTGGCTTTGCAAAGATCATGGAATATGTCCAACACGAGCATCCTGATCTGCGAGTCTTCAATATTCAACCTGGAGCTGTTGAGACTGCGATGCAAGCCAAAAGTGGTATTCCTGCCGTTGATGAAATTAGTATGTTTCTTACCTTTGCAAATCTGGGGCTACTTTAACCTTCTTTCTAGGCCTTCCGGCATCGTACTGTGTGTGGTTAGCTGGTTCTAAGGATGCAGACAACCTGAAGGGCAGATTCCTATGGACAAATTGGGATGTCGATGAACTGATGGACCGTGTTGATGAGATTAAGGAGAAGAATCTTTTGGTCCATGGACTGAATGGCTGGTAAATGTCAACGTAGCTCTATGATGCCATTATAGATTTATTATTGCTTAGTAAATTTCACTGAAATATTATCTTGAGTATCTACTACACTCTGTTCCTTCATGTTTTTTATACCGGCTCTCAGCCTTGCCCTCGCCCACCCAGAGAGTCTGGACAGAGAGTCTAAGCAGTAGTGGATCTAACCTAGCCCAGTTGTATTCTGTGCCTGCACGGAATCAGTAAGACAGCCGTTTGCTCCAGTATGCATGTATATATATGACGTTGGCGATGTAGCCGCTTACTAGGCTGGCACTACTTTCTTGTCTTTCAAGCTATTAATCTATTGTTAAAAGGCAAAAGACTAAAATATAATAGGAGCGTCAATCCTCAATACAGGGCGGACTCTTCTTTACTATTCTTAGTCCCCTTCTCCCTAAGGTAATTGCATTTAAAAAGCTATAACATCTTTCCAGTGGTAGGAGACTTTCCTCGGTTGACTAGGATTTCAACCAGGGATGTGCAGCTGCAAGCGTAATAGGCTAATTCCCAAGATGGGTATGAATTAAAATGCGAAATTGTTAATTTGGACTCTGATTGGTCAACCCCAGATCACGACAGATATGCTAATATGGCAACTTATGATTCCAGTTCTTAGATACCATGTCATGATGTCATAAATAAGTTTCAATACTAGGAATCTTCACTTATGAATCTGTGACGTTATTGACATGGCCACATAGTGATAATCCCGCACCCTACAGAGCTCCTCAAGCCTTCCCAATTGCCGAAAAAAAAAACCCTTCCCAATGCTTCAGCAGGGATCGCATGGTGTGATAGTTACAGTGAGACACATCATTCACAAGTTATTAAGTGTATTTAGTTCAGAGATCCCCCAGTTATGATATGTACCTATTGTGCCTCATGCAGCCGGCGTAGCAAACCGAAATTACAACCATGGACCAAAAGATCGATTCGCCGCTGGATCTTAGCGATGACGCAGGCACTGTATCCACAGGACCTCCAGTGAACGAGAAGGCTCTGTTACGCAAGTTAGATTTGCGACTTCTGCCAGCTGTTGGGGTATTGTATCTTCTTTCATTCTTAGATCGCAGCAATGGTATGATATGACTTCTGCAAATAAAGGCTCATGAGTTAATGTATGTGAACTAGTTGGAAATGCTCGCATCGAAGGGATGATTGATGATCTGCATATGTGTAATGTCACATCTTCCTTTAACTTTGCTATTTCTGACAAATAGGATCGCAGCTGGTAATGAGTACCTGACTGGATTGACTCTTTACTTTATTGGCTACGTTATCTTTGAAGTACGCAATGCGGCCCTTAGATACATTTCTTCTAACAATCCTTAGATCCCATGCAATATCATCCTCAAACGAACAACCCCTCGACTATGGCTTCCCACACTTACAGTTGCCTGGGGGATTGTGGCAACGTTACTTGGTATTGTACAGAATAAAACTGGTTTCTTTATCGCTCGGTTCTTCCTTGGTGTTACAGAAAGCGGTCTATTTCCTGGTAAACTACAAAGCTGATCACTTGATGAGAAGATGTATTAACAAAACTCAAGGTGTCGTATATTATTTTTCAATGTGGTACAAGCGGCGAGAGAGACAGTTTCGTATCTCGCTATTCTTTAGCGCAGCTTCACTTGCTGGAGCTTTTGGTGGTATATTGGCATATGTATGGCTCTCTACATCAAGAATGTTCAGTTACTAACAGAATCAAGGGCATAGGAAAGATGTCAGGTATCGTTTGGGAGAATGGGTGGCGTTGGATCTTTATTCTGGTGAGTCTCTGTGAGCAGTCCCAGTACTAGACTGACCCACTATTAGGAAGGTATCGCCACGGTCGTAGTGGCGATCGCGGCATATTGGTTCATCGAGAATTATCCCGATACATCCAATTTTCTCACCGATGGCGAACAGTCTTTCATTCATGAACGTCTACACGCAGATAGTGACGCGATTCGTAAAGAGAGGTTTAGTTGGGCTGCTGTCCGAGAAGCGTTCGGAGATCCAAGCTGCTGGCTTTATGGGCTAGGGTTTCATACCATGAGCTTACCACTTTATACTCTCTCTTTGTTTCTGGTATGTCGCACTGGACTCCGTCTTTTATGCACGATACTGACTGATCAGCCCACGATTATCAAGGATCTTGGGTATACAGCAGCAGTGGCCCAGCTCTTAACAATCCCGCCTTATGCTGTTGCCTTCGTCACTACCCTTGGTGTTGCTATAGCCTCGGAAAAGCTCGCCAAACGTGCGGTTTTTATCGCTGGTTCCTCAGCCGTTGCCGCCATTGGATACATAATCCTCCTCGCCAATACCAATCCCACTGCCAGGCCCGGAGTCTCCTACATGGGGACATTCTTTGCCGCAGCTGGAATTTACCCTGGCACAGCCTTGGTACTCAGCTGGCCAGCTATCAATGTCTCCGGGCAAACCAAGCGTGCCATTGCCAACGCTATGCAGATCAGTATTGGCAATCTTGGTGCGGTAATGGGGACGCAGCTATACAGGTCAGGTGATGGCCCACGATTTGTGGTCGGTCACTCTATGGCTCTGGCATACCTAATCGCGAATGTCATTGTGGTGAGTATCTTGGGGTGGCGATTGAAGAAGCAGAACCAGAGTCGGGAGGCTGTCAGTGAAGAGATTAAGCATGTTGGCAATGTTGAAGATTGGAAGGGTGATTCGGATTCCAGATGGAGGTTTGAGTACTGACTTGGGCAAGAAAGATACGTACAGTAGGTTGTTGGAAACTATGATATGAACCAATCTTTGAGCAAGTCGTCCATGTTACAGATTAATTGAAGGTTACAAATTGGCCATTCCTTCACACCATGAGTATGATCGGAGTTGAATATCCTGTTGTCTGATAAAACTCAGTCCAAACAACCCCTTAGTAGCTGGTCCAGAATCCATTGAGCATATTTATGAACAATGTAATCAGTCAAATACCACATAATTTAAAACGTGATGAACCAGGAGATAAAGTTCAATTGAGTGGGTGAATATATATAAAAATCTATTCACCTCGGTCCTAAAATTATATCTTGTTAAGAAGCGATATGTACTACCTATTGATGCAACACTATAGGTGGTATATTCTAGTTCAACCCGACACCTCGAGTTCCTTCTTCTCACTCTCCCCCAGGAGACCTAGTGCCTCTCTTCGCGTCGGTGCAGATGCATCGAAATAAGGCTTCTCGGCTAATGAGGTTACCCGGGTACCATGTCGTGGCTCTCTGCCACTGTAGTCCCAACTAGCATTATGGATAGTAATGCTGTAACAATTAAAATTAGCCACATACTTGAGGATCAATAGAGTACTCACCGATTGTCCCAGAGCGCTGAGGTTCTAGGTGTCCACTTAAATCGGACCTGTATGTCAACATTTGTCTCATAAACATCATACAGATAGTTGAGAATAACATCGCTCTCCGTCTTGTCAAGACCAACGATTCTGTCGGTCATTGCACGGTTTACCCAAAGTGCTTTCCAGCCTGTCGCAGGGTGGACTCTGACTAAAGGATGTACTCTCTCAACATACTTGGGACCTTGTTCAGGATGATCGCGGTCAAGGTACGGATGCGCTGACTTGTAAACAGCCAAGCGACCATCGATGATCTTTCGAAATCCTGGGGAGAGCTTTTCATATGCTGCGTAGCCAGAGGCCCAGAGTGTATCACCTCCAACGGAAGGAACCGTGTCATTATGAAGGTGTGTGATACCTGCCGGCTGTTTCTCGTGGACCAAGTCTGTGTGCCAACGAGACGCTCCTCCTGGCTGGCGGAAACTAGCAGGACGCTCTGTCGCTTGAAGATCCGGCCAGAGAACACTCACGCCTGGCAGACCTGGAACCTGAGGCACCTGTGGCTTTTATAATTGTTAGTTTCCGGATACAATATTGGACATATCGTTACTCACATGCACTTCAACTTCTCCATACCATTCGCCGAGTTCCTTTTGCTGCTGTGGTGAGAGATCCTGGTCTCTGAAGAAAACAACACTTCTCTCGGCAATTAAAAGAGCAAGCTCATCGCGTTGCTGATTGGTAAGGTCTTTTAGCTGCAAACCTTCAATCTCAGTTCCAATATATGCCGTGAGATCAGTGACTTTTGTCGCAGCAGACAGAAGACTCTTCTTTGACTTGTCAGCTCGCGCACCTGCATCAACGTGATCACGAGGCTTGTCGCGAATCTTGTACACATCATCTAAGTACAATGGACGAGACGGACGGTATGGATATCCTTTGGAAAGGTCCACACCTGATTTCTCGAGACGTCGCTTGGCAGCGTCCGGCAGGAGCAGAGTGTCTTTGATGGGCGGGGCGACATCTTTGATGCTGGGGTCAATTGGTGCAGGAGCCATTTTGTGCAGAGTAAACAAATCTCTTAAAATAAATTATCACACAGTAAATTCTTAGTATTCGAATAAACAGCAGATGAGGTATCTAGATATATCATTGTCTCCTCCTTACAGTACTACCCTAGGATCACGTCATGGGAGCACAGAATGGCAAGGGTCAATTCATTCACATCCCATTGGCAGGTCGTCCAGGTGCAATATGCAAAGGTTATTGCAACATAGACGCAAATGTCTATATATGCAGATTGCGACATTAATCATTGTTGACTAAGTTGGGGCCAAATGATAAAGCTGCCTGATAATTAAAATATTTGCAACTGCAACAGATCCATGGTAGAGGACAATTAAAGCGATGACCTTCCTATAGTATAAGCAGATTACAGATACGTATAAGGTTAAAGTCTCTGAGCTTCTTGCTACTAGCCTACTGTAAATATGTAGAAACTTTACTATACAAACTTCCTGGATTTCATTGTGAGATATCGAAACACCCATGCAGCTGGCACTTGTACCAACTCGGTCGCAGGTACATGTCGAAACAGCAGTTGTGGGGACATTTTCACGGATAAGAAGGAGTGATAACATGTACCTTCGGAAATAGGACAAATGGTTCCGCATACCAATTAGCGATATTGTCGGCAAATAAAATGATAATCCGATCCCCACTATTACGGAACAGTTGAAAGTGGGTGACGACTATTCCTCACGGACCATAATACTCCGTCACGTCTTCTCCAACTGCAGAGTGTTGTAAACCCGAATTACCTGGAACGGAGTATTTTCGCTTGTCCCCTGCCCTCTATCACACGAAAGATCTCATTGTCTAGAGCTTGTGCGTTGGAATCGGCCTTCAAAGCACAGTACTTTAGTACCATTCCCGTTGATCATCTTTTACTCCCGTCATATCATCATTGGCCGAGACTACCCTAGACAATGGCATCGAGACGCAGTAACCATTCAGCTGAGACTGAGACTGTAAACGGAACCGGGCGACAGCCGAAATCATTAGCTAGGGCATGTGTATCATGCCGGACAAAGAAGGTCCGCTGCGATGCTGCACGGCCACGATGCAGTAACTGCCACAGTCAAGGACGTGAGTGTGTTTATCACAATGAAACCCCGAGAAAACGGTACAGTTACATTGTGACAACGTACGTTCCACGCTGACCGTCCCCGGACCCACGTTTTCGCAGATCTTCAAACTTCAACGCGACGCGTCTGCTCTCAAAGCATTTATCGTGACTCTCAAGCAAAGTAACCCACAGGAACGTGAAAAATTACTCTCATCCGCTGTCGACAATGATGGAAATGTCAGCTTGCCAGTTTCAGTAGATGAAACTCTTCCAACACAAACCCAGGTTTCCTTAACTGGCCTCTCTTCCCGACCTGCCATTGTATCCGATGATGAGCTAGACATTGCCAGCTTTGTATCTGTTGATGACTCGGGTGAGACTAACAGCTTTGGCCCGTCATCTGCCTTATATAATCCAGCCAGGAATGATCCAGACAATAACACGCAATGTAACTGGACATGGATCGAGAATGTCAAGAACAGTTTGATAGCAAATGCTGCTCTGCAGAGACATCTGGAGCATGGGCTCGTGAAACATTCCACTATTGCAGGGGTACCGACGGAGTTGGCGATGCATTTACTTAACCTCCACTGGGATCGTCAGCACCACACATTTCTTCTTACCTATAGACCTGCTATCATGCGCGATTTGCAATGCTCAGGTCAGTTTTGCTCCACCTTTATGCTCAACGCCATCTTCGCCTGCTGCAGCAAGTTCTCGCCTCGTCTAGAAGTCAGAGAAGACCCTGGAGATCCATCGAGCGCTGGTCTTCAGTTTTTCAATCGGTGTGACAAGCTTCTTGCAAAAGACTCCCTCCTCATGCGACCGCACATTACAACAATCGTGGGACTTCTCCTTCTAGGCTCAACATACAACGCTCGTGGAGAGACATCAAAAGGATGGTTGTATACTGGTTACGCTCTGCGAATGGTCTATGACTTGGGTCTCCATCTGGACCCTAAACAGACGACAGATAACTCAGAGGAGATAGAAATCAAGAGACGAGTGTTTTGGGGCGCTTTTGTCTGTGATAAGCTCCAGAGTCTATACTTGGGTCGACCAGTGGCCATTAATCTTTGCGACTACCAGGTATCGCGCGAGTTTCTTGACTTGTACGAAGAAACAGAACCGTTTCATATCCCGAAGTTGGCAGCAGAATCCACCTCTAGTTTGCCTAGGAATATGGATGACATGGTTCCTAGGTATTCTGTATCAACCTTTCAACAGTTATGCCTTTTGTCCAAGATCATGACGACCATTATCAATCGTTTCTATGTTGTCGGAGCCACATTTTCAAACGCCCAAGACAGTCTCCTGAAAATTGAACAGGCATTACAGAAGTGGCGAGAAGACTTAGCTCCCGAGCTTGACTTCCAGCCCTGGATTTCAGCAAGCACACAAGCCCAGACGCCGAATATCATGGTCCTTCACAATCTGTATTACTCTCTTATCATTTTGGTCCATCGACCATTCATCTCGGACGGGCATCTTCGCTCAACCGGAACGCCATCTCGATCCTGGGAGCAATGCACAGATGCAGCGCGATGTATTACAACTATAGCATCAGTTTACAAGTTGACTTATGGACTCAATGGAGCGCCTTATGTCCTGGCATATACAGTCTATGTAGCATGTACCATACATGTCCGCAACGCGGCTTCCCAAAGCCACAAGGGGGACCATTTGGATCTACTGAGGAGGAGTTTAGAATGCCTGGATCAACTTTGTATTGCGAATCCGGGTGTTGCTAAGCCGGCCAATAGCATCAGGCGCCTTATTGAAGCCAATCGTCTCAACCTGACAGTTGGTAAGTCACAGCAGCTTCATTGCACTGCATCCATTCGTTCTCATAAAATCCCAGGAGAAACAAACTCATCCATGTCACCCGATATTTCGTTCGACTTGGATGCAATCCACAATTCATTCACTATGACAGAGTGGCCCTATCCAAATTACGAAATGAACACTGGCGACATGGACTACAATTTGCCACTTGATCCATTATTTGGTTGGATTAATGTACCAACCCCGTCACTAGATCAGGACACCGAACCAGGATTTTTATATAATTGAATAGCATTATTCTATATTCCTTCAAAGATAGTGTATTTTGGGAGTAGTGAGAACAGGGATAAAGCAAAGACTGCTAGGAAAAAAACAATATGAAATCCATTTTTTATGCATGCCTATTACCTCTATGTTTATCGGGGAGTGAAAATCATCTTTTCCTGCCTTCAAAATTACTTAGACACGAAATTCAAGGCGTTTAGGACAGATCCTGGCTGCTCTGCGAGTCTGATTGGAAGACAAGTCTTCGCTTAGTTTAAGAGCACCGCCCGGAGACTCACTTTCCGATATATGTGGATCACGGAGAATGATTGTCCTGGCGCCATTATGTGTCTTGCCAAGAATACCTGACATTGTTTGGAAACTTATGTATATATTTAAAACAAGACAAGATCGCCTTGAATCAGTTCTTGAACGTTCAAGCACATGTTTCCAATTACTGCGCACGCTCAGATTTCTCGCTGTAATCTCTTCAAATACCCGACGATTCAGACCCCACATCTTTTCCAACATGTCTCATCTCCCTCAAAACGTCGACGTCTTGATCGTGGGCAGCGGCAATGCTGGATTTGCAGCAGCTCTGTCTGCGGCTGAAAACGGAGCCAAGAACATTCTAGTCGTAGATAAGTGTCCCGAAGAATGGGTTGGTGGCAATTCTTATTTCACTGCTGGCGCCTATCGAATTGCCCACGGCGGTCTCAACGATCTGTTACCGTTCGTCAACAATGTTCCACATGAGCAGGTGGGAAAGATCGACCTTGCGCCCTATACCGAGAAAGATTTTCAAGATGATATGGATAGAGTGTGTATGGGACGTTCAGACCCAGAGCTGGCCAAGACACTCATTCAAAACTCTAACTCAACTATCAAATGGCTCGCTTCAAACGGCATTCGCTTCCAACTGTCCTTCAATAGACAGGCATATGAGGTTGATGGGAGGATTAAGTTTTGGGGAGGTCTTCACATTAAGACTCAAGATGGAGGCAAGGGTCTTATTGAAGACTACCTTGCCGCGATCAAGAGACGGGGCATCAAGGTTTCGTGGTCAACAGCGCTCACCGGGCTGCAAAAGCGTGAAAAGGACGACAGCTACGACGTTCAGCTGTTGGTCAATGGTCGGAGATGCTCACTGAACGCCAGCGCCGTTGTATTGGCTGCCGGAGGATTTGAGTCGAACCCTCAAATGCGAAGTCAATTCCTCGGTGCCGGTTGGGACATGGCCATGGTCCGCGGAACACCCTACAACACTGGGGATGTTTTGAATATGGCCATCGAGAAGCTGGGTGCGAAGGCTGTAGGAAACTGGTCTGGGTGCCATTCCGTTGCCTGGGACGCTAATGCTGACCCAAATACTGGCGACCGAGAAGCCTCCAACGAGTACACCAAGTCGGGTTACCCTCTGGGCCTTATGCTGAATATTGATGGCCAGCGTTTCGTCGACGAAGGTGTGGACTTGAGAAATTACACTTATGCAAAGTTTGGTCGGGCTATTCTCCAGCAGCCAGAACAGCTTGCCTTCCAGGTTTGGGATTCAAGAACCATTGACTGGCTACGAATGGAGGAGTATCGAGAGGAGCGTGTTGAACGTATTTTTGCCAAGTCCATAGAGGAGCTCGCGGAGAAATGTGGCGAGCGTGGACTTCGAAACACTGCAGCATTTGTCAACACAATCCGAGAGTACAATGAAGCAGTTCACGCGCATCGTCAAGAAAACCCCGGCGCCAAATGGGACCCCGCCATCAGAGACAACGTCTCAACTCAGTCTTCAAAGAAGAAGTTGGCTTTGGCCAAGTCTAATTGGGCTTTGCCCTTGGATCAAGGTCCTTACATGGCAGTCAAGGTGACTTGTGGCATCACCTTCACCTTTGGAGGTGTCAAGGTCGATCCTCAATCTGCTCAATTGATCCACGGGTTGACAGGGTCTCCAGTACCGAACGTTTTTATTGCAGGGGAAATGGTGGGAGGCTTGTTCTATTCTAATTACCCTGGCGGTAGTGGATTGACATCTGGCGCAGTCTTTGGAGCGAAAGCTGGGAAGGCTGCTGCCCAGGTCGTGACAGAGCGAAAGCCATTGCAAACTGGTCAAGCGTTTCCAAGCCGTTTGTAATTAATACCGGTTAGTCTCACTACGAGGGTTTGTGTGGTTTTCAAGTGCATTCGCAAACGTCTCAAACCAGACCATGCCGTAGAGAGTGTTATGCCTCATATAGGTCCAGTCAAGTATCAAATAATTATATTGAAACCATTGGCTTTGTGTTTTGATCGCCCCTTTTTGTTGCATGCCAATGCTCGGACTCTCCTTTCTTTCTATCTTGCTCAATTGGCTCAGTCGAAGCGAGTCAAGTAGTAAAAATGACACCACCTAACACAACCAAAAGGGCGGACTCGTCACAAGACGCTTATCACCAGTGGCGTTATTAGACCACTCATATGCGTTGATATCAAGCCATCGACCCATTTCTCCAACCTAAAACTCAAGGCTGAATTGCAAACGTTACGCCACTCACTTAAAAATTCCAATGAAGCTTCCCCAGTCTAGGGTTAGCTTTATCCGGGGAAGCAAGAGTTACCAAGCCCTTGGCTATTGAGCGAGTCAGTACTCTCAATCACCAAATCCAGCGCCACTAATTACCGTTTATCATAACGTACGCTCCCTCCGCATTGCATCACAAATCATTTCTCTAACTTTTCCATTGTTCTCTTGTTCAATTGCGCAAAACTTCGCTTGTTTTACAAGCGCATCCTCGCTTTTGTATGACAGTCCCTTATACGCACACATGAAGAAATAATGGCTGGACTTCAACCCAACATTTGGGCTGGCGTCGCCATTCCTTGGCTTGCAGCGCTATGCTCACTTGTTATGCGTGTTTGCGCGCGACGAATGACCAAAATGAGTTGGTGGTTCGACGACTACTTTTCCATCCTGGCATTCATCTTTGCAACAGGCTACTGCAGCATCATGGTGGAGTGTATGCGACATTCTCGGAATAGATCTCGGCCCTGACTGACAATTAACTAGGGACGTTGCACGCGTACCTTGGCGTCAAAATTCCCGACTCAATAACCACGGATGAGAGGGAGGCGATTCTACAACAAGCCCGGTTCCTTAGCTTCTTGAATTCTTTATGCTATGCTTCATCCATCGCCTGCTCCAAGATAGCCATTTTGACGCTTTACTGGCGCCTTTTTAAGATTTCTTCAATCCGCATACCGATCCTGGTTATGCTTGTGATGGTCGTCATATGGATTATCCTCCGAACCTTTATGCTTACGTTCCGTTGCGTCCCTGTGCAGTCACTCTGGGACTACAGCATTACAGACAAGGTCTGCAACCTTGACAGTGGCGAATTCTTTCTAGGAACAATTACCACTCACTTTATTATGGATATCGCTATCCTCATTTTGCCAATTATCGAAGTTGCTCGACTGACCTTGCCAAAGGGACAAAAGCTAGCGATCGCTGCTTTATTTCTCCTGGGAGCTATGTATGATCTACCAGTCATGCTAAAAAATGTTTGTGGTTTTTCTTGAGGCTAATACTATATCTAGTGTCTGCTTTGCCTCAATGTTTGTTCTAGTCGAACTTGTCAACTATGACAGTAATACGACACAAATGCCATATGACTATGCTATGTTCTGTATCTTAGGTTCGGTGGAAGTGAACATTGCTATCGTTTCAGGTGAGCAACAATCTGAACAAGTCAAATTATATAATGATATTAACTCGAACGAATCAGCTTGTTTCCCTCTTTTACGCCCGATATTCAACCACATACTGCCCATTAGCTTTCTCACATCCTACGGAAAGAGCAGCCAGCGTATCAGTCGACCAAGTAATCTTATCAAATTAACAACCCTTGTCAGATCAAATAAGGACAGGGAACTAGATGACTCAAGCTCAACACATCACTTGGCTGATATGGAAAACGGACTCAGCTACGATGCAGCCAACGTTCAATATCCAAAAGGAGTGCATACAGTTATCTGTAGTCGGAAGTCTGTTTCTGTTCCTCATGATGATATGTCGGGGATATTTGTGCAAAATGACACAGTGGTGGAAGTTAATCATCTCTAGATTATAAACAAATACAGACTAGTAGCTCGAGTCACTCATTTGTAACCAAAACTTGTGCATGTGGTCCTCTTGTTTTGGTGAAGTGTTGCAACGGAGTACATACCATTACATGGTTTATTTGAGACAAACCTTAGCCACGGCTGGACGGTAAGTTCACAAGAGGGGCTATCTCAAGTCCGGATATCAACCATGTTTGCTGTTGGTGGCTGTTTGACAATAGCATTGTTGTCAGTGAGCTTTTGCCGTTTCAAGGCGGCATATTTCCTTCTTCGACGCTAGTTCAATTTGCCATAATTGTTGGTTCACTTGGATGAAGGACAAGGACCAACGCACATACCTAAGATGCATTAGTGGTTTTATCCTACTGTACCCAGTGGGTTGCAGAATAGTTGGTCTCTAAAATTTAGGGTGAAAGTATAGTCAAAGCAACATGAACTGACCCGCGAATTTCATCTCGCAAGCTTCTACCAATAGCGGTCAATTTTTCTGATACTGTGGGGCATATGCGTTGCAGCAACAAATGCCGAGATCGTCGTCCTTACTGAGACAGACTCATTAAACTCAATTGTCCCAGCTATTCCGAATACGACAGCACGCTAACGATGATACCGCCCAAGCGGTATTAATTACACAACAGGCGACATTACTTAATCCAGATATTCGTGCATTGACAAACAATCCTTGGCGCAGATTGTTTGTTTTGCGCATTGACTTGTGGAACATTCGATCCTCATCCTGGTAATGCACGCCCGCCAAATCCGAATGGATGCAGAAGGGCTAATGGATACTGCCCGGACTATCCGTACTTAAGTCACAACTGTCCGACACTATGATACTGGCAACACTCCTTCCGAGCTCTGTACTTGACAAGTTCAATCCACCATGAAACGATCAACTTTACTCATTCTCTTTAACTATCTTGCCGGCGCAGCCTTGGCTAAGCCCAAACCTGTACACCACGACGTTGATATTGCTATCATTGGTGGTGGTGCGACAGGTGCTTATGCTGCTGTCAGACTCCGAGAAGATTACGGCAAGAGTGTCTTGGTCATTGAGAAAGAGAACAAGCTTGTGAGTAGGCCGACCTAGGACGAACCTCATCTCTATTCTAACACGAGTTTCCAGGGCGGCCACGTCCATGCTTACCAACCGGATGGCGAGGACAGGCCTATCAACTACGGAGTTCAAGCGTACCTGAGCCGAGAGAACACCAAAGAGTTCTTCAAGCGATTCGATGTTGGTCTGATTGATCCGGATCCACAGAGCGGGTTCGATCTACTTTTTGGCACCAAGGACATCGATTTCAATACTGGAAAAAATGTTGATGTTGACTACGGGCTCATCAACTCAACTGTCGCATTGATCGAGTATGCTGCACTGGCTACCAAATATCAGCCATATTTTGAGAATGGTTATTTCAAGAAGGGTAAAATTCCAGAAGATCTTCTCTTGCCTTTCGGAGAGTTCCTCAACAAACATAGCCTTGGAAGCTCCCTTGCAGTTCTCCGAACGTTGATTTGGCTGTCTGATGCAGCGAACACACCTACGTGGTTCGTGATGGCTGTTGTTGGACAACCCCAACTCGCCGCCCTGGGATTCGGCCTGGCAGGCCCATCTTTCAAGTATCCCGAGACTTACTCTTCAGAAACACTTTACGATCGTGTTCTTGAACTCATGAGGGATGACGTCATCCTTGAGAGTACTGTGGTCTCGAGCAGTCGAAAGGCCAAAGGCGTCGATCTGGTCGTGCAAACACCAAACGGGAAGAAGCATGTCAAAGCCAAGAAACTTCTTGTTGCAGCAACTCCATCCCCCGGCAACACCGACGCATGGGACCTTGACAGTAATGAAAAGTCCATCTTTTCCAAGTTCTCTTGGGAGACCCTCTACGTCAGCGTTGTTAGCAAGACGAACTTGCCTTCTGATGTTACTGGTATTCGCAACGCATTGGACAACCAGGGTAACTTTTATCTTCCTCAAGGTAACTTTGTGGATGCGTACACTCGAGCGGATGACAAAGACCTCTGGACTACGCGTGTCCTCGGCCGGGCCACTCTGACAGCCCAAAAAGCAAAGTCCATGATCAAACAAGTCTTCTCCAAGATTGACGCTGCGGGGACATATGATGTTACTGACCCTGATATCCTGGCTTTTGCCTCACATGGACTTACTGTGCCTAAAGTGTCACCTGAGGAACTAGCTGCTGGATTTTACCAGAAGCTTTATGCGCTACAAGGTCAGCGCAACACATTTTGGACTGGACTTACTTGGGCCCCGGACTACACTCCGATCTTGTGGGACTTTACTGAGAAGCTTTTCCCTCAAATCTTGTCCGGCATCTAGTTATTACGTCAACACCAACTGTCAAGTATATGATGTAGATAGTCTTGAATATTTGCACTTAGTCTGAGCTTTATCACTCATGCCAAATTCACGAAGCTTGTTGTCATATAGGGCGATGTAAATTGAAGAGGCAGTCATAGCAAATAAGAGTGAAGTGGTATCTATTTCAATCTTCATATTGTATCCAAGTCAATTTATTCAATGAAATGCCCATAAATCCTCTATCCTGCCTTAAGATCTTCTTGCTGAACTTGAGCAAAGCTAGGTGGTGCTTCCTCTTCATCTGGAGGCTGAATCCATGATTCGTTCCGCTGCACCGACGGCCCAGCTCTTGCATCCGTCTCCAAACCACTTCCCTCCAGTGAAATCTGGACTGGTTGCCCTTGCTCATCGCTTGGCGTCAATATCGTCAAAGGTACTGCACCTGAAACGTTAAAGCGCTCTCCGGCGATATCACCACGCAGTTCCCAATGCAGCCTATGCCAGTGGCGAATATTAAAAGTTGTGAAACTGGGGGTAAATGCATTTCTTCCAGAGTTTAGTTGCCGAGAGAAACCGGCGGTTGATCTTCCAAGGCGCAAATCGACCAGCTCCCCAATATCAAGCGGAGGTTCTTCGTTGAAAGGAATGAATAAACTGGTTCCGAGTGTGTTCATCGAATTCATGACGCAAAGACTAGTTGTCGAGTCCTTCTCCTTGGTATGGGGTGAGAATGTTCCTTCGCATTTAATTTCGGTGATTTCCATAATGGACAGGTTCAGCCAATTCAGTTTTACCTTTTGTGGCACGTCTCTAATGACTTCGCTGGTTTGCTTCCAGTCTGGAACGGCCTGTAATTTGAACGATATTGGTGTAGGGTTGTCCAGCTGAAGAACTGTGGGTATATTCACTATTAAGTTGAAGTGGAAATCTGGGACACCGGAAGTATTGAACGACCGTTTCATTTTTTGAGAAAACGATAGCTTCATTTCCTCCATTCCGGGTATAAGTCGGTAACTTGATACTGTTCGGTGATTAGAGGAATGTCGAAGCCCAAAATCTGCAATGGGTGGATCATTTCTCAAAGTCAAAACCTGGAAGGGTAGCGTAGCTTCGGGCATGTCATGGTGTCCTTGGCCGGTAAGACGCAAAGTGGCTGTTAAAAAGTATTCGACAAAACCTTCCGTGCTACCTGAGGTGCGAAGGGTATAAGTCGATGGCAAGTCATAGACCCTGTTTTGAAGGGGCAGGTAGCTTTCTTTCTGGTTGGCGCCACTGTAAGTTTCTGGATCAACATATTTCGGAAGCGTAATTGCAAACGGCCAGACGGCCTCGTCGCCGTCGCCTTTGATATGGAGTGGACCCTCAAAGATCGTTTGTGAATAACCAGTTCGCGGGATTAGACTAAAGCGGCCTCTGTAGGTTGATGAGTTGTTGTTACCGCGCCTTACAATCATCTTGGACTTCGCTCTTCCAGACAGGGATATTGAAACCCTTGAGTTTGGGCTCATGGCATGGGTCGTTCGATATACGCATCCTATGATTGTGTCGCCCGGAGAATATGACTGGCTGCCCTCGAGGCGTATGCCTAGTTGTGGCCTTAATGTGCTTAAAGTTTGAGGCATCACGTTGGAAATTCGGATTTGAAGTATGTAATAATCGCGAGACGTGGCAGATAAGGTCTCACGTCATGTTTAATAGGAATTGGAAATTAAAGAGGCACAGCCTGGTGGGTACCAGAAAATTTAGCCCCCAGACTTGAGACCCAAAATTAAACAACCAAAAAAGTGCTATTAGTATATGATGAACTGACTTACTAAATTTGTCTTTTGTGCTTCTAGAGACGAATTTTTGTGAACACCTAATCCACAAAAATCTGGACTCACTACTTGATTGGACGTGGTTCTGGACAGAGATTCGAGTTATGCAGATCACTGCTTTAAACGTATACAATGATATCATCAGTGCAGGGTTAATGTGAGCCAGTGCCTATTTAACTCCGTTAATATTAAATATACTATAAGCTTATCTTCCAGTCTGATTAATAGTTTAGAAACATAATATATAACTTTTCTGGTCTACTGCATTAGAAGAGGCTAATCCTCACGTGAATAGCTAAGATAGCCCGTGAGCGTTACTAATTTGTAACAGAGCTGTAGATTAAGATTGAGCTGCTAATCAAATTTTGACTCTGCTACAGCCGAAGAATACCTTAGTCAGCAGGCCAAGCTTCACCAATAGCACCTTGGTAAAGCGCAAGGAATGGTAAGTTAAGAGTCCTCCCATTCTCTTCTGCCCTGTCGCAAGTTGTCAAGCTGGTTCTTCCATATGACTTGAAATGGTATTAACAACATATCCTTTCCAACGACCTTAAGTTTCACTTCCATGCCCTTACCATCTGGTCCTCTAACCTAGTTCTTACTAATCCTTCCAATAGCATTTACATAATCCCGTAGTGCCTTCTTAAACCTTGCCGAATCTTCCTTCATTGTTTGCACAGATATCCTCATTTGAATACCCTTTCCACGCTTCTTGTGCCCCGGATCCTAGGCCCATTGAACAGCAAAATGATAAACTAGATAAATAATCATGACGACGTCACTCCTGATTCTAAACATTGCCAATACACTTACAATGCGTCCTTCTTATTAGTCATAATCTGAAGGTTGTCACAAGCACTGCCAAGATACTCTGACCATACAATCATTAGGTTTGGACTGCCGAAGATAGCAAAGAGGTAATGGAACAGCATAACCTGTTAACAGAAACATGTGTATTTATTATTAAAAGAAAATAGCCTGGAAGCTCCAGACATCTGTCACCACATCCACACCGACTAAATCCCCCAAATGTCCAAAAAGTTGAATGGCAATGTCGTGGAGCATATGTAACCTGTCGTGGAAGCAGTATCTCACCAGCATCAAGCTAGGTTTAAGCACTCTGTCACCAGTCCCATCGGCAAGGAACACAACCAGCGGCTCGTTCATGTCATTGAACGCTGCAAAAGACATGGCGCTGTAAATAAAACAAGATCTAATGTCATGAAGCTTTCTGAGACCAAGATCATCACGAACACTCTGAGCTTGCAGGTTCTGTAAGATGGCTAGGTTGGCGACTGCCAGAACCTTTTCACTGTAGGTATTCCTACTTGTAAGACGTCGGAGCTGTGTACGACCGCTCAAATGTAAAGATGAAGCAAGGGAGTGTCCGATATAGTCGAACGCAGTACTGCAGTTTGTATCAATTGCCGCAACTGCACGTACGAACCGTCGGATGGTTGTAGGGCAAATATGGGGCATCGTGATAAAATGGACCCAATCTCCTTCAGGGGCGAGGTGAAACTCTTGGACCAGCCAGCGTGGTGGATACTCCAAGAGTGTGATGATGCTGTCTTGATTGAAGTGCGTTGGAACTTTGTGTTCTGCGAGGAGCTCGCGCAACATTCTCGCGTTGCCCAAGCAGTAGTTCCAGATGGTGACCAGGTCAGCCGTGGTGTAAGTCTTTTCAAAGAGCCACGTTTCCAAGACAGCGCGAGGGTCCACAGTTCCAGCCAGGGCATCGAATTGCTTGCAATGGTTGGGGCAGTAGCTGATCACTTCCCCAGAAACCATGATTCCAAACACTTTGTGGTGACTGAGCGTGATGCCTTGCACTACGGGAGTCTTTGAACTTGCCCCTAGAGCACCTGGTGGCCCTAGTCGGAGCCCATCAGCGATGAAGCCGAGATCCAACGCACCATCAACATGAATGTAAGATGGAACTACTTCAATCTGAGCTAGTGTTTGTGTGAGTTCAACAATATCATCCTGACCTCCAACAAAGGTGGTGCCTCTATTGGCGAAGAGGATCATCTGATAATGCTCTTGATGGGCATCGCATTCGGCTTTGTCGGACAAGACTTGCTGCATAAGTGCATTCGGAATCATACGGCCATATGCATCAGCCGGAATCTCGGCAAAGCGAGGTACTCTACCAGGCACCCAGCGACGAGTCCATGTATCACAATCCTTGACAGTCTTCTTGACGCTATAATGCGAAGCAGAAGAGAAATACACAAATGCATGCGGGTACTGGATAAGACCAGTGTGAAGTCCAATTCGGTTGCCCATGGTGCTACCTGTAGTGAAACAGGCATTGAAAGACTCCTGAGACTTTTCAGTCAAGAGGCCCAATGCTTGCTTCCGCTGCTGCAAAATCTTGGAAGCTTCGCATCTGGCCCATTCCTCGGGGATTCTGACCCCTAGAAAGTGTCCAATGACAGGACCTAGCGCCGAGTAGGGAGCTTGATTCAGGGGATAGCCACACGAATATCGAGCCGCAATCTTGAAGCTCTGAACTGTCTGCCACACCTTCTCTACCACCCCATCGGGAAGACGGTAGCGCGACTTTGGTGATTGAAGCTCAATTTGCACTGCAGCTTTGGACAAAAGCAGCTCATCATGAGACCCAAGGACGCGCAACAAAGACCTGATGTTCTCACCACTGATGCTGGGCTGCATTGTGAGAAGGTATTTATCACCTCGGACTGCTTTGGCTCCGAGGTCTACCAAGTGACTGGACCGACCGGCAGGGACTCGAATGATCAGGTCTAATGAAGTGGAGGGAGCATGGAAGTGGACGTCCAAGGACTTTAGTTCATTCATCAACCTCATTCTCCTGATGTAGCAACTTTCATAGATCTCTTGAAACCCTCTGTTTCCAAAACGAAGCTCTTGAAGGCAGAGCATAAGAGGGCCAATTGAGTCTCTCGATCCAGAAAGTGTTCCATCGGTACCCCTGACATATTCGACACGAGTTGGGGTTTGATTGCCGAGGAGTTTGGGCTTGAGTGCAACAACAGGAGGGGGATGGACATAGGCATTTGAACCTCCAGCAACAATAGTGCTCGCCATGATCTCACCATTGACGAGACAGCCACGCTCACCATGCTTAGCGTGATGAAGACGAAGACGAGGTATCCCTAGAAGTCGGCGAAAGTCCTCTCCTACTGTTGTCAAGAAGTCAAACACGCGGGAAGCATCCAGATGGAGCAAGAGTTGGAAGTTGCGAGAAATCTTGTCAATCATGGAAACATCATCCACTTCTCCACTTGTGTTGGCCAAAGTGGCGGCAAAGATGATAGGCCTTTCCCCGTTGGCAGTGAGGCGACGAACAGTATCCATCAAGGTATTTGAGTCTCTTAAAGACACTTGATGCCACTCAAGGCCGAATATGTGGGATGCAGCCTTTGCAAGCTCACTTTCGAGATGATCGATCAAGAGGATAGGCTCTTGTTTTGGGTAGTGAGAATAAAGCTCCTGTTTCAGAGCTCGAATGCCATAGTAGTTGCCTTCACTCCAGTTGGTGATATAGCCGGAGGCATCTGGGTCCTGTACCCTTTTGCCTTTGGCGAGGATTGCGACTCTTTCAAATGTTTTAAAGTGGAAAGGCCAGCTAGGTACATGTTAGTAACTGGTAGATCCCGAAATACAATACTGCAACTCACCTTGAATCAGTTTCATCCGGCATGTTTAGGTTATTATTGTGCCATGGAAGCCCGACATCGCGGAGGGTATCGGCGGTCTCCATCCACAGCTTGTCAAAGAAGGGGTCGAAAGGAAATGGCTTTGAGAGGCTCCATTGATGGTAAAGCTGATCGGCTTGGGCAAGTACTTCGCTAAGCTCTTTGCTGGGTTGTCTCCATCTAGTTATGACTGGCTCGTCAATCCACTGTGATCTCCCTTGAAGAAATGACTCTTCCATAGTGCATGGTGGGCTAGACTTGGCAGTACGCTGAGCTTCACCGTGGAGCTCATGAGGTTGGCGTACATGAGACTCAAGTGGGCTGAAGTGGGGAGCGTGACGCTTTTCTGATGGAGATAGCGGTCTTTTCCCGTCAGCATTGATATGGAGCTTCTCTAGCATCCATACAATACTTGGATCAGGATTCCCATTTTGAGTCCTGGTTGAAGATCTCGGAACGTGATAACTAGAGAAGTCGGAATCATAGAAAGATGGCATATCGACTGATGGTTGCTTGTCTTGACTGAATTTACATGTCTTCTCTTCTTCTTTATAGCCAAGTCATGGCGGAAAACCCTGTTGTTCTCTTTCCAACAAGTCCTACGGGAGGGGATGGCCGCGTCGACGGGAGAGACTTGCCGCTCGAGCGGAGATCGTTGGATAAGATTCAAACTCAAACCCAGATTTGGAAAAGACCACCGCGGTTATGATGACGTGGAAGTATCATAGCGCCGTTCATACCGTTGTTGAACAATTCTAAATTGCTGCGGCATGCTTATGTGCGTTGACCATGGAACGTCGCCCCTGTTATCGTATGTGCAGGGCTCTAGACGACGACCCACCACCGAGCATGACGGCCGACCCCTGACTCGGTCTTTACTATGTACTGGTACTTCTGTTTGACTTGACGGTCTTTTGAGATATAATATCAGATTCTTATGCAATTCGCTTACATGCGTCGACTGAAACTCAAGGATATGAACTGGCAACAGTCTGACCAAAAGTTGAGTTCCCACAGTCTATGCATGTGAGGCCTTATGACTTGATCACGCTCAGCTTACGAATTACAAGTAAGTAATCGAGATAATTAAAGGTTCAATCGTGAGAAAGGCGGTGAAGGAACGTGTTAGCCTCTCAGCAAAGTTTGCAATATATGATGAGTAGCAGTAAGTGTAGTTCGACGAAGCCACTTATATGTTCTATTCATCGTGGCCGGAAGTTCATGCGGCATCTATGGCCCAGTGGCGTTGACTCTAGATATCAAATCATCAAGTGTAGTTCTCATTTCATATTCTTATCTACTTGGCAAGCCTTTCACCACCAAGTCCAATAATGATGCCATAGCCTCGAGGTCGCACAAGATTCAAGCCTCTCTACTTTAGGCAAAATACAATCTGATCAATTTATGCAATTGGGGATCCACTGTTATGGTTTTTACTCTCAGTATACACTAAGCATAGGTCGCATGATACTTTTCTCGTAGTAATACTAAAGCCAAAAGTAATCATTTTCTGACCATTCCTTTGACCTCGATCTTTCTCTAGGAAGATACGCAACGAGGCTATCCACAGTCTGGTGATACGTTTTTAACTGTTTATAAGTAGTGGCTTTGCGCAATTAATAACCAAGGAATAGCCTGTTGATCAACCCTGGATCTCAAGGGTCTTGGCATCCGCTGGATTGTACGAAGAGAAGTAGTCGTCCAACACCACATCATCAGCGGTGAGCTCGTGAGTGTTACTTTTCAGATCATGGTAATGACGAAAGATCTGGGCGATTGTAACATAGATCTCATCATACGCAAGACTAAGGGATAGTCAGTGAAAAAATATTACTTGAGAGGTTGTCATAAAAACTTACTTCATGCCAACGCATGCTCTGCTACCTTTACCAAACGGCACAAAAGCTTTGTGAAGACGCTGAGGGTCTGATGCATTGACCCATCTGTCTGGATCGAACTTGGCTGGCTCCGGGAAGTATTCCTCATTCCGATGGATCAACCAGGAGCTCATAGAAACAACGGACTATGAGGGAATTCGTAAGAATAGTTCATTAAGTATGGGATCGCAATGCTTACTCCGGGTGGAAGGTCATAACCGTGAAATCTAGCGCCTCCTTGAGGAACGGTTCGAGGAAGTCTTCCGACTACACCGAATGATAGCCTCAGGCCCTCATTGACTACACCAGTCTAGAATAGTTAGCAGCTGATTACTGAGATTTCTTGCACTTCTTACCAGGTATGGCAGCTTTTCCAGAATCTGGAATCTCATCACTTCATTATCATCAGGGAAAGCAGCTTTGAGTTCCGCATGAAGCTTGTCATATACATTTTGGTCCGCGAAAACATAACGGCAGATAGTGGTCATGGCATTACCAGTTGTATCGGCCGCGGCAGTGAGGACAGTGTAAGCTTCATCTTCAAGATGGGCTACAGCGGCTGGCTTTCGACGGTCATCAGGAGTCATGAGAGCTGAGAATATGGTCGCTCTGCCATTGAGTTCAACAGATCCTACGTCAAGTTGTTTCTCAATGTTCCTTAACTTGCTGTTGCAGTGCTTTTAATGATAGAGTTAGCTGTGTTATCATGGGATCAAGAGCATTGGACTTACTCGTTGCATGTCAATAACATTAGTCATTGGTGCACTGACGATACGAACAAGAGGCTCGGGGATGGACCTCAAGACAGTCTTGAGCCATGGAGCCTGGCGAAAGATCCAAGCAGCAGGACCCAGGCGCAAAACAAGCATAAAGAAGTCGTAACCAAAGTCAGGTGTGTCCAACAAGCCGTAGCTTTCACCAAACGCATACTCAGTGATGACATCTATGGACACGGCTCGAAGAGCATGATGAAGGTCCATTGGCTTGCCAGTTGCGATTGTGTTGTCAATCGCTTTGCACACCTTACGGGCTTTGTCTTGGACAATTTCCTCGAGGTCAATCACAATCTTGCGCGAGAAGAAGGAATTGAGACCAGTTCGACGCTGGCGATGCAATTCATTTGAAGGCGTTGTGAAGGAAGAGTTTTCGTTTCCAAAGGCACCATAGAAGTTTGCGTCCTTGCTGTAATGACTTCCTACGTAGTAAATCTTGTCGTAGTTCTCAAGGTCGCTCAGGTGAACCTCCTCAGGCGTGATGCGAACAATAGGGCCTAAAACATGTGAGTCAGAATCCATAAGGTCAATTCCATTTCAAACTAACCATATATCTCATGCAGTTTCTCAATTTGAAGGTAAAAACGACTTCCACCTACAAAGCTATAGTAGCTTTGATATAGCCATGTGATAGCTGCCAGCCTCGGTCCTGGAACCTTGGCTAAAGGATGGAAGTAAAGTCTGTAGATGATGACAAAAAAGACTGCTGCTGGGATAGCAAGAGATATGAATTGGAACAATGTCCAAGACAGGTTGGAAGCCAAGAATCCAGTCGACATGATGAATCTTGTGTTTGGTTGCTGAAACGTACAAGTTGACTGTGTTTCCAAGGAACACAACACAGCCTTCTGTAGTGTATTTTGAACTTATGTTAGATTCTTATGAACTAAGCAAAATAGACCTTGTAAATCGTCTCATCCGATACATGCAGAACTTTCATATTCTTCACTGGTAAGTCTACGTATAGCACTCACTTTCCTCCTTGCCGTGATTACAATACCCCTGTAGAAGGGTCAAATACCTAATTCTGCATTTTTTGGAGATTTTTGCCAAGATATCAGGCTGGAATGCTTATATACGCACCTTGTTGCCGCTAGAGCCACTCTCTTGTTGCAGAGCCTCCCCATATTACGTGGCTGGCCTTGACTGTAACCCCCACGATGCAACGTCAAATACAATACGCCGCTGGTGAAGGTGCGTAAGACGAAAGGTCATCGTAATGGGTCAAAAGAAGATAATCTGACTAAGACTATGACGTGGTGTTCGCACTACCGACAGATCTAGTTCTCTCCTTTTTGTTATGCTGTAGATGTGAGCTAGTCCGAATAAGATGGATAGGTCAACAAAGCATTTGAAAGTAAAATTTGGGGGAAGTATCTGTACCAAAGTCTACAATCCCACGGTTGAAGATTAGGATCTCCTTCCATAAGCTCACATGCCACCCATGTTACTCACCAGTGAATACACTCAGCTAAATATATGACGATCTTTACGAAACTTTATGTCGTAATTTAACGGCTATAAGACGAGGTCAACTTCATCACCTCTATCTCTCAAACGCATCTTACATCTCATCTCAGCATACAACACTATCACAACCATGTCTTCAATCATAGAATTCGACTCGACGCTCAAGGACCTCTACGCACTTAGTCCTGGCGATGATGCCGAGATCCACCTCTGCCACACGATACCAACAGTGCAGGTGCAGATGACGAAGAAAATTCCTATCTGTAAGAAGTACGCCTACCAAGACCCTCTTTCTCACAAGGATAGAGGCGTCCAGGCTCGTATCTTTTCCCAAGTTGTGCCTCAGCTGTTTGGCATCATTGCAGGCAAGATGAACCTCATCATGTTTGACCTGGACGGACAAGGCAGAGATGATGTGGATCTGAAGCCTCGAGCAGACACACAAAAGGTCATGCAGCAGATCTGTGAGCATCAGCGGCCGACAGTCACCTACGTGCGAAGTCCTTCAGATGTCGTAATCTCCGAGGGGGCCAAACTCGGTCTGGCCAATCCTATGGACTGCCTCGAGCATCTTCCTGCCGCGGTTCCGCTCGAAGCTCACTACCGGGCACTCTCCAAGCGAGAGTTGGTGTTTTCAGGCTTACCTACACCACCCTCGATGGTGATCGACACTCAGCTCAATCCGGAGCAGGTTCTTGACTCGGAAATTCGGGCCAAAGAAGTAACCCAAATGCTCTCTTGCATCGAGGAAAAGAGCCTTCCATTTGTGGTCAAGCTTCCTCAGGCCCTTTCCGGCCAGGGAACCTTCCTTATTCGGAACGAGTCCGATAGGTCGGCAAGCTTGGCGGTTCTGAGACAAGAAGTGGATCATATGCTTGTTCAGCTCAACGACTCCAATAGCCATCTACATCCTACAAGCATCGTCGTACAGGAGATTGTTCCTGGTTCGGCTCTCGCGATTTCCTTGTTTTTGCCCAAAAACGGAGAACCGATCCTAACCTCGTGCTGCGATCAATTCGTATCTGAGGATGGTCATTGGGATGGTGGACATATCGACTACTCTAAGCAATCTCATCTCAAGGCTGAGTATCTACCTATTGCCAAAAAGATCGCCGCTTACATGAGCCGTCTTGGGTACTATGGCCCGCTGGGAGCGGATATTATGACCGATGTCGAGGGAAATCACTTGGTGATCGATCTCAACGCTCGTGTCACCGGTTCTCACCCCTTGGGATTTCTCAAGGGCTTTTTCAGCGTTACGCGAGGTTTCAACGACGCTGCCGTCTTTTTTCCTCTATTCATTAATTTGAGTTTAGACCAGTTTCGGGAGATATTCAGTGCCGAGCTAGACGAGGGGAGAATCGTTATTGCAGGTTGGTGCCATGAACAAGGGTTGCAGAGTAGTGTTACGACCATAATTGTTGCAGCGGAGGATCAGGAGCGCCTGGGGGCACTTGCACAGAGGATCAAAGCATTTGCCACTCTCGGTCATTGAAGAATGTTATTGGATATGACCTTACATTAAATGCCACTCATATACGGATACAGGTCTAGCTCATTACATGAATGCTCATAAGAAACAGTCAGCCTTACATCCTTGCGTCAGTGCCACTTGGAATCTCCCGTGCCGTAGTTAGTGTGCAGTACCTGGATTTCGGGGACTTTGGCGACCGGCAACTTGATCCGGTGACACGGCCCGTCCCTAGGCGTGGAGCTCTGTAAAGTTCCTTACAGCATCCATGAATAAGTATCCGTACTAAATCAAATATAGTAAGGTAAGCATTAGTCATAATAATTGACTGTGACTGATTTGGATTCTTGTGTAATGGTGCAGGGTTTTGGCCCTGTAAAGGTACTTACTGCATGCATACTATGTAAGTATCCAAACTAAGTCAAATAAAGTAAGGTAAGCATGAGTCATAATTAACTGTGACTGATTTGGATTCTTGTGTAACGATGCGGGGTTTGTAATTTCTCCTATTCGGGGAAAAGGATAATAGACATGGGCGGGGGTTGGGCAGATCTCGTCAATGTGTTGGTTATTGCGTATTACTAGCAGTACGTACCCTTCAATCTAGCTAGGATGTTGTTGGTTGTTGGTTGTTCGTTGTTGTCGCGTCACGCGTACTGTCAATTTTTCCCTTCTGTTTTCTCTTTGTTCCAACTCTCTCTACCCATTCTCCAATACCTTCCTTCCTACCTACCTACCTACATACCTACCGATACCTGAGTTTCGCCCTCTCGTTCACAATCTCATTGACGCATTGCTAAACAAAGCGCCACACAATAACTTAGTCACTCCATTTTTACCGCATCCCGGTTGAATCAACTTGGCATGGTGTCTCCTTCAACGCCTAAAACTCAAGGTCCTCCAGAGGTCCCAACAGCAATTGAACCAGACAGATATCAGAATGCCGTCCAGGATAAGCATGAGGGCTTTGATGCCTGGATTCAAGTTGTCGGAGCCTTTCTCATATACACAGCAACATGGTGAGCTTATCTGTTATCACCGCATTCAATGTGTTCAAATGCTTACTGGAGAAGGGGTCTCTTGAGTGCATACGGCTCATACGAAAAGTACTATGAGACAGTCATGCTAACATCTACACCCTCAACCAACATCGCTTGGGTCGGAACGCTCCAAGGTGTCATCCTTATTTGTGAGTCGCACAACCACAATCACCGTTATTGACGTCTGGCGCTGACAATGAATTGCAAGTGGGAGGTGTTGTGACCGGCCCAATCTTTGATCGAGGATATTTTAGAGAGCTTCTCATCATTGGAACCCTCATCACAGTACTTGGCGTCATGATGCTGAGTTTGGCCCACAGTTATTATCAGGTCCTCCTCGCCCAAGGCGTCTGCGTCGGCATTGGGAGTGCAATCCTCTATGTACCAAGTATCTCCATGGTTGCCTCCAGGTTTGAACGACGACGTGCTTTGGCCGTATTCTGTGCTACTTTGGGAACAGCTGTTGGTATGAACACCCCTCCAATGATGATGTGTGCAAGAACTGATTCAAGCTTGTAGGAGGTATTATCTACCCTATCATCTTTACCAATCTCCAGCCAAGGATTGGATTCGCGTGGACTACACGTGTTCTCGGCTTTGTCACCCTTGCTGAGCTTATTGGAGCGTTGGCCATCATGCTACCCGCCACCAGGGGCAAGCTTTCACACAAAGTGCGCTCTCTTCTAGACCCAACCGCTTTCCGTGATCCTGCCTTTATGGCATTCTGCCTCGCCTTATTTCTCATGTGGGTTGCATACTGGGTGCCCTTCTTCTTGCTTCCACTCTACGCACAATTCAAGGCCGGTGCAAGCTCCAACCTGTCCTTCTATGTCTTGGTCATTTGCAATGCCTCCACTATACCTGGCCGGTATTTGGCGGTTCCCATGTCCAACAGATTTGGCCCATCAATAACCATGGCTGGATTTGGAATTATATCCAGTATCCTGTTCTTCGGATGGATAGGCGTTGACACTGTTCCCTCCATCATCGTTTGGGCTGTACTTATTGCTCTGTTCATGGGACCTCTTTCGGTCATCTACCCGATCCTTGTCCCTCGACTCTCGCCCAACCCGGAACTTGTCGGTACGCGAATGGGAATATCATCTGCGGCGGCTGCGCTTGGGACCTTGATTGGATTTCCAGTCACATCCGCCTTGAATGATATTGAAGCTGGAAGCTTCTGGAAGAGCCAGGTCTTCAATGGCTGTTGTATGCTAGCAGGATCTGTGCTGATGATCTATGTCCATTTTAAGACGACCAAATCACTCTGAAAGATAAAGGTGTCGCTGTAGCTCACAGCAACACCGTTGAGCAGTCGTTATTTATATGTACTTCTAGAAGACAATAAACTTTTCTGCTCAATTACTTCGTTTCTGCTATTTGCGACAAGCTATCACTAATCACTTAGTTATCACCCTTCGGTCGACTCTTAAATGCAGCAAAGATAAATCCTGCACCCAGTGCCATTGAACAAGCCCCCCAGATCTGCATGTAAAGGTATCTGCCATGGCCATGTTCAATCAACTTACCTGCAATGGGCGGGCCTGTCAACGCAGCAAAAGAGCACATAGTCAGAATCATTCCCATCCGCGTACCCATCTTACTGTGATCGATTGTCAAATTCGGCAGACCAGCCATGCCCACAGTCTGTATACCGCCGCATACAAATCCGAATAAGCTCGCAAAAACGAAAACACTTGGTAGGTTCTTGACCCCCAACCATCCGATGTAAAGCACAGAGGCCGAAAGCATGAGTGGAATCAAAGTCCGAAAAGGACCGAGATATGCATCCGAGATAAGAGACGGTATGATTCGTCCTGGGCAACTTAAAGCATTGAGTGTAAGTAGTATGGTCAATGAAGTCTCATTACTGATGCCGACCACGGATGTCGCGTAATGATTGATCTAGTATTTGTCAGTAAGCAGCTTTGACGTAGCTCATGCAGGCTATTAACTCACGTAACTAGGACCGATGAATACAGACCAAAGTATGAGAAATGACCCACAACTAAAAAGAACAAAAGGCATCTCTCTAAAGGCGGCAAATTCGAAGAATGGGCCATTCTTACGAGGTAAGAGAAGCTCCTTGGCCAAGGCCACTACTATAATGGCGTTGAATAGAATCACAAATGCCATGCAACGGATGGTCCATGGGAATCCGTGGACATACATCATTTGCTGAGCGATGATAGGAAAGATTATCCCACCAGTAGCAGAACCACTTGTGACAACTGCGATAGCTAGAGCCCGCTTATTAGTGAAGTATGTTGACACGCAAGCCATGACAGGACAGTACGCCAACCCAGCTCCAATTCCGCTGCAGACTCCTTGAGCGAGGAAGAGGTGCCAGTACTCGGTGCTTATTGACGCCATGAATAGTCCGAGTATCTGAAGAAAAGATCCAACAATCAGAAGGTGACGAAAGTATCCTGCGTCAAAAAGACGACCAGAAATTGTACTAAGGACGAAGAGAAGAAAGAGATGAATGCTTCCTATCCAAGATGTTGACGATAAGCTAAAACCAAGCTCATGATGGTAGTATTGTTCAAAGATTCCAAAGCTGTAACTGTATCCAAATGTATTAAACACTTCTAGACTGCAAATTACCCTGTAAGTATTATGAAAATCTCTTTGTATGTGCAGATACACTTGGGAGGAACTGGGACTTACTGCGCTGCCAAGACCTGTATCCAACCATAACCTCCGTCTGGCGGTACAGGTAAATCAATCGTGGCACTTTGCATCGTCTCCGCTGGAGAGTCGGATTCTCTCATGCTCTTAGCCTTCAACCCCATCATTGAAGTTTGAGAACGAACTCGAGTGCGGCTGAAACAAGAAAGTCAATAAGCGGTGTAGAAAAGATGAGCGACTAATTCAAGTGATAATGAGCAAGGACAAGAATTCCTCGAACCATCACTTTGAGTCACACGAGGTCAACGAGGTTATTATTATTACGAAAAAGAACTTGTCTTGACCCCCACACATCGGTATGATGCAATCCGGAGAAGCGTTTGTCGATTTTGAGTTCCTGAATTGGGGCATAGAGTCAAGTGTGTGTTGCATCCTAATGAGGTGAGCTTATTTACCTAGGTGACGAATCTGAAGCAGGGATCTTAGTCTGTCATGGTTCATTTGCTTTGGGGTAAGTAAGCGGTATTACATCTGCGGTTGGTCGCCACACCACCTGCATGCAGGGAGGGTGTGTACATACATATCATAAATTCAGATGGGTTGCTGTCGCAGATATAAAAGGTGACGTTGATCTATGCCGTATAGACATGCGCTGTCACAACTCAACTTATGCAAATGGCAAATCCTTTGTTTTCTCTCATCTCGCAATGTTTTCCCATAGTGACAAGGATTACATGTTTGAACGAATGGCTCTACCTCACTACTGCTCCACTAACCAAGGTCATCTGTCAATAGCTGCGTCTGTCGGCCGCCCGTCTCTGTTGATCCAGCCGCTTTGATTCTGCCTGTTTCTCACGCGCTTGTCGTAACAAGTCGGAATACCATCTTTCCCCAACTTTTGGGAAAGTGGTGATGTGATTCACAAAAACATTATCTCCAATACAGTTGTCAAATAGTCCCGAATAAAATGTCTCTGCATCCGAAACCACAATCTTGTCAGGTGCTAGGGCTTTGATATGTGCTGGTACATCCAGGGTGAGCTCCTCCAGCATAAGAAGAGGGTTCACGAATTGGAAGAAGGGTATGGAGACTCTAGGACCTAGGGGCTTTCCCTCATCGTCCAAAAAGGCTTCTGTCCTCAGAACAACACGATGAGTTGTTGCAACACAGACTCCCTGAGTGATGATTTCCAACAAGCGACCAATATTGACGACTAATGCTCCAGGCACTGGAGGCACAGGTATCCAGTCTCCTGATTTATTCTGAACCTCGAGACAATTATGTTTGCCGCCCTGGAGAAGATATGTCATGAAAGAGCCATCTTTATGCGGGCCGATACCATGACTCCCATCCTGTGCCGAAGCATTAACGAACGGCGGTAGATATCTAGTAGCTTTCAATCGGCTAACGTCAGATGTTGAATGTCCCAGAAGGGTCGTTAAAGTGGCCTTAGGCATCTCAAGTGCTTCAGCTACCAACGCTGTGAATTCGACAGAAAAGTGTTGGATCTGCGAGTAATAGGTTTTGAAAACTTGACGAAAGCCTGGCACTGAGATTTCTTTGGGCCACTAAGAACAATCAGTCAAAGCTTTGCATCCAGTTTAAAGGCATCCTTTCATACCTGGTTTGGGCCTTGCAAATTGAGGTAAATGGGCTCATTTGGCCCTAGGGCAGGAAGGTCAGGGCCCATCTAGAAATTCGCCAAATGTATGTCAGAAACATTAATTCACGTACTGAATCATGGGTATCATACCAGAATGGACTCATTATGATCTGTTTGCGCAGCTGTACTTTCACTGTTAATCTTGCTATATCCGAGGAAATGTTTGCTGTTGATGTTTTCGATCTCGACTTTTTCATCTGTAGGCAGGTTGAAGAATTGTGCTGATAGATGCAAAGCATCCTGCTGTAACTGAATGGGTAAGGGCGAGTTTATGATCTGGAAGAAGCCGACTTTGACAAGAGCAGATCTAAGGTCAGATAGAAACTTTGGCTTAGTAGCAGGAGACTGGGAGCACAAGTAGTCAAGTATAGGTATTGAAGTAAAGCTGTCAACCATAATGCCTGGTAGAGTAAGAAGTTGGGTTAAAGTAACTTGAGTACAATTAAGAGAGTGAAGGTGATGGGAAATCCCATTGACGGATCTGAGGTATTATATAATATTTCAACCCCCCTGTGCTACTTGAACCTGAGGCCACCATCTGTTGGCCTTGATCGCCTTCGAGTTATGCTGATCAGCTTGGCCTTCCAGTGTGTATTACCAAGTGATTGAGAGACTGAGCACTTACATTTGCTTATCTCACCCACAATTATTTGACACTGTTCTTTCATATTCTTTGTCACGACTGGGACTTTCCCGCTTGGGTTTCAAGAGGAGGGCAGAATAATAAAATACCGACCCTATCACTTCCTCTTCGACTTCCACTGAGAATTTACAGCTGTCTATCCTTCATCTCTAAACGGGACTACCGAAGACTGATGCACCCATAGCAATTGAACCGTGATTCATGATGGTTATATCAGTAACCGCTGAAACAACACCGGATACAACTCTCAGGATGTCACGACATCACATATCATCTCCTTCCTCCGACCCATATTACTGACGTTCATGCTCAATCATCTGTTCGTATACAGTTACTGCCTTCCCTGGACTTCTTCTTCAGAACATATCTGCCTGATGGTTTTGATAGGGTTAATAAAAAGGAGTAAAATTTAATAGACTTGTAAAAATAGACAGGTAAGGTCCAATTATCGCAAAGTTTAATGCAATAATAATTCTTCCTCGGTTAACTTATCCTTCAATTCATCCTTGGACATTAATCTGGTAACTGCCAGTGGGGTGGTTAACAAATACGCTCCCCCTAACCGTTCCTCTATCATTTGTACAACGGTCTAAATAGGCTCCCAGATCCTGTGCCCACCTAGAACTAGATGTGAAAAAGAAAGTCAGGATTCGAAATGACTCATGGGAGACCATGTAGAGGATAGACTAACCACGGGGCTCTTGAGTTCCCACCATCGGCGACAGCAACAAGTATAGATGAGAACTTCTTGCAGACCTCGCGGTATCTAACCGCTGGACACACTCTTCCGTCTTTTCCGTAATCTGCAATCGAGTCAACGCAAGCAGCGACTGTGGTGGCCTGTTGGGCTACTAGTTAGACACTTGGCCAAGCTGTTTGTCACGTACAAATGCAAAGGATTAACCTACTTGGGCCCTTTTGTCTGAGGCATAGTTGCAATTAAATTTTCTGCTTTGTCTAGCTACAAGTCCAGGTTGCACAGGGGCACCGCGATCATCCAGATCTATAGGATGGGCGACGCTGAGAGTAGGACCAAGGACGGCCACAGCAAGGAATGCAATGTCGAGTTTAACCATGGCGACGAGTTGGGTTAGGCAAAGAAGTGTTTCTTGAAAGAAACTGTTGGAACTGGGTGTTAATAAGGAAGTACGGGGAAACGCCCTGTTTTATATTTACAAAAAGCCCATGACCACGACAAGTTACCTATACTACCTTGGGGGCTAAAAGAAAATTAACCGGTCTTGCTAATACTCACCACCAATAAACTGGTTATTTCTTACTTAGGGCCGGGGACTACCCTTATAGGAAAATATCCAAGTCATTATGGATATTGGTTTTATTGTATATTATTTCTAACTACGCTAAAACGGGCATGTGGCCTAGGCATTTAATCACTATTATTAGCTATGGAATCCCAGCTGCGCCAAGCTTACCTTGAACAATGACAAAAGAAGACATAGTATCAAACTGTAGACACAGTATTAAACGTCCTGAATACGGTGACCTGGCCAGGGGTTCCTGTCTTATAGACTAGGCCAGCCAATAAGTCACAAACACATGTACGGGCCAACTTGAATAAAATCAAGTCTTATTGCGGGGTAATGCAAACACGGCGGCACGGCTATATATTTCGTTTTTCAGCTTCTCACTCTTGAGGTGTTGTGACGTTGATTAACTGTATGTTCCGCAGCTGGAATCACATTGTCTTCGGTTTTGTTTAGATTAGTTGGTGGCCACTGTCGACGCAGGCAATGGTCCGTTTTGCCCCGACGTGAAAATGTAAGAAAATGTTTGTCCACTTCTTGACTTGCTATTTCCATACCTTCGTCGGTTCCTATTAACAAGTGGCTGATAATATTTACTTCACACATAATAACTCTTGCGGTTTCTTTCATACAACCAGTAAATCCTATGCCTCTATCCGTCGCTACCCTTTGAGCCCGTGGTATTATATTAGACAATGCGACAAGGCAGCGGCTATTGTACTCATTTTCGTTTATCCGTGCGAGGAGAATAGTCTTTGAGAGTCAGTCATTCACCTCCAACTTTAAACCACATCTTTCTTCGCTGTTGAAAATAACTGGAAAGCTTAAGTATAGCGCTAAATCCTAGATATATAAGAAACCTAGCAACTGGGGTACGGGTTTAACCATAGCTGCGATCAAAGCGGCTTAATAACATCCTTCACTATAATTGTTAAAAAAAAGGAAAATACACTCCCATTTCCCAGTCAACATTCTGCTTCGTTGACTCAATGCGCTCGTGGCACGTTCCAAACAGTCGATCCCACACCCTGGTCTGCTTTCCGTAGTTGTGACTTTTCCTATAGCCTTTACGATGGTGGAGATCGTGATCCTCAATGACAAGCTCGGCTCTAAAAAGCTTCAACAGCCAGGTCATGGTGGAAGGTGGCATGCCGTAGATTCTCAGGCCGCTATGACCCAAGACCTCGGTGAAGGCGATATACTGGTGGCAGATCCACCATTCATAAAAGCCCAAGGGAATACAGAGAGTCCGAAAGGATATCCAAGTCAATAATGGTACGCCGACCATGTCAAAGAATTCTTGCTCATGGTCGGCATACGCCGCGAGGAGAGAGTTGGGATGTTTTGTCAGATGGTGAGTACGATGGTACTTCCATAATGCATCAATGTCGTGCATGGCTCGGTGGTATACGTAGAACCAAAAGTCGAGAATGATGCCATAGAGACCGACCTGCAGCCACAGCCAAACCCACCAACTTCCATTTTGCATAACGGACGTGGGCGATTGGCTGCTATTGTATCCGATGCAGGTAACCATGGCGATCCGAGACCCAGTGGTTTTCCATAGTGAGGACACCACTTTGTCGACACCGACGTCAGGTATGCCATCACGGTCGTGAGTATCTCCATCCAAGAACCCATGCTGGTGACCCAGTTTCCGAGAAGCCTTGACTTCGCGGACCACGGTCCAACTGAACATCGAGAAGTAGAGGACAAAGATGATGACAGGATGGAGACTTTCGTGGCCAGTACAAGACAGCCATGTTTGATGGAGTGCGATTGGAGCAAAAGCATGGAACAAAACCCAGACATGTCCCTGCCATTCAACAAAGTAGGGCATCATCTCAGTTTTGGGATGTCTCGGTACTTCTTTCCCGGGGGTTATTGGGTACGCATTCAATGTATCGATGATGCGCTGGCTCATGCCCCATTGAGATTTGTCGCTGAGAGGCCAGGTGGATTTGACCGAGTCACGGGGGTTGATAGTTGGCATTGCGATTGTTGTGCTTCTGTTGACGAGCAGGGTATAGTTTTGCGTCGTTAACAGATGGAGGCTTGGGCCATGGAACCTGGTTGGAATAATGCTTCTATGATTTCCGCATAATTGTAAAAATAAATGGAACTTGTGCACATTAAATGGAATTATCTCGATGATGGAATGTTGACTGTTAGGCATTGGATCTAAGACAGCCGCTCTGTCCATTGTAAGGTCTATGCCGAGGCAACTCGTTCCGTCCACCACGTGATTCTGGCTTTGTTGACGATGATTACGTGGTTGGTAGAGTGCCATCATCGACGGTTCGCAAACTTAACCCTTTGCTCCCATTCGGTTCTGAAAATGGAAGTCGAAACCGCATATCATTGATAAATTGTTGGGGAACCCCATTTGGCACATGCCATTCAACCCAAGTGCCACTCGCTACGTCAATTACCGACGCGATGCGGCTTGTCTACTTCCGGGTAGTCAGGCGATGAGACTATTCTCATATAGTTGACACCTTGCGAGGAGTGGGGTTATCAGTTGTGAGACTCGCAGTGATTGGATCGACGTAGTAATTGGTAAGGTTTTAGTGATTCTGCACACTTGTAAGCTAGAATGCACAGGAAGTGAAGTCGAAGTGAGCGTTGCAGACGTTGCTATAATGGATCTTTACATTAAACGTCACCTCTCAAAATGCAGTATCTCATATTCCAACGTCGTAATCGGCTAAATCAGCTCGGGTTCACTCTCAGAACAAGTCAAATGAAAATTTACAGGGCCGTAGTCAACTTAGATTCTTATAGTGACAGCTCATCTTACAGTTGTCTCAACCCCGAACCACCAACTCTAATTCTGTGTCTTCATACTATAAAGAATATGACTATCACTTGTCTCCCACGGGTGTTTCTGCTCCAAACGTCTAATCAACTTCTCGTGATGGACAGACCTCGGCGTAATTGTAGCCTGGAACGACTCAGGATGGCTAACGATACCGGGTGTGAAAAGCACCTCTCGTGTAGTAGCGTTCTCATGTGTGCTAACATTGAAAACTGCCAAAGACTGTGCAATATTGAGGAATAGGGTATTTTCAGCTAATACACGTCCTGGACAGAGACGACGTCCAAATCCAAACACGTATGCGCGTGGGTCTTGCTCGGGCTGGCCGTCGATTGGTAGGAATCTTTCTGGCTTGAAACGCATCGGTTCGTCGTAGACCTCGGGATTATGTAAGAAGTACCTGTCAAAGATTAGGAGCGCACCTCAGATTTGTGCTGACAAACCCACCAAATATTGGCCATCACCATGGACCCTTTAGGAATTAGGTACCCCGCGAATATGTCCTCTACGGTGCTTGTGTGAGGCAGGCCCATAGGAGCAACGGGATGCCATCTCAAAACTTCCTTGACTAAAGCTTCGATATAGGGCAGGTTTGGGCGATCTGTAAAGGTTGGGAGTCTATCATTGCCAATAACACGGTCAATCTCATCTTGAGCCGCTTTCTGAGCATTGGGGAAGAGCGACATGGCTAAGAAGAAGCACGCAATAGCAGATACGGTCTAACAGCATTAGATAACCTTTATTCAACGCTGCAAGGGTAGCTAGCTTACCGTATCAGCTCCCGCTGCATATAGAGACGCAGCTGACCACTTGTTCGTTATTTTCTCTTCATCGGTTGAATCACCTGCTTCAAGAAGCTGTGCCAGAAGCGAATTGTCTTGCTTTCCGTGTGAAATTTGGTGCTGTACAAAGGCATAAGGCTTTTCAGCAACGTCATTGAGTTCTGATGCCCACTGGCGGGCAAGCCTCTTAAAGCCAGCCCCGGGAATCCAGTCTGGCAAATACCTCACTAGTTTGGTTAGTTTATCTCAACCCGTCATGGTAACCAAAAGTAAGAAGCTTACAGAAAGGCATTACATCCACTAAAAATGCGCCAGGGACAGCAGCAGTTCCGAAATTATCCATGGCCTTACCGACCATATTAATAAGAAGATCTTCCTTCAATGGCTCTGCTCTATATCCATAAGCTATCTTCAAGATAATTGCACCGGCCTCTCTAAACATTTACATTAGCATAGTCGAAGTAGAAGGATCTATGAGTGAACGAACTTTCTTATATGATCTATCAATTGGCCGGGGTGATCTAGCACGTGAAGCAGAAAGTGGCTGACTTCAGCTTCCTCTAAATCATCGTATTGAGCCGCAACAGTCTTTGATCCAATAATGCGAGCTATATTCTTGCGGTAAGTTCTGAAGCGGTCATTGTAACCTGAAAGCGCAAGTGAGTTCTCCCAGCCGATCCTGGGTTTGTAATTAGACAAGATTTAGTTTTATCGTTGGGTGCGGTTTTACATTTCACCAGCAAAGATTTGCGTAGGCCTTGACGAATGCTTGGCTGATCGCTTATCCAAAAGGTCGAAGGCGAGCTCTGCATCATTGATAATAACAATGGTCTGGCCCATTACTGTGACAGAACTGATTGGACCTGGTCATTGAGGATTAGCGGAGCCGTATTTAGTATCAACTTTCTTCTCAAGACCGCACCATAAAGGTCTTTATGCTTCAACCAGTGAAATGCCTCAAGCACACCGGATGGGGGCAGATCTTTCAAATTTCCTAGTAGAGGAAGACCTTTAGGTCCAGGAGGTAGGGGAAATCGTTTTGGGTCATTTGAGAAGATGCGAAGGCCAATGTAGGCGGCAAGGCTAACGCATACACCGAAGAGAAGCGTGGAAGATTCAGTCATAATGGCTATGAAATGAAGATTGAAGAACCTAAGCGGAGAAGTAGTATGGAGATGATATAAGTATTTCCACATGCCCCAGTTATTCTGCATTGATCCTATACATGCTTAGCTCCTTTAGGCTGTCTTCCCGAGCCTTATGCATATACTCCGTGTTTCCCTTGTTGACAGTATCGAATCAACGACGGTGTATTAACTACTGTGTCTAAGGGATTAAAGAAACCGAGAGAGAGATCTTCATTGAAATCAGTGGTCCCCGCATTTACAAAGCTTTACGTCTGCCTTGTGTTTTTTCTTCGACCCCCGAGATATGTTATATCTATTTATACTATCGGGTAAATAAAGTTTTGGCTGCTTCTCTTTTTCTTCTAGAGATGTAATGGACCGCCAATTCATCATATCTATCTATTAAAATCAGTGGTGGCAAATATATGATGGCCAGCCGCGCTGTACCGCTGGATAAGAAAAAGTAGAGGTGTCCAGGGGCCGTAGCCGGCAGTGACTTGAAATGTAGTAGACTCTACGTAAACGTGGTCATAAAGATGGAAGAAAACGAACATATTGCATAACTTGGGCAAGACTTGGTACCTAATCAGTAACTGAACCCTTGCAGCTTGTTATTATACATATGCATATATATCTTGTCTCATATTCCGAAGACATAGATTAAAGCGGCACGTGTTAGTAATACGATATTTCTTTGCGCAATGAGATTCCATGTTTGAAACTTCAAATATAGTGTTCTTTCTATGCGATGTGTGCTCCATTACATCCGTCAAGGGACGCCGGCTTCCACTACGACTAAAACACAGATTTTTCTTTATTTTCATCTCTGCAGCATCTAAACCCAATACCAGTTATTGAAACTCTTGTCTGCTTTTATAGGGGATTGCCTAGAAGTAAGAAGTTGCGGACCTTTACGGCCAGGTCCTCAGCTCGTTCCTCTCGTAGTAAGACCTTTACTGGACTCTGTGTTATAGCAGAGCGTAGGATAAAGCGGCACATAAACTTCGTCAAGATTGACAATGATGTGCACACAGTTACGGAGGAGAGAATGCCCAACTCGGCCACTTGATTATATCTCCAGGTTTATACGGACATACCTGATGTTAATAGAATCACCCACGTTCACTCGAAGTGGGTATAATCTATTGTGGTAGCCCTAATTATTCTCTATACTACTTGATGCTCTCTGATCGAGGTCTGTGAGCTGGCGTGACCATTGATTGAGCCTAGTTCATAATACTTGGACTTTTTCAACTCCATGTCGTCTGCATCACTGGTACCGAGAATCCCATCCTCTGAATGCAGCTTGGTCTTTCGTGGCTTGGTGCTCCACATTCCGCCAGTACCCGATGCTTGTCTCTCGTTATCTGTAACAGCGGATGAACTCAGCTGGCCCAATCCCAACTTCTTGAAAGCCACCTTGATCAGCGGCCTCAAGGTAGGCAAGCAACAGCAAATAACAGCACTTGGGTTGTTAGGCGTTCTGTCCATGCAGTGATAAAAGGCTCAGAGAAACTTACCTATATACCTCTAGACCAGTCCAAATCATCAGGTCAACAGTTCCCCATGTAGGATCTGTCAAGTCGACAGTGATAACTTTGGTAAGGCGGATGATAGTAACAAAGCACGCGCTATAAAAATGAGTACGGGTTTGGACATTCAAGTTATACAAGGAAACAACTTACAAGCTTCCAAAAACAAGCATAGCCGCGATCAGAATCTTGTGATGAAGAGAAACTTTCAAAGACCAAATATATGGTATAGGAATGATCATCAGACCGATGTCGGTAATAATTCCTCCAATTGCCACACCTACATAAAACTTAGAAAGATCTATGCAGTTTTGGTTGGTACCGTCCCAAAAGCTGGATATCGGCCAGCATGTTCGGATAGAGGGAACGTACTATCATTGTTAATACTGCTGCGCCACTCAAAGGACTAATGAGCCAGTATGAAGCTTACCGTAGAGATTGCCCAGGCGATTATAAAAACAACAAAGCCGTGGAGGAAGTAACGCATGCTTGATACACCAAAGATATGGTAAAAGAAAGCTACCAATGATAGCCTAGCGGAGGCCAAAGCTGTCGTGTATAGTATCTCGTTGGCTAGAATCGTTTTAAAAAATCGCTCGATGTTTTTCGGGTCCTCCTGTATCAGCGCAGCCATATGCCTTCCTAAGCCGAACTTGAGCCACAGCATACTACCGATAAAAACGCCTATTGTGTTGAACTAGTAGACAAGAGAGTCTTTTAGACAATCGGAAGTTCCGTCAAGACAGGGTAGGAAGGTAGAACTTACTGCGGCGAAGTACGCAAGCCAATCATCCCACGACAATGCCTTCTTAGTTAAACGCGATGCTGCCCAACGACATGGCACAATGATCATCATAAGAACAAAAAATGTAATATGAGTAGCATAGACCTCATTTTGCCTGCTCTCGCTGAGGAAAGCCTCATCTGGTACCGACAAGGTCTCTGTGGCTGCCATAATGTAAAAATCTGGGAATAACGAATTGTTGTGGTAATTTTTCTTTGGGTGTAGTAGAGGTTTTGTGACTTTAAGCTTTGCCACTGTAGGGGTGAGATACGAACTGGGGTCGGGCCGTCATCCCCGGCCGCGTGTGTCTGGATGACTCGAACATTAATCCTTTCGTGGTTAAGCACTACACCCGTCGACATCGTTATCGTATCTGGCACATTTTTGTGCCAGGATAATGACAGGAAGTGCAGATTGTGTGGAGTTGCGTCATGGAGCTCGAAACAATGATGGGCTTTTAGGAGAGGGACCCCTGATCGAAGCACTCTGATTAGGTCAAAGTTGCCGAAGACCTAAATGAGATCTGGTAGTAGAGAGACGTCGCCAAGAGTCGCAGTCACACAAAAGGGGACGTTCCTCACGTCCAATCCTTAGCTACCATTCAATCCTCGAAATACTACCTCGACCAATCTGCAACCCCAATTTCGTACATATCCATCTCTTTTGCTTTTTATAAACCATGTCGCCAACAATCATCGCTGTGCCCGGTGCCTGGCATGTTGTCGAATCATTCGCACCCGTAAAAAAGATTTTTACGGCTCGCAATTACGATTTCGTCAGCCAGACCGCCCCCGGTGTACTTGTCAAGAATGCATTTGAAACCACCGCCGAGATAGATGCCGAGTCTCTTCGCACAAACGTACTGTTGCCATTGATGGAGGATGGCAAAGATGTTGCGGTTATGATGCATTCCTACGGTGGTATTTACGGCTCGCAAGCTGTGAAAGGTCTTAGCAAACGTGAGAGACAAAAGGCGGGCAAGAAAGGTGGCGTGACGGCACTCATTTACGTGTCGGCTGTCACGCCAATGGCTGGTAAAACGACATTGGACATGATGGGTACTGACAGGGACAACCTCCCGCCCTGGGTCGATTTCAACGTGAGTCAAGGTTTACTGCGCCGCCACTAGTTTTGCGGCCATCGTTCCCCACAACCAGCCTCTCCTGAGCTAACTTTGCAAATGAACAGAAATCCACTGGCTTTGTCAAATTTAGTGGTGCCAAAGAAGTGATGTATCATAACATCCCAGACGACGACGCCGCGCACTATGTGTCCTTGCTGAAGGACCAGGCGCTGAACAGCATGGATACTCCGGTATCGTATTCACCCCTGGACGATCCAAACTTCCAAGGTACAGCATCTTACGTGCTATGTGGTGCGGATCGTGTTGTTCCGCTTGCGGGCCAGGAAACATATGCAGCAATTGGAAAAATCAGTCGCACTAAACTTGTGGAAGATGCGACCCATGCATTTTTCGCTTCAGCTCCAGAGGCGATTGTCGACGCCGTGATCGAATTGCTGCAAAGCTGAATCTATTAATGGATTCATGTAACGTTAGATCTGTTGGGTATCAAGGGGGGTTCCTAGGTTTGGGTATCAATGGGGATAGGGACCGTTGCCGCACCAAAAATCGCAGACAAACTCTAATATCAGGGGGGCCAATAGGCAGCCTATTGACAGTGCTATGGCTGGAAAGAGCAGTCTGTATAATGGCAATTCCACAATTAGAATCCGTTCCCGCTAGAGCAAAGTCGTGGTATAGAAATTCTAAAAATGATAAAGTTAGCCTCTCACTAACGTTGGACAAATGGCTGTCAAATTAGTGAAACTTAGCTCCGCCGTTGCTGTCACGACCTGTCATCGACAAACCTTATTACGCAGCCAATTCTACTCCGGCGCTACCACGGGCTTCTGTGATGACAATCTTGGCGCACACTGACTCAGGCAAGGTCATCATACTCCACTTCGCTGACACTCAACGCAGTTCTCGAAAACTTTAATTGACTTGTATTCGAGGAGCTTCCTCATTGTGCTGTTGCAAATGTAGAATCATGAGCAAGTTGTAACATATTGAATCGTGGATGGTTTTAGCATCGCACGTGCTACATTTAATTATGGTGAATGAGCTTGAGCAACTGATAGTGCCTGTCGTAGGGAGATGTATCAATGCATTTTGGCGTAGGCTTCAGACATCAACTTGACGGACTCCGTATTCCATTTGTTTCTCTCTTGCATTTCATGATTGATCTTGATCGCTGGACTTAAGATGTTAACTGGTATCTTAGTAGCTGTAGCTGCGAAGTTCTCATTCGAACTCTCAACCAAGTTGTCAATTTCTCTGCTCTACGAGTTCGTAAAGAGTCTCTGATCCCAAATTCTTTCCCAGGGAAGAATTTGAGCTTTCCATTACTTAGAAGGGGCTTGCTCCGGTAGTCCGGATCTTGTGCGACTGCAGATCAGAAGCGGTTCATGCATCATCCTTGTTCAGTACATGGGTATGGGTGTCGTTGGTCCCCAGTATCTGGCTTCCAGCATGCCTCGCAACGTGGGGTACATATCCAGGTTCGGCTGGCATAGGGTCGTTGATACACCAGGTTGTATTTCCAGCATGGTTGTTTCCTTTCGATTTAACTAGAGTAGGCGCTTACTTCGATGAAACGCAAGGGCATATCGGGTCAAGAAAGGAAATGATCTGAGCTGTTTGTTTTTTACCGGGTTTGGCCCGTACTTCAATGACTGTATGCTTGTAGGTCTAAGACTAGGTGATGCTTCTGCTCTACTATGGAGGACTATGCTAGTTGGATTGCTACTATAGTAAACCAACATTTGGCTTCTATTAAGTTGGGGTTAACAGTGGCTAGGGTCAAGTCACGTAAGGGCATATATAACGACAAATAGGTTAAAAAAGTGCCATTGCAAGCTAAGATGCGTCTTGTCGTCATACAGACAGACATGAATCTATTTTACGACAAAAGCATACGGCTGGAGGATTGGCCCAGCTTACCTAATGCGGACCGGGAAAGTGTCGTTAAGTTTACTTCAGCCTGGCCGGTTTTGCTGTCCTGGCCTAGATTCAGGGCTTATTGCTACATGTCAGCTCCTCTCGTATCCTATACGGAAATTGTCATCTCTATACGCCTGCTGAAAGCGTTCTCACACTTGCTTACAGTATAAACGATAGTCTAGTAGTTTCACTCTAAGACACTAACAATCGCATAAACATACTTCAAGTTAAAGCTGAGAGGTTGTGGGGCATACTGGCAGCAAGATTCTCTTTTCACATATCTAAGAGTCACATTATCCATCTTAGATTACTCCTTATCCTATATCCGCTTGTTGATAAATCGTGCATATGCGTTCCAGAGACGCTGTCGCCTACAAGTAACATAATACTAAGCCACTGTCGGCTCAAACACATGGGTTTCTAAAATCTTGACAAATCCCAGCTTCTCCAGATTGCGTGCACTGCCCGACGAAGTCCTTGCTAAAGCCACAGCGAAGGTGCAATTCTCATCTCGAGAGACCTGTAGCCGATGACCGATAAGTGCTTGGTGAACACCACGCCCTCTCGCATCAGTCAAAGTGCTGTCATGATACATATAGCCTATCTTATCCCCATCTGATTCGACGATGGACAGTGCTGCCGTCCCAAGCAGGCCGCGTACATTCCTAGCCTCATACAGGTGTGTGTTGTCCCGGATTGATACTACCTGGGAAAGAAGATTCAAAAGGTCAATAGATCGACCACCAGTTGCAAACCCTGCTACAGACGTGTTTATGAATGAGTTTACGTCCGTGGTTCTGTCGATGCTGAAGCTGCGGGGATTTGTGGCGATGGGCCTCTTTAGATCGTGAACGAACGTGTCAATTCCACCCGTATTCACATAGCCACTTCCCATGAGAAGTGTGACAGTTTCCTCGTTGTCAGGTAGGGAAACGTCAAATTGCGGCTTTAGTCCCAAATCTTTGTAGAGAGCCTCAATAATTTTGAGGTCGTCGGTTGTCGGCTGTTTGAAAGATCCCAGGCCCATGGTGTGGTTCAGTTTTCGATCATATTTATCGGACGATATCATCGACGTAGACCCGGCAATTCGGTAGAGGGAAAAATGGTCTTGTGGGCGTAGAACCTGTAATGCCGAGACCTGGTCCTCAAGGTGACGCGCCTCTATATCAAGTAATTGGTGGAGTGTTAACATCCTGATAATCGCTGAGTCGAACCACACTTGCGATGGGCTTAATGTCAAGGCGAAATCTCGTGATTCCAAGTCGCCGGGATTGGCACAAGACTCTTAGAACTTAAGATTTACTTTAGTAAAACGTAGGATCTGTTGAGCCCTATGACGTGGAATTGTTTGTGTTGTGTTTGTGTGTTCTATCTCGCCTTGTGATTTCTCCTCTTTTAACATGACGTGTTGCACCATACCTAATTGAGGCTTCCTTAGTCAGTTAAACCTGCCCATTAGTAATTAAATCTCATGTGAGTAAAAATGAACCTCTTTTTACTCTGTACAAGATCTTTTTATTTCAACAGGTTTTACTTGAATGTTTAAAGGTAGTTAAGCTAGCCTTGCGGTATAACGTCAAGAGGGTTGTTTAATTGCTTAACTTTGACTGTTAGCTTATTTAGCCTTTGAAACGGTTTAAAGCTATGCTGATTAAGGTCTAGCTGGCTTAAGCCACCCTCAAAGGATCATGTGTATTGCTTTCTTATGCCATATGGATGTTTATTCAAATACCCCAATTACATAAATATCCTTCAGTGCCCGTACTGTAATTAACATCGATCAGAGCATTGAAGGTGTAGTAGAAGCAGCTTCTCTATACGACCGTGCCATCTTATGTACTGGCGTGAAAGCGAGCCAAGCCTTGAGCCATTTGAACTTGATCTCACAGTATTGCAGGGGGGCTGGCAGTCTGTAGGCTTCCATCAAAAATAAATAGATCGCCTCCCGGAGTGAAATAGTCGACGTTATTCTGGTAGCTACCCAAGTCTATCGTCATCAATCACAGTCATATACCCGTCAGCTTTCTCTAGGCCCAACGATGTCGCACCATCATCCACTCATTCTACGGAGATTGCGAGGCTGGTAATGCTATCGTTGATGTATTACTTAGAGAAACAAATACTTCGGGCAGACTTCCCTTGAAACACCCACTAAAAGTACGGGATATTTATTCTTGATGAACTTTTAGGCATCCGGTGGACGGATATTGTGCGGTGAAGACAAACACGTCGTGTATAGAGGCTATGACTTGACTGAGACAGAGCTTCTACTTTGCTTCTTATATGGCTGAACTTTATTCGTCGTCAAACGCAAACACATCTGACCTTAACATCGTAGTCATGACTTATTGGACGCTGAGTTCAGGCTTACAGCCCTCGTTGTCGAGAAGAACAATATTTATTTCGATGCTATAGGCCGGAAATGCAGTGCCACAAGTCTAAATCACGAAGGCGATGATGGGCCTATCTTTCTCCTTAAGGAACTTCCCGCGTTCGCTAACCACACTCTCTTGCTAATCAATAGACACGGCGACGATTATTTCCCTAACGATTGGATGATGGCTTGTGATAAAATCTGACAAGAGTGTGCAAGAATAATAGCTCGAAACAAGACTCTGGAACTTAGAATCATGACGAGTGATCAACACAAAGAAATTGTATGAAAATTCGATGTGGCAGACTGGTTGCCAACCCTCAGCATGCGACTTTGATGAGCTGGCTATATACATAAGTTACATGCGAACTACCGAGAAGCGGGTTTACCTTATCTACCCAGATCTAGAACACTGGTCCTGCATATACATCACGGTTTGCGCTTGTTGACAATATCAGTAAGGGGTTTGACGCGAATCAGGGCTGAACACCATTTTTTTTTTTGCGCTTTGGGGAGCCTCCGAAGGCTCATCATAGGTAGTTGTAAGCTTAACGTTGATAAGACATATCTTAGAATGGATTGAGGATCCATCCATAGCAGCTGAAAACACAAGTGCCATGGGGCTTGTGGCCATGGGGTAGCCCTATGAAGATCCATATCTATCTCTTCCAGTCGTAGTTACTTTACGATAGGCGAACGATAATGAACTACTGGCATTGGATTGCAATCAGTTATAACCCAATGTATGACGCCTCATAGAGCTTGATAAATAACTACCAGAACTCTGCACGTCTTCGCTAATAATCATTACCTGTCGATCCATAGAAATGCGAACCTCTCTCAAGAACCCCTATTTCATCACCAACATGGATATACAGTCCCTTGGGCGAATCCGCAGCCTCAGCGATATTGGCATCTTCAGGCACACAATGCATACCAATGTATCCGAGGGCTTTCGGATTCCCGTCCTCAACTGTGCGATGCTGTACCATAGTAGTACTAGGCTGCGCCCTACCTCTCTTCTTGTCTGGTCCCGGGGCGTCTGTATCGAACTTGCCCGAGATAAGGTTCACGTTCGGCATTGTGCAGCGGGAGGTTCGGCAAACCACATAAAGCGTGGGAGGCACATGTTCTGCATCTTTTTCCATTGGCAAGATGCGGTAGCGTTTCCAAGTCTCTTCATCAAACGCACCAGCAGCCGTAATCCAGATATTTGCGCGGAACCGAAGTGCGTTGAGTGGTCGATTTTCTTTAAGTAAAAGTGCTGATACCGCAGGGACGGACGCCAGGTTATTGATGTTGACAGGCTGCTGATCCGTATAGTCATGAACGGCCGACTTGCCAATATGCTCCAGTGGTGCCAGGTTCTTATCGGTGCGTAAGAGGGTTTCCGGTGTGCACCGTAGCAGAGTGAGATCTTGATGCTCTGGAATATTTAGAAAGCTCTTCAGCTTCTATAATACAGCAGCGACTGCTGGAATTGTGCCTATATCCAGACCCTTGGCTTCTCTAGAATGAATGATGAACGGTTTCATCCCTATTCCGTACTGCTCCTGAAATTCGGGTGGAAGAAAGAGTGGGACGATTGCAGACACTTCTTTCCGTCGAGATGATAATACCAGTCTGACTCGGTCGAGCAAGGTGAGTGGGCTTGGACTCGTGAATCTGGATGCAAGGCATCCTGTGGATCGGATTAATGAATCCTTCGGATCACTACCCTCGTGGGGTAACCATACAGCAGGGAATCAGGTGAAAACATCACATCGCAAACAGTGCCTTGGAAAGCGAGTTCTCGTGGTGAAGACAATTCGTCAAGCACCCAAAGAGACAAGCCATGCTCACGAATTGTAAAGATCCAGCGACCATCAGGGGAGATAGTTCCTTGGAGCTCTGTACGCATGTTGTTATCTTCGCACCATGAGTTTTCATCCCGGATATTGCGAACGTGTTGCCCTGTCTTCACATACCAAATCTCCAGCAAAACATTTGATACGAAGCCTCCCTTATGTACACAAAAATGACCAGAGTTAGGGGAAAATTGAAAAGAGTTGGTCCATCCAACGAACCGATCTGGGACGGTTACCGGATAAAGCTCATGGATGCCGTCGCTAGTAAGAACATCCCACAGGCAGGGAACATTTCCATATGAAGCTGAAGCGATATGTCTCTGATCCGGAGAGAGAGCCAAGAGATAAATTGGATGATCCTCCTCTTCTGATTCGTGTAGGTCGTTTCGCCGGACGATAGTAGTGTGGTCTTTCTCAACTGAAGCAACCAAGTCGAAAGTTGGTGAGAGGGTTGTCAGATCGTAATCTCCTTCAACTTCAGAAATTGCTAAACATTCTTCTGTAGCAATCTTTCGTGCTTCCACGGCGCCATTCCAAGAGACCAACGCTAGAGTGGTGTTGTCTGGTGAAAAATAAATTTCCTGGATCGAGTCATTTTCGGTCTGCAAATGACATATGAGTTTACCAGAATGTAGCCACTCCAACGTGGCCATATTTCTGCCGTCTTCATCAGAATATGCCAAAATCACCCACGACTTCTGTGTCAGAGAAAATGACACAGACGTTAACAGAGAGGAATCACACCAGATCATGTCTTGAATACATCTGTTCGAACGGTGACGTTGTCGAATGAAATCACATGTCTCCAAATTCCAGACCGCATACCTGCCACTGTCGCCGGAAATAAATGCAACTGCTGTAGAGTTGTGTAGATAAATATGCCGTGGACAATCCGTGGCGTCTATATGCAGCAGGACTGGCGTGTTATCAGAACCCACAAAGGCAATGTATTGCGAATTTTGGGATATCTGGACACTTTTGGAATAGCCTGGAGGCAGATCATATCGTTCGACCACGTCCCCCGTATCCGCATGGCGAAGACTTAGTTGACCGCCCTTGTCCTTGTCGTTGCAGGTAATTATTGTTAAATTGCGACAAAGCGTAATTTCGCCTTCTTGACCTTCTAAACGTTGACCGATCTCGCTGGAGCTTTCGCGAATGCGTTCACCTGTATCCAAGAGCCATATTCGAATGGTCCCATCGGAGAACAGATAGGCCAAACGCGAATCATCCATTGTGATAGACTCGACTTTCCATGATTTATCATCTTCTAGGACAAGCTGGCGTTGGCCCCAAGCAGACTCTGGGTCTGGAAGCTCCGCTATCTATTCTGGTTTCTCTTTGACAAAGATTGCCGATAAGATATTATTTGTAGGTACTGAGTAAAGCAGGGAAGAATATAGTTGAAGAGAGTATTGGTTGATGACCGTGGAGTGTATCAGAATGAAGCGATGTGTATCTCTAAGCAGCTCTTTGAGCATCTCATGTGGGCCATCCTAAGTCATGTTTAGAATTTCGAAGGTTAAGTGATTAGCGATATAGCAAGTCGGAATACCTTTGCAAGATTTTGTAATATCATTACGACTCGAGAGATTTCCACGAATCGCCCAACAAGACTCATGACTTCAATGTAATGAAGTAGATGGCGTTTCAGGAATGACAATACCTTTTCATGCTTAGAAAAAACACTATCTTCTTCAAAGTGAGACACCTAGTAGCGGCAAGCATACTATAATTTTATCGGTATGCACGACGCCATGCACTCGGGAGAGACTTCTGAGCGCTTAGACCCAGGGATTATTAGATTGCAAATATCTTCTTTTAGACAAGAATTCATGACTCGTAGGCAAGCTTCAGCGATACGATCATGGGTTTGCTTCTCATCTACCCAGAACTTATTAGTCCCCCCCTTCTCGAGGTCGAGTAAGAAATCTCGGAATAATAGGTGAAGCAATCTGATAGGGGATGTCAAAGTTCTTGAAATTTTGAGGAATGAATGAATCATATCCAGTCTCCTATAGATAGTTTCCTCAGTCGTATTGATGAGCTGCGCCAGAGCGGACATCGACAGGGGAGTTTTGAGTAGAATAATAGTACTAACAACCTGCTGGAATTCGTCAAATACTTTATCCTGTTTGCGCAATGATAGATCTTCCAATTGTTGTTCTAACGGTGGTAAATATATCGCATTCATCTTCGATTCCTGACTCTTTGTCTCATACGTTAAGACCTTTTGTAGTTGCTTCTGAGGGTTGGCGCAGTTCCTCTGGGAGATGAAATGGCACACAGTGGAAGCAAAAATGAATAGCGGTATTGCTTTCTCAACAAGAAGTTCTGTGTTCTCCATTCCCGGCCAGTCATCTTTCAGTTTTCGATTCTCATCAACAGATGCATTATAAGTACGTCTGATATAACCGTCACATGCTAAAGACCATGGCATAGCCAATGTCGAGTATAGACTTTTGAACAGGAAAATCGCTTTCAATAAAAAACAGGACTTCATCTCGCAAAGGTCGAATTCTCTCAAGCGTAACGATCCATCTCTGGAACAGTAAGGCTTGAATTTGACGGAAAACGTATACAACATATCTCAGAAGTGAGTCAACCACACAAGCGAAACGACCTTCGCATGGATTCAACGGGTTTTCTTTCATTTAAAATGTACATAGCACTCAAAGAGATAGCTTTTCTTAAAACTTGTCCAAGAGGGATAAGATCGATGGATGGCCTTTATTCCTAGAACAGTCTCACGTCTACACACGTAAGTGCCATCGTTGCCAAATTCGGGTTGGATCTAAGTCTACGGAGTGTTTAAACTTAGAACATAAAGAGATCCAATATATCGTTATATGTGAAATCGTAGTCATTTTGTCATAGTTGACTGACGGATAGACGGCGCTATCCCGCCAACCGTGCCAGCCGAAATATTGATAGACATATTAGGTGGGGGGAACATAAGTAGCCTGACCGAGACGAGACAAGTGATACTTGAATAGGTTGTGTTTAACGGTTTCGGCAGTAAACGCTCTTGAAACCCTTGCCCCACTATTGAAACAGTGTAATTAGACTTAAAAACTTACAAAAGTATATGTTGTTTGGGGAACTTACCTGTGATGCGCAGTTTCCAAAGACACTGTCAGTACCAGCACGCATCAGGGGTCCCTTGCAGTCCCGATTCTGGTAGAATTTGCATTCGCAGTCATTGTTTCTGGAGTCACAGCCAGCGACATTACCACTATTGGTATTGCCATAATCGTAATTACTATGACGAGTCAGTGGCTATTTGGATATAGGATAGAACTAAAGTATACATACATGCACTCAAAGTCGCCAACCTTGAATTCGGTGGCATACTAATAAACGCAATGCGGTTAGCTATCCCTCGAGTCCGTATTACACTGCTGGATAACCTACTTGCGAGCAGCCGCCGTCGTAGTAGTACTGGATCTTTGCATAATCGCCAATACCAGCAGAGACGCTAGCGGCGAAAACAGCTAAGACAGTAAAAAACTGCATTTTGAAGGGAAGGGATAAATTGTAAGATAGACAAGCTTCGGTGACTCAGTGTCGGTACTGAAGATTGGTATGTCAAGTATCGACGGAATTTTAACTCATATATATAATTTCGACTAACACCTAAATATACAAGGCTAGTTAGACTTAGGACTCACTTATCCATGTATATGACAGCTGACTTAAAACCCATGAGAGCTTACTGTTAGTCACTCAGGTTCTTGGTAATATATTGTAAGCTAAGCTCAAAATTATCAATTTGCTGAATGGAAGCCGGATGGAGATTACTTGCTGGGGCTCGTTAAATCTCGACTTTGTACTATTCTTTTATTAAGTGGAAAACTGTATCTTCCAGTGCGGACGTGTCCTCCAAACCTGATTATTAAAGCCTTGACTATTTGAAATGGGCTGAGAGAGATAATTTTACGGGGTGCTTCTCAAAGTCTAATATCTCTGATCAGGGCCGTTTTATTACGAAGGATGGGGCTCTTAGAGCAACCTTATTCTTATACAATGCAAAAGAAATACCTGCTAAGCAATCTACTTTTTCTTACTTTAGTATAAAGAAAAGATCACTCTTGGATCTATTAAGCATAGAAATACCAAGCTGTCAGTTGACCTGCCCAGCTTATCCTACCCTGATCCCTGTTGCTGACTGATCTTAGTTATGATAACGCAATGTTTAGACAGCTAGGCCTGCAAGGGCCTCACGAGCACTATAGCTATTAGCCTAAGCTAAATCAGGAAGGCATTAATCTAGCTGTGGGTCGAGACAGATAAAATTTCTCGTATAATACTTTTCCGAACCTGCTTGTTATGGCGGAGACTGTTTGAAACGGGCTGAGAAAGATAAAAAAGTTCACGTACAAAAATTTTCGGTTAACCATTCTTGTAAAATTAGACAGACCCCATCAAGGATGCCGTATACAGCGTAGTCTCCTCCGACGCCGGAATGCCTTCTCGTTCACGTTTCAACGTCTTGGGAGGCTTGTTGGCCTCGTTGAATGAACCATTGAACCGCAACGAACCCGACAGCCTTTCTTAAACCGAGTCAAGAAGAGCTATAAGAACCTCGAGGAGTGGATTGAACCACGATGCAGCTTCCCCTACGATACATACGATTTATGTCATATAGGGCGCTAGGTGCGAAAAGTGTTCTCAGCTCAAGCTCCTAATATATCTACCAGCAGATGAAATTGATACTTAAACAGTCTGTATCCTCACGTGGTTTAACCCAAAACTTTTAGACAAAATAAGAAGACATCTAATAAATTACTTAAAATCATAAAATAAGCAGCATTATAGTAAAAGTATAAGGATAAAACACATAAATTATATATAAGATTTCATGGAAATCTTAAAGACACCTGATAAATTAAAACGTCATTAGGCGAGCCACTGCATAACCTAAATGGCAGGTTTAGCTAACAAAAGAAAGAGGTAATTATTATCCTAACGTCAGCTAAGACTCTTATATCAGTTTACACAAAGTGCCATTCAATATATAGGTTATTATCTTCCATACCTGGTCATTTGCACTTACATTTTAACTATTGAAAGGCTTCCTCTTATTGTGTTATTGCTTTAAAGTCGTTCATTCATTCTAATAATACTCTTCTTAAGGCCTAAACTCATGAATTCTTGCCCTCAATAGAAAGTCTGCTCACTCTAATAATTGTCTGTCTCTCCTCAACTTTAACTGCCGTATCACCTCGCAAAACTACTCGGAAAACTAACTGATTCACCAACCCATTCCTCAGAACCTCCTCCTTCAATCTAGCCGCCACCAAACAGTAGTACTTTCCCGACGGCAAAGTCATGTTGTGCTTACAGTTTCTCTCTATAACACATCTAATAGCATGATTAGTCCCTGGAATCACGATTTTACTGAAGGGTTCAGTCCGAATATCGAGTATTACCGTCCATCTTCGAGAGTAACCTCATGTCCCTCGATATTGACCATCCTTGGAATAAGATCACCGCTGTCACTCGCCGTATTGATCAAGTTAGAAGGGTACTGTACTGTGCCGCCCCAACAGGCCCAACTCCAGCTTGGAAAAGCATATCTTCGTGTGGGTTTGACAGAATGGTCATGAATCCAAGCTAGTGATTAGGGGAATTCTTTCGGAGGCGTTCCCCATTCAAATCCCTGCGGGTACACTGGTTTCCCAAACCGAGCAAGACCACCCTGAAGCGAATTAAGAGAGTCACCGTCGTTGGTCAGAAATCTCGAGGTATACGTAGTCACGGCCGATATGAAGAGCAAAGGGGTTCGGTTAAGGAAGTCTGTGTTTGTGGCCTGAGTTTCGGTACAACGTGAGGGATAACTAGTCAGCCGAGGCGCGAACTCTATCACGTCCGTATCCTCCGCATTCGTGGGGAGTTGCGATACCAGGAGTCCGGTTAGGCTCAAGCGCCAGACTACGGACCGTCGACCGATATGCGCCTCTGCGACTGATTAGAGTAACAAATCAAACATTATCTTTTTACCCCGGATTCTCTCCATAAGTGGTAACCGCTTCGATTCTTTTATAGTCTCAGCTTGGTGTCTTCACTCTTGTTTTTATATCTCCATCTTTTATCTCACTGCCAACCTTACTATCCCTCGACTCCGACCGACTCAGCTATGAATAACTACTTCAAAAAGACCTACGATATGAAGCAGGCTGAGTCTTATGAGCCTGGAGAAATGCTCAGGCCTGTCGAGTCGGTGGCTCACGGCGCATTTGTCCAGTCTCAGCAGCCTCAACGGCGACTAAACAACAGACAGATCCAACTCATTGCAATCGGTAAGGATGATTTATCCCATAGGTGTAGCCTTGATTTATACTGATTCTCCTTTCGATTCAAGCGGATCAATCGGTACGGGACTCTTCATTAGTATCGGCAGTGGCCTGCACTCATCAGGACCCGCGGGCCTTCTCCTTGCTTCCATCTTCTACTGCTTCTTTGTTGGTTTAGTAAACAATGGAATGGCTGAGATGATGACCCAACATCCCGTTGCTGGGGGTTTCATTTCCCTCGCTGGCCACTTTGTGGATGACGCCTTTGGCTTCGCCGCGGGATGGAACTTCTTCATTTACGAAGCCCTTGTCATCCCATTCGAGATTAGTGCCATGGCCATTGTAGTGCAATATTGGAGTGACGACATTCTCATTTGGACTATGTGTCTAGCATGTAATATTTTCTATACACTCATCAACTGCTTGGTCGTCAACGCGTATGGAGAAGCCGAGTTCTGACTGTCTAGTGGCAAGGTCATCCTTGTCTTGCCTCTGTTCTTTTTCACGTTCATCACCATGGTCGGTGGAAATCCTCACATCGTCAATGCTCTGCTTGTTACATCAATCTTCTCCGCTGGCAATACATACGTTTATTGCGCCTTACGAAGTTTATACTGTCTGGCGCTTGAAGGCCGGGCACCTGCGCTGTTTAAGACCTGTACTAAACAGAGTGTACCGATCTACGCTCTTGCCTTGACCATGGCATTTGCATGCCTTGGATTCCTTCAGCAAAGTAAGCAAGGGGATCGAGTGTTGAGCATTTTGGTTAATCTGGTAAGCTAACAATTAGGGTACAATGTAACGAGAGCATAAGGGCACTGTATAACATTAAATATAGGTTACCGGTGGAGCGTTTATTAACTACTTGGTCATGTCAATTACCTAAGTGTTTTACCACCGAGTTGCAAAGGTACAAGGTATAGACTGTAAGAGTCTACCTTATTATGGATGGGGTCAACCTCAATTTAAGTTCTCGAACCCGTATCGGAATAACCATGGAAAATTAGCAGCCACTGATACACGACATCTGCAGGTGGTTACGCTGCTAGCGTATTTTTCACTCTTGTTATCGGCACGTTTGGATACACTTCATTCAGCCCTTTCAATGTCGAAGCATTCTTCGGTTGTTATACAATGACAATTCTTTCTATCATATTTTACATCTCCTGGAAAATTGTTAATAGAACCTCTTTCCATGATCCGAAAGTTGTTGACATGGTTTGGGAGACTCCACAAGTGGATGCTTATGAAGCTGAAACCACTGAAGAGTCACAAACCTTCTGGGGCGAAATGGGGCGTATGTTCATGTTCCGGAAATTCAGGGGGGCCGACAGGTAGTGAAGCAGATGTACACAGACTGAACTCATCCTTTAAACCATATACACAATGCAGCAGCACCATCCTATTGCCTATCATTTCAGCAATTTAATATTAGTTTAAAGTCTTATCAAAATGTTATGTTTAATTATCCCGTACATTTCCGAATCGTCCACGAGACGAACTTACGCTAATCTGCTCCCATCGAGGCTTTGGGCGTCGCACATCTGCTTGTACATTCCATTCTGCCTAATAAGCTCCTCATGCGTTCCAACCTCGACGATTCTACCCTGGTAAAAGACGCAGATTTTATCAGCGTCTTTAATAGTAGAAAGTCGATGTGCAACAGCTACAGTGATACAATTTCCAGTGAAAGCAGTATTCATTAAAGCTTTCTGCACAACTCTCTCAGACTCAGTGTCGAGGGCTGAAGTTGCCTCATCTAGTAGAATGATACTAGGGTTACGGATCAGAGCACGCGCAATAGCGATTCTCTGTCGTTGTCCGCCAGAAAGCTGGCTACCTCCGTCGCCGCAAAGAGTGTTAAGACCTTCAGGAAGAGAGCTCACAAAGTCCCAGGCATTGGCGGCACGGCAAGCTACTTCTATAGCATCATCGCTGACAAGGACCTGGTCCTCAGGATCGACATCAAGCCCTGCAGTAATGTTTTCACGGATACTATCAGGGAAGAGAGTGGGCTCTTGTTGAACAAGGGCGATCTTGTTGCGATACAAACGGGGACTGATATCGGTGAGAGGAGTTGAGCCGTCGATGTTGATGGCACCACTTGTGGGATCATAGAAGCGTTCAAGGAGTGACACCATGGTACTCTTTCCACAACCGGACGCGCCGACAAAGGCAACGAATTGTCCACGACTGATCTGCTAAATGTTAGCTTTGTCTTCTCTTCAGATAGAGCTGCACTGACCGTGAGATCAAGACCCTTGATGACTCTTTTTTCAGGAGCCAGAGGGTAAGAGAAATGAACATCTTGGAAGTCAATGGAACTTCCGCCGTCTGCAGGGCCCTTATTCTTATTCTCATCTGTTTCCCTAATGATAGGTTGCAAACTAGTGAGCCAGAAATAGTAGTTAGCAGCAGAGTTGGCCTTGGTGAAACCTGGATGTGTCGTGTTAGAAGTGTCGATTGACATAGGGAGGATATACTAACTGCTTGCAAAGCTGAAGATGACTGCAGCGGCCTGGCCAGAGAAGAAGACACCCAAGAAAGATATGATAAACTGGGAAAATGTGATCTCTCCTTGCGAAACCAGTGTCGATCCGAACCTATAGAGCCGAGTTAGTAGTCTACAATAACAACAAGACCCAGTACTAACCAGAATCCCAGAGCAAGGATGAAAAACTCAATCGACTGCGTCAGAGAGAACCAAAACATCATGGTGAAAAGAGGTACAGTCGAGCCCGAAACAGCACTATCTAATTCTGCGGAATAATTTTTCAGAACACTCTGCTCAATTGCAAGCGATGAAACGGTCCGTATGGCGTTAACGCTCTCGGACGCTATGGAAGCACTGGAAGAGAATTTCTTATCGATGTTCGTGTTAAGCTTTGTCTCGAGTCGGATACGAGCATACCCCGCCAGTAGAAGAGGAGGCATGCCAGCAAAAACACCAACAAGACCGAGCTTCCAAGCAGATGCAAGAGCTAGAATGCTACTGCAAATGATAGTAATGACAGATTGAAGAACTAATGCCACGTTGAAGCCCATGAGTTCCAGAACAGCCTGTGCCTGGGTATCGATGCGGCTGACAAGAGCACCAACGGTGTTTTCTGGTCTGTCGAAGAACCGCAGGTCTTGTCTCAGCATACTACCAAAAAGCCCTTTTTGGACATTCTGGCTGAGAGTCTAGTGCTCTTGTAAGCAATTTGGTAGTCCAGTATTTTTTCCCGAACTCGCCTGGGCAATAATGTTGGAAATCCATCCCATAATGAAAAACACAACCAAGGCTCCTAGGCCAATGACGAAGTACATCAAAGACACAAAGTCACCACCTTTGACCAAGTCAGAGGATGTGAAGACATCCATGACTTCGGAAAGTAGCAAAGTCTGTCCTGGGTTGACGGCAGCTGCATCAATTGGTTAGAGTCTATAGTTGAAAGTGATTGTGTGGGGGCAGACTTACCTCCAACAGCACAGGCGATGGATATTATGATAAAGTAAACTCGAAGCTCAGGAGCTGACATGATCAACCTCCAGATGGTATGTAGTAGCCCTGTAGACTTGTAAAGATTAAAGTCTTCCCTGGCCATTTGAGAGGCGAGATCCTCGTTGATGCCAGATTTGTATCTGGTAAGGGATTGAACAAGAGCTAAAGCGTCAGTAGATTTTGTCGACTCTTCGTCAGATATCCCAATATCCAGATTTCTCTTTGGAGCAGACAAGTCCTGGGCCTTGACTAGCTTGGAATAGGTGCCATTGAGAGCCACCAGATCATCATGCTTTCCCTGTTCAACAATCTTGCCCTTGGACATGACTACGATGTTGTGAGCATGGCGAATGGTGGCCAGTTTGTGGGCAATGACTAGTGTCGTCCTGTTCCTCGAGGCACTATCGAGTGCCTTTTGGACCATGCCTTCGGAGTGTGGGTCAAGTGCAGAGGTGGCTTCATCCAACAGGAGAATGGAAGGGTCGGAAACGAGACTTCGAGCGATGGCAATCCTTTGCTTTTGTCCTCCCGAAAGAATCCCGCCTCTCTCACCTATGCATGTGTCGTATCCTTCTGGCAGGTTCTGGATGAACTCATCTGCAAAAGCAAGCTTAGCTGCGTGTTTAACGCGTTCTTCTTGGGTTTCTGGGGCAGCCGTCTCCCAGTGAGTCCCAACTAGACCGTTGACAATGTTCTCAAAGACGGTTCCGTTAAACAAAACAGGTTCCTGTGAGACATTAGCATTTAGGATGAGGTGATTTATCTAGTATTGACTTAGAACACACCTGTTGAACAAGTCGCATTGTTGTACGAAGCCAGGTAACATTCAAATCCTCCAGGCTTACTCCATCAAGTTTAATGTCACCAGCAGTAGGCTTATACCATCTTTCCAAAAGACCAATAATAGTGCTTTTCCCTGAGCCGCTGGTACCCTATCAAAATGTTAGTTCCACTTCTCATGAAATAGGTAAGGGAAGAAAATAGGGCATACCACCAAAGCTGTGACCTTTCCAGCCGGAATAGTAAGAGTAAAGTCATCAAGCACTTTGGTATCTGGTCGCGTTGAGTAGTTGAAGCCGAGTGACTGGATTTCGATGACACCAGAGACAGTATTGGGTTTCTGGCCCGACTCTTCGAGAGGGTTGATGTCTGAGACTCTATCGATCAGAGAAAAAAGCTCTGTAGCGGCAGCACAAGCTCGAACAAATGAAGCAATGTTAGGAGCAATGCCATTGATCGAAGTCGAACCGATGATGACCGAGAAGAGGACACTATTTAGTAACAATGGTCAGTTATTGGTCGAGAAGAAATGTGTCAACCCAAGTTGAAGGGCACTTACGTGAAGACGGCGCCGATGCTCTCGACTTCCCCACGAGCAATCATTCTAATTCCTTGCCAGAATGCCAAACCCATACCTGCATAGATGACAAAGTATTGCCAGGCAAACATAACACCATACACGCCAGATTTCTTGCGACACAGCTGTCGTGAAGTTTGAAGAAACGATGTGTACTTGTTCATAATTCTCGTCTCAAGGTTAAAGGCCTTGATCGTGCGGATGCTTTTGAGGGATGTTTCGGCGTACTGAGCAGCTTTGGAGGTAATTTTCAAGTTCTTGCTATCGATTCCAGCGTCGATGGTAGCCATGGTACCAATGACCAAGATGATTGCGGGCATGATACAAATGAGGATGAGGGTAAGCTTCCAGTAACTAACGAAGGCGATGATGAAAGCCGCAACAAAGGTAGCAAACGATGCAAAGAAAAGACCTAGCTTGTCTGCGATACCGGACTGAATCAATTTTCCGTTAGATATGCCTTGCATGGATATAGATCCAGAAGTTCCGTGGTCAAAGTAGCTGATCTCTTGACTGAGGGCTGCTTGTAGGTAAGACTTTCGAATATTATTCGTGACTCGGAAGGAAACGTAGGTAAATAGCGTCGAGTACAGGTAGGTACAAACGAATCTAGCAATGCCAATGTAGACAAAGTAGAGCCTAAGAGGATATTAGGTGTGGCCAAGACGATAATATGTGGAAGAATACTTACGAGTTCTTGCTGACGGCAGCCATGAAGCCTTGTGGATCTGTGGTAATCCGCGTGGTATCACCCATGACATCCATCAGTTCTCCTATCACTAGGTTCATCAATGCCATCGCTACACCGGAGCCGATTGCAGCGAGGATGGCAATGATTTCGAGGGCGCAATCGAGTGGTTGACAATAGGTGAATATGCGCTGTAAAAACAGTTTTCAGCATGAATAGCGTATCAAGTTGTGTCGACACCGGGCTTTCCTTACCAAGAACGCCGCGAAGCCAGAAGTTGGCTTCCTGTCAGACGGGCGAGAACACTCCGACTGTCCAGCCGCTGTCGCACCAGCGCCTTGATCGAATTTCTCCATCGCGACGAGAATATAGAAAATTATCTTGTGATAGAGAGATATTGGATAGAAAGAAAATACAAGTAAAGAGAAAATGTGGATGCGTAGGCCGTGATAGGTAGTGAGGAACAAAAAGTGTAGGGAGCAATTAATGATTGACAATATTAAGCTTGAGTAGTGGGAACAAATGAACAAGGTGAATGTTCTCTACCTTTTAAGTGTCTGGTAAAATTAATGAATCTATTGCCTCTTATTTACCCCTTTGCTTTGGTGCGGTGCGGTATGCCAGCAATCCGTCACCGAGATATCCACCATATCGGAGTGCGGACTGCCAAGAATCCGCGTTACCGCGCTCACTTGTAAAGCCAGCATTGCTGGGAAGTGATTGGCTCATGTAGGAATCGCCGGGACCCACCCTATAACTTAGCGTTGATCCATCACTTTTGCTCTACTTTAATAAATAATTTGCACTGCGGCTTGCGGACATGTTAACTTTCTTTCTCCGTCATCAATTTTAGCCAATTTGGTGTGTTTTTGCAAGACCATTTCAGTACCATGGCTTCCAAAAGAGATCACACATCCGTCTCATCGGTTCAGGAAGCTGATGAAGTACGGTATGACGAGCAACAAGATGGTGGCAGCAGTGTTCCATTATCCATCATTTCAGCAAGTTGCCATTCGTCTGAAGTTCATTTTCTCTTACTGACCGATGTCTACTTGGTTCTAGTGTGATAGGTGTCGCTTCCGAAAGGTACACATACGTTCATTCATTTAATCAATGCCTATCATGGTTTAGTTTCATTTTCTAAGTCAAGTACCAGGTACGCTGCGACCGGAAATATCCATGTACCTACTGCACCCGCACAGGTCACACTTGTACCTACCCACAAAGGCATAAGCCAAAGGAGAAGCGACAGCGCGTCTGCATATCAGAGATATAGTGAGTAGACACACACCCCGTCTCGATACAACATCTTAGATTCAGCGTTCTAGTGAGAGGAAGATTGATGATATCGCGCAAAAACTTGAAGAGTTTGGAAATGTCTTGGGAGCTATTCAAAATTCTACTCGGATTACTATACCAGCTACTACTGCAACAACCGGTCCATCACACTCAGCATCGGATATATCCGCTACACCGAAAGGTAAAACGACATCTATAACCTTACCCGAGAGCCTGGGTAGCGAGCTCCTTACTCCAAGGTTGGAACATCAGGGAGAGTCTTCCATAGCAGCCCAAGCCACCTTTGCAAATAAATTTCTGGAGGATGCCATTATCAACAAACCGAATGGAATCGACATCGCTGCTGAGATGTCTTCTGTATTGGAGTCTCTGAGAAAGGCTTTGGGACGGGGCTCAAACCACCAGGAACGTGACTACCTGTACCCTCACGCTAGGGACCTTGGATCAGGGCTTCATCTGCGCAATCTTCCTATGCCACCTATCGAAAAAGTATTTATCTGCCTTAGAATGGCCAAAGGTATCTATGCCTTTTGATCTCACTTCTTATTTACTTACCACTTACTGTTTTCTTATAGAAAACGCTCGAGTTCGGTTCTTTTGGAACAATGAAGCAACATTTTTCAGCGACTATTGCGTCAAGGTCTATTCGCCAGGCGAAGCAACTCATGCTGACCTTATCATCGTGAATGGGGGGCTCTATTGGATGTTCCAACTGTGCAAACACGCTACGGCTGACTCCAGTCAAAAGGCCGACTTCGAGACGCAAGCTGTTATCTGCCGGGACAACCTTGAGACCATTCTCGCCAATCTGCCATTTCATCAACCTTCCAAACTTGAGACAGTCGGTTCCATGGTAATAGCTGTACGTGATGCCAATACTCTGTTGTAATATGTTACTAATCTGATCACAGAGTATCTACTGCCTCGAAACATGCAAGCCATCAGCGGCCTGGGATTTTGTCGCAACTGCGTCACATATGAGCCAGACATTAGGCATGCATAGCAAGGTGGCAATGATTCAAGATTCCCCAGAAACCAAGGCGACCAAGATCAAGATTTTCTGGCAGGTCTATGTGTATGAAAAAGGTCTTTCTCTGCGACTTGGTCGATCATCAACCATTCGCGACAGCGATATCACAATTCCGGTCCCGTGTATCGACTCACGATCAGAGATAAGCTACTTTTCTCATCTTGAAAAGATGAAAGACCTGGCACATTTACAAGGCAAAATTTACGATCAACTCTATAGCTCTGGCGCCTTGGCGCAACCACAGCACATCAGAACAACCAGGGCGAGATGTCTTGCGGCAGAGCTTGAAGCGCATTCCAATAGAAAGGGAAGGACTGAGGTATGGTAGCCCAAAAATCATTTGCCGCTTGCTTCCTTAACACGTACTACTACTAACAAAACCACAGACGCTCTACGCAGAAGCTCTACGCCAGGCCACCAGCAACGAGTTCTTAGAGGTTTTCACATGCACCGAAAAGGTGATTCATTTGTCACTGATTTGTTTAGTTTATCGAGCCATACCACCCGAGGCAAATCAGGGCACCATTTTTGGAAGGGAGTGCATCAGCAGTGCTCACAAAGCTCTAGAGGCACACAGGCGATGTATGTCTCTTGTCGCTGAACTTGACAATGACTTTCTTGAAAGCTATGTAAACATGTATGTGCACCTATTCTAGGTGGGGTACACCCATCTCTGACACTTTTCCACTCTTGCAGGGCCATATTACATTCTCCGTTTGTTCCTTTCACTGTTATATTCTGCCATATTATCGAGACATGCGATAAACACGACATTGATCTTCTCGAAAGCGTCATCGAGGCTCTGAAGTCTGCTACGGATAGCGTTCCTTCTTCTGGAGTAAGGAAAGAGTATCACCTGTTCAAAGCTCTTTACGATGCCGCCTGTAGTTACATTGAAGCTAGATTAAGCAAGGCCCATCTAGGATTTCGCACTTGGGAAGACGCGTCTTTACCCGCAACCGTGCTGTCGCCAGCTCACCAACAGCCTGTTATCATGACGCCAGTCTCTAACTTGGAAGGTTCAGAGGCGACCGTTGGACTGTCGATAGATGGGACTGCTGAATGGATGTCTCAGTCTTTTGAGATGCCCAGTGGGGCAGACGTTGATCAATATGGCGCACAGCTTGGAAATTGGTTGCATATGAATAGCCAGATGATAAGAGCATTAGAGGATAGCTACTTCTAGGGTGGTATGATAAAAACAAAAATGACTAGATTTCTTTTTCTTTCGGCTCTTAGGTATAGATTGATATATAATATGACCTGTTGGTCCTCAGCGATGTGAAGTGACTCGAGATAGGCCCTGGTCCCTAACCACAAAGTGAGATCTGGAATTACTACAAATAAGGTTAACTCGACCCATTATGTTATCATTTAATCCAACGATGTCAATGTCCTTCGGATAAGATTTTCTTTTGAATAACTATAATCTAATCCTATTTGAATGCATATACAATTACACTTTGGCATGTGTTTAGATTAGAGTGAGTACTTGATGAAAAGCACCCAAGCAATGACAATCATGGCACAAACAAGTGCAATTCCTATGATAGTTGCCAGCTTTGCAGGTTTGCGACCAATTGGCTTTCGAAGCTTACATTCCTGTTCCATTTGCATGCGTTTCTTCTCACTCATAATAAGAATACCTGCAAGATATCTGAAACAGTCGTCAGTAAGATGCTTAAGTTTGAGTCTCATAGTAGATTTTAACTTACTTCCTATCAAGGATACCATAGAATAAACCCAGGCAAAACTCCAATCCTTTTACGGCCACAAAGAATGCAATAACCCGCTCATATATGCCATCCGGTGTTATGTCCTGCAGCCTTCCAGCGATCATGTCGACAATGACGCTTCCACTGTTATTGAATGCCTTCCAAATTCCGAATACGAGCCCAAGCTCAATTTGGTTCGGTACTATCAACGGGATGGAAGCCGGGAAGGGTAGAGCATTCATGGTCGACGCTACAGAAGCAATAACCATAGACCCGAGGGCATTCATTTGGATAAATCCGATAAGGTAATAGACTAGAACTTAGGTAGCTGAAGTTAAACTGGCAAAGGTCATTCTATAACCGAATGAGTCGAAAAAAGAACCTATAAGTAGTGCACCGACGACAGGGATAAACTGCTGCACGGCTTATGTGTAGCCAGCAATCTGTTCTGTAGAGACACGAGTCTCAGTGATAATGTCGGCATTGAGCCCGTTGAAGTCGCCTACCACACCGGCTTGCAGTATCTGAGTGCATGCTACTAGCCAGAAGAAGCGCGGCACACAGGTAAGGATAGCCCATCTGGGTCCAAACCTAGATCTAGTTGTGCTCGAGGGCATAGAGGCGTCATCACCTCGCTCTCTTGCCTCCTTCATTAATTGCTGACCAGTGGGCATATGTGTCCATGTTGGCTGGCTACGCGCCCACCAGACGCAGGTTTGCGAAGCAGACGATGGCAGGAATCCAAAGGGCCCATCCCCAGAACGAAGAAGCATCTCGCATAGGAACAGCCGTAGCTTTTGCGATAAGTACAATGAGTTTGCCTAAAAGACCGGAAGTGTCAGTAGATGGCTACAATTTGCATCGTTTCCAGATTTAGGATTTAAAACAGACCAATTAACAAGTCCAGGCCATACACCAGACCAAGTCCTCTGTGTTGAAACCAATGCGCTGAAATCTTGTCATATTTGTTAGTACTTACGCACAAAATAGTTCTGTTCTTTGGAAAGGCATACCTTGGACATACACGTCTCAATGACTGTGCTTCCAAGTCCCATAATCACTCGACCAGTTACGACAAGGGTAAAAGAGTCTAGGTTCGAGCCAGCTGCTGATACTACAGCACCGATAAAGATGGCGATTGAGCATGCCATTGGGCCCCTAGCCATAGCAAATGAGTTAACAAAGTGGATTCTGTTGCATGATTATACAGATTCCAATGATTTCTAGGCGATCAAAAACTAAGAGGATCTTACCATTCAACACCATAATGATCAAATCCCCATCCACCAATGATAGGAAAGACTATGTTTACGAGGGACGTAGCTGGTTGGTGATATCGAGTTGCTTCTTCAATGTGCTCTTGAGGGTACCAAGGGTGTTTTCCGAGAATGATGAACCCCAGGACAGAGCGACGCCGCATATGAGAGCTGCAATTTTCCAGGTCAGAGGAAAATCTTGGGGTTGTTCAGCAGCCTCTGCTGGACTTTGAGTCTCTTGCGCACTGCCTTTTTCATCAGGCTCAGACAATGCGGATGTGACGATGCCGCCAGCAGCCGCCGGTCCTGCCAGTGGTATCTCGGTAGCCATATGAGACGGGTGATGAAGGGTCCAATTATGTACTCTGAAAAAGAAATGAGATTGATGGATTGGGTAAGTGTTACTGGCATGAATGGGCGGCGAAGTGTGGCTCTTATTTATTAGATGTCGCTCGCCGATCAGGTAAAGAATTCGCCAAGGCCTACTCTGCAACATCATGCATACGCTAGTAAATTAAACACACACCCTCCAAAATGTACAAGCGCCTCCGACTAGACATCCAAACCCGACCCATGTATCATGCGTTCTTTTGTGTCATCCTGATTTCTCGGTGTGGGTACTGTAGTTCCAGCCGAGCAGGAAGGTCATTCAGTTCCCTCAGTCGCCGAGTTTAGCTCAGCTGTCAAACAGGACTGGATTGTAGGGAAGCGGGCCTTCTTGTCATCGCTTATTTGGAATGCATTTTCTTATATTGTCTAATCTAGTTCTAACAACTGTCAAAGGCTTCGCAGTGGACATCTATTCTAAGACCTCGCGTGTTCTGCCATTTATCTGCTGATTCGACCACAGCACACATGAGTGATTTGGGCCCACAAGACACGACGAGTACTCTTTGGTGGCATCCAGCTGTTCCCAAGGCTTTGCTAATTACCTTATTAACATTGAGCTTCTCAAAAATGACATTCAATATATGCTCAGAGGTAGTTTGATGGAGTAATCCACATATATCGCCCATTGGCGAGATGGTATCATAATTGAATCTGACTTCTCTTAATAAAGCTTCGCTCTCTGTCTCGCCTAGAAAGTGCTGGCGTTCGGAGGCGGTACAAATTGTCGCGGCTGAGTTAGATCCCAATTGCTCGCCTGTGACATAGACCTTAAAGCTTGGGGGATGCTCGGCCTCGGCAATATTAACCAAGTGGCGGCGGAACCAGTTTAACTGCTCTAGTAAGGTGTGAGAAAAAGCTTTCTGGTGGCTGTGGCTTGACTTGTACATACCTATGCGCTTCACAGCCCATACAAACTCGATAGATTGGACTGCGACCTTCTCAGGTTGCATCATAATGCGATTCATGAATCCAAAGGTAAAAGCAGCTCCGCTTCCTCCAGCAACAAGAACCAGCTTGTCGTAATGGTTCACTTCTGGCAGTGATCCGTATGGCCCATCGATAGATGCCCACAGAGTAGTCCCAGGGTGTTGACTCGCAAACCTTACAGCAGCTCTGGTAAAGCCCTCATGCGACTTCATCACGAGTTCCAGGCCAGAAGAATCGTTACTAACGATAGTAAATGGATGATTCTCATGGGTTCGAAGTCTTGGAACCCATAAAAAGCAGTGAGATCCCGGCAAAGCAGCTTCAGTGCCAGGCTTCTTGAGTATCACTCGGGTTCCTCCATATGGTAGAGGATAGAACGTAGCCGAGTTATTGACGAGGTTGCATGACAATCTGATCAATCGAATGAGGCGATCCAATGCCCACATACTGAAGACAATGAGCATCACCAGCGGAATCTTTTTCGCCCAATTCGGCCTATGCAGCGCTGTCAAAAGAACAACGACCAGAAAGCCAATAATGTGACTAACATAAAATAGCTCATAGTGGTTGTGTCTGAATATCCCCATTAGTAAGACAAACATAGCAACACCGGCCCCGATACCTGCGATATCCTCCGGTTTTAACAACTGCACTAAGCGGCCTTGACGTCCGAAGTGTATCGTGTATACAGCAGCGTGAAGAAGCACGAGGGATACAGTTGTATAACCGACAATGCGATGGAATACATTTAGTTGGCTATGCGAAACAGCTGCTAAAGGGCCCAACGGTGTGTTTTTGAGACCAAAAAAGACACACAGCGCCATGTTGCCGACACACATCCTGGTACCTGTCAGTCACACGTTAAAAACCATAAATAAACATTCCATCTTACCATCCAAATCTAGAAGACCAGTGATTCAATAGTTGAGGCATCGCAAGCATGTTTGAGCAGAAAGCGATGTTGCCGGCAAGGTATATGCTGATTATCATGATAAACCCCAGAGATGGTCGCTCAAACCACTTCCAAGGGACATGTCTCTGAAGATTTCTAGAAAGAATGTGAGTAAACTGTTGATAGAATTTCCAAATTTATTTGCCTACTGGAATACTAAGAGACAGGCCTCGCGCCCATAACTCGATGAAGATACCGGTGTTTTCAAATGTGGAGATTTGATGCAAATCTTGCGTAGCCAACGGGCGGCAGTAACAAAAAGCATGAGACCACATAGGAAAGCGGCATACTTGGTCAGTGCCTCTTCATTCTTGAGCTGCTTGGTAGTCGGCGGTTTGAGTCCTTGCATTTCGGTATATGGGACGTCTTGACGGCGGACGTGGTATGACGGAGGAAGAATGAAGTATGGGTATGAACCGGCCAGATTGATAAGATCGAGTTAATTTCCGATTGATAAGTTTAACCAGGCTTTCGGTCAAGAGGCTAGGCGTGTCATCTTAGACCCACCTCGTGATCCTAGTCACGCTGCATACTGGTCAAGCTACGAATACTCCTGATCCAGCTGTGGAAGTTCTGACTGGTAGAAAACTCGGCAGGGAGGGTGTTATTAGTGTTCGCAATTTCAACGCGCGTTAGATCCATTAGCTTGTCTCTTATCAATCTTACTTGGTTCTTCCATCGGATGAGGTCCCAGAAAAGCTAGAGTGGACTAGGCTGTCTGATTTCTCGATTTGATAGGTTGCGACCACGTTTGTGGAGTACGACAAGGATTGTTGACACGTTAAATTATTCACAGTGGAACTCCAGCTCGGGACAGTGAATAAAATCTTGTCGCAACAGGTCGACCATGATGGAAAGTTCTTGCAGATTTTCTTCCAAGGTGAATCATATGAGACCACAAAAAGAGATGAATGACAAAAACATATTACCAAAGTACATTGTGTCTAGTGAATAGCTTAGCCGTTGCATTAACCAGTTCGCTGCTTTATCACTTCTTTATCCTGGTGTTGCGGTACAGGGTATGTTCTTTTCAATTAGCTTGACCATGAGATACTTAATCCAAGAGATACGATCTCTAGTATTGAGGTATAAATGAACTGCTCTGAGTTACAAAGCTGCATCTCTAAAGCACAAAGACTCCAATTGAGACACTAATTAATTACCATAGTGATTTCCACTCACAACCGTCTGAAACGATTCGGTCCCTTTCGAGCGTGAGAGATGCATCTCGGAGTGATAATCGGAGATAAGGCCACCGATAAGATAGGTGATAAGATAGGACGGGCCGAGCTATTTTCGAGCATGGATAAGTCCGTCTGTCTGCATAGCTGGCCATCACATCAAGTTTCCCACATTTGCAATGTGCTTAGCAGTATAAGGACCCCACAATTTGTTTATGTGATTACGACGCCAGATATATCACTGAGACATGTTCACATCTTCGATCCACCAAAGGATAACCCAATTGACCACCGCCAAAATACCCAATAACCACAACGGTAACCCGACAATGTTGTGAGCAAGACCCCAGCCGAGCATTATACCGCCCACGGTCGGCCCTATGATTCGGGCAGCGCTCGAGATGCTGGACGCCAAACCGTGGACTGTCCCCAGAAGATTCGGGCTTGGTGCTGAGTCGTTGACGAGCATCATAGTCGCTGGGTTAACAAAGGTTCGAGACAGAACTTGCAAGGTAAGCACGGCCGATAGACAGGCCCAGACCAGAGCGTCACTGTCGGGTAGCAGAACAAGGTATGGCAGCAAGAAATAGGCGACAATGCTGAGCGGCAGGAAAGTACGATACGATTCTCTAACACCAAGCTTTCCGATGAGCCTTGGATACACAAGGATTTGCAGAGGGATTCCAATCATGCCAATGGTTGTGTTGGCCAGTCCCATCTTCTCGCTCGAAAGTCCAAGACCGCCGGTGAAGCGGAATGGCAAATGAAAGTCCTGGCCGACGGCTTTCGGTGTAGGGAGAAGACTGAAGAACATGGAATTAAAGGCCGATACGTGCAGAGATTGCAAGAAACGTTGCATCATGTTGAGACACACTTTTCTGGTCAAGACGTCCCGGAACGAAGGTTGAAACTTGTCTTGAGGTTCGGCAGGTATTTCGCCATATTCTTGATCTGTGGATCGATTTATGAGCAACCCCGACGGATCCTCTGTGCTAATGGGATCATAATGATGGTTTTCAGTCTTTTTCCGTAGGATGATACGCAACAAGAGGTTGCCAAGTCTGCGTCCAGGGTCTGGTCTGTGCCGCAGTTGTGGATGAGTTTCATCGAGGCCCAGAATAACCAAGAAAAACGCCATTGTCAGGATAGTAGAACAGAAAATGTTTGGAAGCGCATAAGGGAAGTCCTTGAGCCATTGGACGCCGTTAGAGCCACCCAAGAACGAACCTGGCCCGAAAATGCTGGGGAGGGAACGAACAGGGTCCGCGAGGAATCCTGTTAAAAGTGGCCCAATGATGACACCAACGTTGAAACACATCGGAAGTAGGAGAAAGGCTCTAGTTTGATGTCTGTGATAAACGAATCAGCTGCTTTGCAGACCATGTAGCATAAAGCATCAGCAAAACCATACCGTTTTTCTGTCACTACCTCGGAGACCATAGTCCTCAGGACACCAATATTTCCATTAAGTGCACCAGCACAGAACCGAAAGAAAAAGGCAGCATAGAGCGATGTCGAAAAACCCATTCCCAGGGCCGACATGGCTGAACCACCAAGTCCAATCATCAGGACGCGTTTGCGACCCAGCCGAGGATTATCAGCAGCACGACCCCACCACATGGAAGTGAGGCATTGCGCAGCCGCAAAAACAGCAGTGATGTATCCGACTTGTTTGGGAATATCTGAAGGATCAAGATCTGGATTGAACCATCGCAGCTGGTAGAACAGATACGATGCCAGCGATCGCTCGCTTAATGGCTCAGCCAAGCGGGCAAGTAATATGACAGCCAATTGCCCTTTATTGGGGAGTGATGCCCAAGAGACGGGTCGAGGTTCTGCTGGAGCATCTGATTGCTCCTCGTGACCCTGCAAAAGAGGCGTCTGATCGGATGCCTCTGATGTTTGACTGACCCTTTGGGGTCTACGGGACGATGCTCCGCTCATGGCTCAGTGCGAAGCGTTAGGTATCGATGGATCGCGTAGTTGAATCAAGGACAAGATATGAGATGGAAGAAGAGAAGAGCTTTGTCAACGAGCAGAATTAGAATTGGTCCAGAGAGGATTCCGCAAAGTAGGTACAATGTTACATTCATGCTACCAGTGGGTACCTGGCCTCTAGTCCTTGTTAGCTTGTAGGATCCACAGGATCAGATAACATATCAGGACAGATTGATAATTGGTTCAACTGGAATGTGGTCAGCGACACGCGTACTCAGCCGTAAGCGGACCCGAGAACAGCGGATGGGAAGACAATCCTGCTGATTGAGAGTATCAACCGTTTCTCCATTGGAGCTTTAATCTCATGCACAATATTGCGCAATGGAAACTTGCCTCTGCAGCGCAATCCATACCCTGGCTAAGGAGTACGACGAGGTCCAGGCCAAAGAACTGATCCCTGCACTGAACCGCCACCTGAAAGATCTGCGACATTTCCTAGCGCAGGCTAAATCGCTCAGTCGCTCAGTCCAGTATCAAATCACACCGCGAAGCTAACGAACCGACAAAACCCTTTTCGTAGACTCGGTTGACCTCACCTCTGTCAATTAACTATGTAAGAGGCTTGACCAAGATGTCGATGGTTTCTGGGCAGGCTCGGATGATCGTGTTCATCTAGAATTGCGTCGACGGCTTGCCTGTGTGGTTATATTTCTCCGCTCCAAATTGGACGCTCAGGAATTGGCGTCTCCTCAAGTGGCTGAGGTATTCCCTGGACTGCAGAACTTCGCAGACATACGTAAATGTGGTAGGAAGTATATCCAGATATCTTGTTAAAGAGTGTTCGCCTGCCACAAAGACGATGGAGAAGTCGAGCAGAGTGGTGCTGCTAAATGTGGACTACCTGTTGACCTTGTTGATCTTCTATGTGACGAGACAAAGCTCTCTGAGATTATAGCGGGCCCATGGATTACCAATCGTGTCCAAGAAGACAATTCCATATCTTGGTCATTGTGTCCTGAGCTCATGTCAACTTTCGCCGATATCTTACTTGCCCCAACAATAGAAGAGCTTGAAACTACAGCCATGAAGCTCCTCTGTTTTGTAACTCCGCTATGCTACGAGGGAAACACTGACTGGTAGGATCTACCTATGCGTTATCCATATCCTACTTACAAACTTGCAGGTCACCATCATTGAAAGAAACGGTATGGCCAATATTTGAGCGGTTATTGAAAACGTACAAGATACCAGTGTCGTTTAGGACCCAAGTCATCGAAGTCGTTCTGTACTTTGGAGAGAGAGACTCGGTTGCTATCCGCCTCGTCGCCGTCAAGCAGGCCAAGATCTTGTTACGAAAGACAATGCCTTACTATCTTCACGCTTTGGTTGTACTCTTTCGTAGCATACTCTTCCGAGTTGATGCAGATCTTGCCAAGTCAGAAGCCCACATACGCGATTTTATGTGGCATGGGCCACGCCCAGTAACTCGTCGGGATCATGCACTTGAGGGTCGCATTCATATTTCGCAGATGGAGAACGAGATCAAGTGCTACGACAACGACGTGCCGTCATGTGCCTACAAGTGGGAAGCGGGGCAACCACTGTCAACTCTAGATATGGAAGTTACTTTCCGACTCCAAAGTACAGCCGCACGATACTTCCAATCCATTGGTGATTTCGGTGCAGCCAAGTCTTCACTAGAGCAGTTTTTATCACTAGACTTGATAAATCCTATACGTGCGAACTCATGTCGCGTCTTGGTGGGTAGATTGGGTGATGTGTACTGCGAAGCCGGAGAGTACCTCAAGGCCGTTGAGATACTCAAGCCAGAACTTGATCGTATTGACAAGTGCGACCGCATGCGTCGTGGATTTCGAAGACTTGTGCTAGCTTCGGTGGAGGCCAATATCGGATCGACAAGATTAGACACAGCTGAGTCGATACTCCAGGGTTTTTTGGGTGACCTGCCTAATGGGCCAGACGATCTTCACGACCAGCAGCTACACATGCGGATACTACTGGCACCAGCACGCATAGCCCGTCTGAGAGCAGACCCTGTTGAAGCCGTGCTACGTTGGAGATTTGCTCTTGAACAAGTTAATAACATGCACACTCTCGGGTCAAGTGGTGGATTTATAGCCGCAGTGATCCACTTGTCTTTAGCACACGCGCAGCTTTCCCTAGGGGACAAGGATGGCAGCCATCACTCATGGACAACTGGATTGAAAATTTTGACTAACGAAAAATGCGAATTTTGGATCCCAGTTGTGCCTACTACATGGCTCCAGAAGGTAGCTGCCGACATATACTACTCACAAGGCTGGCCGTTTCGTATGATGCTACCTGGTGGGGAGCCAGATGTGACACAGCATTATTTCTAGTATGCTCTTAATAGTATGTAGATTTTGTATCCTCCTGGCTAAATAGAGCCTTTCAAACCTCAAGTGCCTTGAACAAGAGTTTTCGAGACGGATCCGGAATAGACTATAACCCTGATTAGTATATGTACCGCAACTGTGGCTACATTGACTTACCATATGCGCAAACTCCATGTTAGGATACCTCTTGGTCTCTGAGCCAACCAGCTTAACATCATATCGCAGGAGTGCATGGGCCAGAATCATCTTGATTTCGTTTGCGGCAAAAAACCTCCCCGGACAAGCATGCTTGCCGTAACCAAATGTCAGACTGCTCTGGTTCACACTGACAAACTGGTTGTTTGCTGCCTTTTCCATCGATCTATCATCCTTGGCTTGTGTGCGAAGTCTGTAGAACCTCAGTGGGTCGAATTCGTCTGCGTGTGGGAAGATGGATGAGTCAGAGTTAACTGCAACGGCAGGTATTTCAATCGTTAGACCAGCTGGAATAACTTGGCCGTTGGATAAAGTGAACGGCTTCAAGACCTTACGCTGGAAGGAAGCTGTGAGGTTCGGATTAGTATCTGAGAGCTACGAAACCTGTGTCGTGGCTTACCCATTGTCGCCGGATGAACTCGGAGAGTCTCTTTGAGGAAGCTGTCCATCTTCTTCATGGCCTGTAAAGCATTGCTTGTAAAGACATCTCCACTTTGAAAGAGCACTTCCCGAACCTCCTCTCGCAGTTCTGCCTGTAAGTCTGGCATGGCTGCCAAATCATAGAAACTATCTTCAATTTAGCGACTTATCCAAGTTGAAAAGTGCAAAGACTCACGCGTTGGTGGCAGTCAGTGTTGTAGTATGTACAGCTGCAAAGGTAAGGCCCAGTTGAACCTTGGCGAGGTTCTGGCTGTTCTTGTCCGGAAACTTGTCTTTTCCGTCGATGAGCCACTGTAGAAAGTCATCTGGCTTCTCGTATGACATGTCAGCCATAGCCTCTATTCTTGACTTTACCACAGGCTGTAGAAAGGCCTCAGCTTCTGCGATTCGTTGGTAAAGTTTCGTGACTTCAGGCTGCCTGTGGGCTAGAAATGGTCGTAGCCATGGTCGCATGTTCTGCACGACTCGTTGGGCACCCATGACTTCCATAGTATAATTGATGGCTGCATCGAGGTATTGTTCGGAACGACAAAGTTCTGGGCCGATGAATACGCGACCTGATACCATTCCGACGATACGAAGGAGGCTGTGGTGGATGTTGACTTCTGTCCAGTCCTCACACGAGGGTATAGAAAGCTCTAGGGATTGTCTGACTTCATCGGCAATGATTGTACTTAGTCGAGCTATACAAAGTCAGTGGATTGGACAAGATAGCTACTCTGGCTATCGGAGAGTTTAATTCGCAATTTGATGCATACTTACATAGTGCTGGAGTTAGTTCTCCTTTGATAGTATGCGGGATGATGGGTACCGACGTCTCGATCTTGGTGTACTTGGTCTCCATTGACTATTGACTGGTGAGTGGATGCATACAAACTCCCTCCGGTATTACTTACCTCGTCAACCGCAGCTTCCATGCTCAAAGTCGTATCGGGCAGCTTTTTCAACTCAGGAAGAAAATCAGGTGAAATGACAATTGTCGGAGAAGCTGGATAATTAGTATAGTCATTCTAAGCGTTTGAATCATCGGTACCTACACTTGGACGTGGTAATCATGAAAACGCCATTCTTGAACTACTCAACGGTGAGCTATCTTCATATCGTATATGTAAATGGACATTCTTACCTTTTGGTACCCATCGGAGTATAACTTTCGGGCCCCTCCTAAGTACGCTTTCCTGCGCTTTTCTGTACTCCCGAGCTCTTCTCCAACGATTGGGATAGTCCAAAGTCGCAACACGCTTCCAATCTTTGGGGCGATGGCGGCTACAAAGCAGACAAGGAGTGCAGTGAGAAGTACTGGCCATCGGTTGGCTGCAATATCGACTACAGATTGTGTGTTGCCCATGGTAAAGGGTGTAGGATAGGTGATTAAGATATATTGTTGTGTAGGTTGTTGTATCTCGACCAGGACATAGGAGAGCAGCCCAATGTGGCTATCTTATAACTTGTAACAACAGCTACTGGTCGACAACGCATGACCAGATTTAGAAACGGCCTCGGGAAGATGGCCATTACCGGTAGGCCTCTGCGTTACTATTAATTCCCCACTACTGCGTAATAAGGCGGATGTGATTAGCCTTTTTGTCATTGCGACACAAGATTATCATTGATAGACTACATCAATGCTGAAAGGAGAAAAGAGCGTTACATCAGGAGTGTAACTGCATGGACACGCGTATTGTCTTAGCTCACTAAGCTCAGTACTGTATCAAGCTAGTGGACTTGGCATACCAATAATAGGTAATGATCGAACTCTAAACCCCGGAAAATAATTAAAAGCGAGACCGAAACCGATACCGAAAACTTTAGATTAATCTCGACTGACCGACTTAGTCAATTTGTTCCACTTCATCCTCGCTCAATAATAGCATAACCCCGAGCGAATCCCCCACCCTATGCTCATCCAATGAGTACATACCTTGGCAATATTCCTCAGGAGAGAACAACCTCGCAGTTAGTAATCGTCTAAAAGGGCCCCCACGTCATACCATGCCGCCTCGCCTAGGTTACAAGAAGTCCCGAAGGGGTTGTTTTATGTGCAAGCAACGCCGGGTCAAGGTATCCTCTCTTGTACCTACATGCATAATTATTTCTAACAACGCCTTTTAGTGCGATGAGAACCAACCGTGCACTGCGTGTGCGAGGCACGGGGTAGTTTGTGTTTATGCGGATGCTTCGGGTGCACGATCGCGGTCAAGAGACCCTTCCACTGAACAGGTCAGTCGTTATCATACTCGCTGTAAATAAACATGTCTGATCTAGTAGTGTAGACCCGCTCTCAGGGAGAAACTTCCCGGCAAGGCGACGTGTTGATATCCGCTGTCAGCCCAGATCCATTGCCATACTTGGCCAAGTTTATGAAAGGCCAGGAGCCCATAGAGCAGAGTACGTGGCTCACGGACCTGGAGCTAATGCATCATCATTCAACATGCACTTATCTGACTTTGCCACGCGCTGATGAACTTCACCACATATGGCAGATTGAAATGCCTAAGCTAGCCTTGCGTCATGTTTATCTGCTACATCAGGTTCTGTCAGTTTCTGCATTTCATCTCGCCTTTTTGAATCCAGATCGCCCTGAATTTCCTGTATGCGCTTCGCAACACCAGAATGAGGCTATTAAAGGTCTTCGATCAGCGATTGGGTCTATTTCACAAGATAGTTGCGTAGAAATATTTCTCGCATCTTCATTACTCTCCATCGGCGCTTTCGCTGGTTTCAGTACACAAAATTCAGGTCAACAACCCGGCATCGATGACCTTTTGGATGTCTTCGTTTTAACTCGGGGCATGAGTGATATCTTAAACAAATATCAGACGACGCTCAATCAAAGTAGACTTGGGGGTCTCTTTTTAAGAGGAAGCCCATGCGAGTCGACGCCAGTCCTTACAGCTGTTATCGCCCAGCTTCGACAGATCACTATCCCGGACAACTTCGATCTTGCAACGGCTTCTTTATGTCAAGAGTCTATCATGTCTGCCATCACTTGGACTGAGAAAAGTATTGAATCAACGGCCAATCCAGATTTGCGTGTCGCCCTGACATTGTGTTTGTCTGTGAGTGCGGAGTTCTTAGACCTTATTAAACAACGAAACCGTATTGCACTTTGTGTTCTCGCGCACTACTGTGTCGTGCTAAACCAGGTTGGAAGATCTACCTGGTATATGGCAAAATGGGGGAGATTAGTTGTTCTAGATATTTGGAAGGAGATGGATCCACAATGGAGGTCGTTACTTCAGTGGTGTATGGAAGCTGTTGAATGTGAGAATTGTGTTGGATGAGCTTTTTCTCTTTTTTCTTCTAGATTTTAAATCACAGAGGAGAATATATAGGAAACAAGTGACAAAATCAGTAATGGCATAGTTTCCACATCCGCATTGCGCCAACCTCAAGATATCCCCCGTCTAAAACCCATCCCGTCTTGATCCTCTATCTCGCATCTTAAACTCGATCCGAGCCTTGTGAGCGAAGAGTGTTGAATGGCTCAGCTTGGTCCTTGGTCAAGCTCGAGCCACGATGGACGCCGTGCTTCTTTTCGAATCGCCAATCCAAATAGCATACGACAGCAAGGTATTTGGCGACGGGGCTAATTTGTTAGAAAGCTGTTAGATGTATGGGAATGAGAAGAAGGCATACCTAAGAATGCCGGCCAGTACAAACACAACCCAGCCAAGGACACAGCTTGTTCCGATACAAACACTGGAATTTCCGCGAATCATCATGAAAGCAACAGCAGCCCAAAAGACAACTTCCATAGCGTTGAGGATGAAATAAGCCTTGAGGCTTCTCCAGCGTCGGAAACGGCTGATATGCTCGGAGAGTATTTCATAAGAAATGATGATGAGAGACTTGGCACCCTTGGAAAATTAGAAAAATGTACTTTTTAGTCGTATAACTGACTTACCATGCCAAGACCCATAGTAGTGGAGCGACCGGGAGGTCTGTTGGGAAGTAAAAGCCGTGCACCAGATAGGGAAATGACCGCGATGATGAGAATGATCTGGACAATCTGGAGCGGGAGCTTATTTCGGAGGGTGAAGAATGGCTCCATTCTCTTGATAAATGTAGGAACCATTGTGAAGGTTTGAAGAAATGTACAAGTCTAGAGATTGTTGTGGGTAAGATGAGAGAGCTGATGTTGAAGATGTTGATGATACCCAAAAGCAATGGCAACACCAAGAGTTTATAAATATTAGCAGTAACAGCAAGTCTCCAATTCAATTTGATACATGTCTTAGAAAACTATAGTAACGCGGCAGTGTTGGATCTGCACAGCCCAAGCATGCATTTCCATGTTACTCTAAACTAAGCACTAAAGTAATGATAAAACTCTAAGAGACGTGTTAAATCCAAGCCCAGCTCAAAGCTCAGTCTGGAAGTATTGAATCTGAGTCTTATCTTATGCAAAATCAGGCTCTTGATTGGCTGCACGGACCGGTCTCGGTTTCGGTCTCGGTTTCTATTTCGGTGGAGAAGAAATAACTCGCGGGGTCTCAAATACTTCAAAGCCCGACTATGAGTATCAAGACCGTGCTTCGTAAACTACACGCATCACTGACGTTTCTAGTGGCTGTGTTATTTGCCGAATTTCTTCAAGAACACTGCTAACATTGGCTCGGCAGTCACGGAAGTCACGGCAGTTCGGGATGGCCTAATTCCAATCTAGTTACAGGTTATACCACAATCTTTCGCTCTATTCGCAGCCCTGTTGTTTCTATTTTTAAAGAGATCAGCTCTTGTATAAAGTAGAAGGGATATTTATAACTGTATAATAACTATGGGAAAAGAGTATCTAAACTATTTCTCAGCAGCTGTTGCATTCTCACTCTGAATTAGACGCTGGGTAGCTGTTTCAGTAGTATGGAATCTCCAAGCCTTGATCTTACGCTCAAAGAGTTCGTCAAGCTCGGCGGGCGATCGACTGAGAGAAAAATCAGCTTTTTTCCACAACTTGCTAGTATTCAACGTTACTCACCGGGCAGTCTCGGGCACCAAGAGCCATGTACCAATGACCCATGGAAGGCCAACTCCAGCGTAGAAAAAACCAGTCTTGAGCTTCCAGTCCCATTTGTTAGCGTTGACCATGTATGGTGTGAGAACAGACATGACAAGGCCACTGATGGAGTTGGCAGAAGCTGCGAAGCCAGAAGTATATGGTCGAAGTCGTTGCGAGGATATTTCCCCAATGTAACCCCAACCCGCAGCTCCATTGGCTGAGATACCGATGTCTATAGGCAGAACATTAGCTTATTATTATTCATGGAAATATATCATAGAGGACTCACTCCAGAAACATGCAAACAAGACAAACACATAGGTGCTGGCGTCGCTTTGAGGAGCAACTCCTATGATACCAACGATCAGGCAAGAGATCCACATTAACGATGTAGCGCAGCAGGCCATGCGGCGACGACCGAATCTGTCGACTCCAAAGACGGCTAGGATAACCACGATGATCTGCAGAGATGTAGTAATGGCCTTGATCTGGAAGGGGTCGGCCAGACCAGCCTGCTGGAAGAAATAGGTACCAAAACTGCCAAAGAGGGCAAGACCCAGGAACTGTTGTGCAACAATAGTCCACATGGCGGTGATAGTACGGCGACCGTTGATGCCTTTAAAGATAGCCAGCCAGCTTTCGTTTCGTTGCTCGGCCGCCAAAGCCTTTTCGTGCTCAACGTTCAAGGCAAGGAGTTCGTAGTGGCGATCGACATCAAAGTCTTGAACTCCACGGTAAAGAAACCTGATACTTTTCTTGGCCCTCTCTTCCTTCCCAACAGTCGCACACCAGGAGGGTGATTCAGGAAGAAAAACGTAGATGATGGCCATGACTCCGATGTGCCCCCACTGAGTATACACAGGTGTAAGCCAGTTGAAAGGGTCAGTTCTGTTCAGCTTCTGGAGAGCTACGTGGGTACAGAAAGAACCAGTGGTCCACCAGAAGCTGTAGAGCATCAACATACCACCACGGATTCGCGTTGGACTGATCTCTGTGATGTACCCAAGCAGAGTTGCCTGCAGGCAACCTACACCAGTGCCAGCGAGCATCTTAGCTCCGAACCAGACCGTCCAGCTTCGGGAAAGTGATTCAGCCAAAACACTACTCATGAGGATAGTCCACAGAGTGTACATGGCAATCTTGCGACCGAACCCTGCGACCACAAATGAGATGCCAATCTGACCGAGGATCTGACCTACGTTCTGGCCAGCGCTCCAAGTCGCAATGATATTCGAGGCGAGGAATTTGTCACCCTCTTCGTTTACCGACGTGGCAAATTGCTGAACAAAGCCTTTGTTTGCAATAATACTTGCTTGCATACTAAAAATCATATCAGCGGAATGTCTTCAAGGACAAGGGTATATATCATGCATACGCAATTTGGTAACCATCAGCTCCGGCACTAAAAGCAGAAAGTAGGCAGATGAACGACGCCATCTTGAAGGTTCGAACAGTTTCCCAGAAGGACAAGTTCTCGTATCCAGAGAGCGCTTGGCCCTGTATGGCGGCTTCGGCAGCAAGATCACCATGCTTCGACGCGGTTTCGGCATGGTGGAGAGAATCAACACGGACATGATTGTCAACAGGTGTTTTAGGGTCGCTAGGAGCAGCCATAGTGGTGGTAAAGCCAATGCTTTTTATGTTAACTAAAGAGAAAATTGAGGCGATGTGCTTGATTGAATGTCAATTTGATGGCCAGGCTCGAGGCCATTTCATATAAGAATCCTTTGGTGTATCATTGAATCTTGATCCTCGCTTCCCCATGGGGTCAATAAGACCAACATGCGAGAACCCGCGTATTCAGCATTAGCGCACTTATACCCCGCAGGTTGGTCAACTGGAGTATAAGATCGCGCGTTGTAATTGGATAACTTCCTTAATCCCTGCTAATGCGTCTCTGACGGGTTTTCCGCCCAAGTTTTCCGACGAGCTGAGAATGCATATGCAAGTGTCAGCTAACTACTTGGAAGACCTTGTATCAAGGGGATCGGCGAGATGTTCCGAGTTGTGTTAGTATCTCATGAGTAAATGCTGTTTTTGAAGGTCACGCGAGCCAGCCACCCTCTTTACAGGAAAGTCTGGACCAAATCGAATTCCGACAGGTTTTCCTTGGGTGCTTTGGTTTGACGTACTCTTAAAGCCATAATTGGCATGTATTAGTAACAGAGCTTTGTGGCGCGCGCCACCGAATTTCAAGAGTTGATACGGTATGCCATATGCGACCTACGAATAGTTTAGATCTTGGACAGTGAGCATGTCCCAAGGGTATGAATTGACGACTGTTGTGGCACCACGCTTAACCTGAGTTATAACTATTGATCCCATTGCTATTGGGTTAATCTTTAGTGGTCTACGTAGCCTTCAAAAATCATGAACGCGATATGTCTCTCGACACTTTTTAGTGATATGCATTCGACGGAGCTCACTGACAATGTCTAAATCGCCTGGATTGCAGATAACGAAGCTATTTTATCTGGATCTCTACTTGTAGTCTATCCTTTTGAAATGAAATCTAGGTATGCAAGTAAATCTACATCAATTGTCATCAACCTGTCTTCTTCGCTGAAAAGTCTTTCGCAAGTACGTTGCTGAGTTTTTAGGCGTGCGTGTTAATCCGCTCTCAAAGTCAACATGAACAATACCAAATTTTGGCTGGTATCCAGCCGACCATTCTAAAACATACAAGTTAGCATAGCATTTAAAGTATGATCAAAGAACAGGCATACCGAAATTATCCATGAGCGTCCACACGTAGTAACCCTTGACAGGGATGCCATCGCTGTATATGGCTCGAGAAATAGCATCCAGGTACAGACCAAAATAGTTTTGACGAAACTTGTCATCAATCGCTATCTTGAGATCTTGCTCTCCAGGGCAGGGACATCCGTTTTCTGTGATAATAATAGGAAGGTGGTACCGATTCCAGACCCAGTTCAACAGCTTGCGGAAGCCATTAGGCGCGACACGAAGCCATTGAAATTGCGAAACGGGACCTATTTCCTTACCAGCTTCGTTTACTGCTCCTTCCTCGATGTTGCCTGTCCAATCGTCTTCATCAGGGGGATCAGGGAGAGCACGGGCGAATTTTGTCGAATAGTGGTTCATGCCATAGAACGAATTGAGAGCAGCTGTCTCGCGGAGGAGCTTGCACTCTTCGGTGCTAAAATGGGGTAGTCTATCACCCAAATAGTTTCGCATCGAGGCAGGATAGTCTTGTCCTAGAAAGATCGGGTCGCCGAACCAGCCAATGTAGAACTCAAGTCGTTGCTGCGCTGCATCAATATCGGCTTGTTTATTGGAGTAGGGTTCGTAGAAATGGCTGTTCAATACGATAGAGATCTCTCCCTGCTGTGCAGGCTTGAATTCTTTCACATAGAGTTGAACAACAACAGCATGTGAGATGACCAGTGTATGACCGACACGCCAGGGCTCGTTCTTTGTGTCAAATCCATCCTCTGCACGATGTCCAGGTGCAAGGGTTCCGTTGACATGACCAAAAATGGAGATGATGTACGGCTCATTATACGTGATCCATTTCTTAACGCGATCACCAAAACGTGCAAAACATAATCGCGCGTAGTTGGCAAAATCGGCAGTGAACGATTCAGTATCCAAAAAAGCCTTATAATGATCGTAAAGAGCCTGTGGCGCATCCCAATGGTATAACGTCACTACGGGCTCAATCCCGCTCGCCAATAATCGGTCGATGAGGTCGTTGTAGAAAGCTATTCCCTTCTCGTTGATCGGATCTCCGCGGCCTCCAAGTGGGATTATGCGTGTCCAGGACAGAGAGAAGCGATAAACGTCGACACCGCATACCTTCATAAGGTTGATGTCCTCGGATACTCGGTTGTAGTGATCGCAGGCTACATCGCCTGTTGCTCCGTTCGTCCGCAAGGGCTCGAGATGTGTGTACGTATCCCAAATGGATTGACCTTTTCCATCTTGGTTTGCACCGCCTTCGACTTGATACGCGGCGGTAGCAGTACCCCAGCGGAAATCTTTGGGAAGTGGGAGCTCGTGTACGGTCAGATCGTCGTTGTTACTTCCCGTGCCTGAGCTGGTGACCAAGTCACCAGCCTGGAACATAGAAGCCTCTTTGGACATTGCAACTGGATGGTAAAAAGCAAAAGAATTTGTGAAAAAGGAACGAAGTAAATCGGAAGTAACCTTGAGTGGGCTAAGAACTAAGAGGCTTTTCTTTCTGTCACAGTTTCTATCCTCACAAGCCCCGACCGCACCATCCCACTTGATCTTCTTTGCCTCGTTCGAGCGAGTGGAGTTTATAGCAATCACATGTGGTTAGTTCTCTATCTTTTGCAGCAGTTGCTGATGGATTCTTTGACGCCATAGGGTACGTGGAATTTGCGTTGGAGTAACTGGCGGATCTCAAACGGCAAGGTCTTACCCTACAGAAATTTGTTGTTAGTATACCCCCCCTTTATTAGAGTCTCCGTCGGAAAACTAGTCGGATTATGGTGGAGCCTGATCTCCAGTTCCCCGCATTTGACCAGTCTAGTATACAGGGAATTATGAGTAATTCACATTAAAACATGTCACGAGCGAACTGCCATTATTCTGGGTTTGGGGCTAGAACAGCCAGCACGATGCCTTGTACTCTTGGGTCTCATCAGTATTCCACAAGTTGCAGATCCACGTCTCAACGCATTTCCCTGGCAATCCGTTCAATCCGTACTCTACCTCAACTGGAGATTGAAAAATGAAAAAGGGCATGTCAGATGAATAATTATCTTCTCGCACCAACATGCCAAAGGACCGCGATATAGTGTATCTTCCTATAACTACGATTTATTTTTTCAATCATGAATTCCTGTCTGTGGCAATGTGACATTGAAAGCGGGGTTAGACCCGGAACGAGGTTTAAAAAAACATGCTGGGCCAAACCATCACGTTCTAACCCACAGAAAATGCGCAATTGATACCACATCTATGAGACCACTGTCAGCCTGTATAACATGCCGGTATGCATCGACCTCGATTTCTTGTGGAATATTGTCTCATACCAAACACTATAGTGATCGGCGGAAAAAATGTGATCGGTCTCGACCAGGTCTAAGCTGCAATTTCTGCATCAAGAGAGGCCTCGACTGCGTTGCAGTCGTAAACGACCCTGTCTCCAATACTTTGGAAAGCCATTATGAACCACTTGGTAGTTACATAGAGGATGGTCGGCCTCGTCGTGTCTCCTCGGTGGTTGTACATGATGCCGCGCTGGCTGAGGAGTTAGCGAATCTCTATTTTCGGTATATACACATTACATTTCATAACATCTTCCATCGCGAAACTTTCATGGCTCAAGTCAGAGACTCTTCTATCCCGAAGATTCTGTTCTTTGGCATTGCAAGTCTGTCAGCGCGTTACTCGACTCATCGCGTCTTTGCATCTACCACGCCGTGGGACAGGGGAAGACCGTATCGGGACGAGATCAAGAGATTGCTCGATTTGGAGCATACTTCATTAATTAGTATCCAAGCTTGTCTATTGCTCGCAGCAAATGCTTCGGTCGAAGGAGATTCTAGAACGGAGTCGGTCTATCACGCAATTGCTTCTCGCATGGCCATGCTGTTGGATCTTCCAAACTTACCAACCGAGTCTCTTCTCGAGCAGGAAATCAACAGAAGAGGTAACTTGATCTAAATCTAAACCGAAAGCTATTTTCTGACTTTATTCACTAGTATGGTGGTCTCTTATCACAACCGAGACATGGTCAACTGCAACCCAATCTCTCCCTAGGTTTATACAACCACGGGACGCCATCCCGTTGCCTATGGACGAGCGCGAATTTGCTTTGTTAACCCGTGATACACCAGCAGCGTCGTTTGAACCGTCAAATTGTGTATCACCTGCTTGCAACTTCGATCCTCAATCTTTGGTCGCACAGATGATCCGACTTAACCTCTTGCTTTATGATATAATCCTCTTTCTCAACTCCCGAATGATGGATGAACAAGGCGAACATTCAATCATCAGAGAATACGATCATCGGCTTCACGACTCTCTCGATGAGTGGGCTAGCAATATACCTCCAAGACTTCGTTATTCTGATGAGAATGTGACATATTGGGCTGGCAAGGGCTTCGGTGCCATTTTTATTATACTGCATATCAATTACAATCATGCTGGCCAACTACTATTCTACCAACACCTGTACTCTACTCAAGAACAGGATCAACTTGATGACTTGACACAACAATTTGCCGAGCGATGCAAACAGCACGCAACAAATCTATGTGACCTCATCTACAAGGCGAAGCAGCGATCAGACACGGCCGTTCTGTATCCGCTTGCTGGGCATATTCTATGCCTGGCTTCCACAGTCCAAATCCACACACTTCTCTTCGAAATCGACGATGATGAGATCGCCGCAGCTAAGATGCGGTTAGAAAGAAATTTCGAGATGATTTCATCAATGAACAACTACTGGCCTATGAACCATATATCTATCAGCCGGTTGCAGCATTTTCATAATGCCTGTCTTCGGAGCAAAAACGACTCATTTCGTCCAGACGGTTGGATGCTTCGATTCTTATTAGGCTTTACGCAGTATGTTGATGATAGGGATGAAGTTTGGACGTATGGTCATGGGGCGCTAAGCGAATTCCAGTCCCTGAGAAATCTCTTTGCTATTTAGCCTATAACTCACTATAGCCTATTTACCGTCCGAGTAACAGAATCGTATATGCTGCATCCTAAGTACCACTAGCGGGTTGGACGTACTCGATTCCATCAAGAACAGTTGTCAACGTTCCGTTGGACTCCAAGAGATTAACGCTGACGTCAATCTCCAATTCATACCCATCTCGACTTGTGACTTTGATCCCCTCCACTACTCCAGTCTGCGTGATGTTGGAGAACCATTCAACACGGTCTTTCCATACATTAGGAAGTAGCTTCCACTTGGAGACCTTTTCGTACCCGTCGATGACATAACCTTCTTGGTCTGAATAATCGCTATAAGAGGCTGAGATAGTCCGAATGATGCCAGTTTCGGGGTCCTCAATGAAGGAAACCTCAGCAGCGCCTGACAATTGACCTTGTAGTGTGTAGTTGCCAGCTGGAATCTCGTATTGCGCTGGTGTTTTACTACCTGTGGGAAAGGGTTTAGCCCATGGGATAAAATCGGGAGCCTTAAAGACTGGCGCTGGTTTTGAAGGCTTAAGAGATGTACGACGAGCAAGCATTATTCGGTAGTTGCGTCCTCCTTGGGCGGTGGAAACTGGGCATGGGAGAGGATTGGCACCCCCGCACGACGGGGAAACCACTAGTGCTTGCCAATATACAATCATTGTGCTGTCGGGAGAAAAGGCTGGATCAGCTCTGCCATTCCAGTTGGGATCGTTGGCACTTCCATCGCTCCCGTCACCATCGGCATTAACCTGCTGGCCGAAATGATTCCCGCTGTCTCCGTCGCGACCGATTAGGATTGGTTGAAAGAATCTTCGCGGTCCGTTATTACGAGTTGACGAAGCGAGGGCAACAACGAGGTAATCGATGATCGGAGGGATCCATCTCATGCCAGACATAAACATCTGGCGACCTACAACACGCGTGTCCATAGCAACAATCCATTGATCATCTTGGGACATGGAGACCGGGTCAGTATAGTCGGGATGGCTGGTAAGGCGGCGAACAGCCCCGGTGGTCAGGTGGACAGCCGAGACATCAATGTTGTTAGCTTCCACGGGAGATCCGATATAGATAATCTCGTCACCCGAACCGCTGAAACCACGAAGCTCACCAGGCGTAATTGCACCATGGTTAATGCGTAGTTTGTCATCATCGACGTACATAGGCGGCTTGCCATTTGCATCAACGAGAATGTTCACATCGACCAAGTCGTATCGAGGAACAAGAGGATCGCCAACCTTTGGATCTTCGTTGAACTCTAGACGGCCAAAGTAAGTGAACTGGCCTCCAGTACCAGTAAAAGAGCTCCAGCCCATGTGTTGATCATCAGGGTGAAGGCGCATCTCTCGAGGAGAGCCGCCTTTTCCAGTCCCATCGGCAGAGATGGTCCAATGGATGGGATGGATGTGAGTGATATTCGGAGTGCAGGCATCGCTAGCCAAAGGGTTTCCACCACAAGAGACAATGTTATGACCCCATAGCGCTTTGTCGCCGCTTCGAAATACATGAGGATAGTCTTTCTGCGGATCGACCCAAGGGGCATTCTTGGACGGAACACCACAGGTGATACATTTCCATGGATCACCGTTGGAGAAGTTGGTACCATCTGTGCTGATGAGGATCAGATGTTCACCATAGTAGATGCTCGCTGGGTCTGGAGCTGCAGGAGCACCAATGAAGTCGACATTTACCACAATGTGTCTTCCATCAGGCGTGAAGTCTCCTGACTGGAACTGTTGCTCTTCTCCAGCATCTCTACCAATGCAACCTGTACCCCGGGGGTTGATCTTGGAGGTACAAGCACCTGTAGCACTGCTTGAAACTACAGGAGGCAAAGGCAGCTCGACCACATCGATAGGTTCTGGATTGGGGGGCTCTGGAAAATGGGGCGAGTATTGTCCTGAAACAGTGGGTGCCAACAGAGTAGCACCCAGTGTCATGGGCAAAATTGGAAGAAACAGCATATTTTAAGAAGTTCGAGTGTAACCAGTATGAATTATAATGAGGCTTTCTTAACTTTAACAGTGGGATTTAATCTATGAAAAAGGGCTTCTTGATCGCTAACTTTATAGTTGCTAATTTGCCTAGTAACTCAATTTTTCTTGTGTACTCGGATAATATGTCAGCCGCGAGTGTCTTCGTATACATCCACCTTGAGCGTGTCATTGTCCGAGCAGTCGAATTAGACTACACAGCTAGGGTCTAACACAGCAGGGTCTGTAATTGTTTCTCAAGCAGATCATGACCAAGAGCAGGTAGACAAGGGTTGTCAATACTTAGGGTAGTGATCGATATTACAGCCCCTCGATGTACCATAACCGTAACCCGGAGAATACTACAGGTCCTCGCGGTTTGGTACTTACCCCATACTGTCCTTCGTCACATGGGGAATAGAAGCCACGGGGAGAGTATCGTGCTTACAGAGCGGTTTTGAGAGCCGAGGTAAGTCAAAAACAAAAATTCAACGTCGGAAATTCTGTCGGAATACTCAAAGAGGTACACAACCCCTTCTAACATGGAATTGTAAGTTGCGGGGTAAGATCAAAGCAGAATACGAGGCTGTATACGAAACCGCGTATTGGCCGCGTCCCATGGCCCATATGCTATTACTGCCACAATCCACTAAGCTCGTAGATGAATAAACGAGCAGTCAGGGTGGGTAAAATAAAATCACGCGTCACTTGGGCCACTGTACTCGAAAATAGAGTTTTACGACGGGTTTCCCGACGATGCTGAATGATGGGCTTCGACGGACGCTAAGGTAGGTAGCATATTGAAAGGGATGTCGAGTTAATCCTTTTCTTCTCAACCAAGAAGCCTTGACTCAGAATTACATCGAAGTAGACCAAGTCTGTCTAACTTTTTTCCAGAAAACATAAATTTGTCTCTGGATATTCATGGGCTGTCCAACATGTTGCCAGTGACTGATGTTCGCTTTGAACATTATCAACCTCGCAATACTCTGGGTGTTCAAGACGCCAGGCCACGGATATCTTGGAAGATCCTGCATGACGATACTTGCAGCACTCAAAATGGCTACGATGTCGAGTTAACCAGATACGGGCCGAGTCAGGAAGTGCAAGACGTGTCTATGGCAAGTCACCAGTCGCGGCAAAACATCCTGACTGAATGGCCATTCAAAGAGTTTCTTGAGTCTCGTGAACATGTATCGATTCGTGTTCGAGCTTGGGAAGAACAAGGACAGAAAACTGCCTGGAGCGAGCCTACTCATCTTGAAGTGGGACTTTTGCATCGGTCAGACTGGACATGCCAACGAATCACCGCACCGTGGGCTCAAAAGAGCACACAAGCTGGCCCTGAGGATTTGTTCCGCAATCAATTTGTTCTTCCCAACAAACCTATTAAAGCGCGACTTTATATCACAGCCCAAGGTATCTACGAAGCTGAGATCAACGGGCAGCGTGTCGGTGATCATTTCCTAGCTCCGGGGTGGACATCTTACGATGGACGACTCCAATATCAGACTTATGATGTTATTTCGCACATAGTTGCGGGTGCAAACTGTATTGGAATAAGAGTTGCAGAGGGCTGGTTCTGTGGCCGTATTGGCTTTGAAGGCGGACACAGAAATATATGGGGTCCTCATACCGCTCTTCTTGCTCAATTGGAAGTCACTTGCGCCGATGGACAGACTTGCAGAATAAACAGCGACGGCTCCTGGAAGGTGACACAAGGTCCGACTCGACTCGCGGAGATATATGATGGCGAGAAATATGATATGACAAAGGAGGTTCCAAACTGGTCGATGGTGTTGGATGAAGAAAGCCCGAAAGGCTGGACTGATGTACAGACGCTTACATTTCCGCCTGACTCTACTCAACTTACGTCGGGCTTCGCAGAGCCAGTGCGTCGGGTTGAAACCATAAGTCCTGTCAAAGAAATAACGACACCTAATGGGAAACTGGTCCTTGATTTTGGCCAAAACATCGTCGGATATTTGCGTCTTTCGGGGATCAAAGGACCCAGTGGACACAATATTACCCTTCAACATGCTGAAGTGATGGAGAATGGAGAGCTTGGTATTCGACCCTTGAGGATATGTCAAGCAAAGGATGAGATCATCCTTAAAGACTCACTTGTGGAGCTATCCTGGGAGCCAAGATTTACTTTTCACGGATTCCGGTACGCCCAGATTGATAATTGGCCAGGTCCACTTGATCTTTCTTGTGTGGAAGCGGTGGTGTGTCACACTGACATGAAACCCGCTGGTCACTTCTCATGCTCGGATCTGTTACTTAATAAACTATACCAGAACATCGTTTGGGGCATGAGAGGAAACTTCCTATCAGTACCAACTGATTGTCCTCAAAGAGATGAACGACTTGGCTGGACCGGAGACCTGTCACTCTTTGGCCCTACCGCATGTCTTATTTATGACTGTTTTGGCATTCTTAAGAATTGGCTGGTCGATCTTGAACATGATCAGGATGTCCTTGGTGGTGTTCCGCCAATGGTCAGTCCAAACGCCACTCTCCCAGATCCTATCTGGTGCAGGAAAGTGCCATGCGCCATTTGGCATGATGTAACGATCATAGCGCCATGGGTTCTCTATCAGGAGACTGGAGATAAGAGCATCTTGACTCAACAGTATAACAGCATGATGAAATGGATGACAATACTCCCAAGAATGAAGTCAGGGCTCTGGGATCCCGGACCCTTTCAACTCGGTGTAAGTTCTTCCAATACGCTCCTCGTGGTTCTTGAAACTCATAATCAGAATAGGACTGGCTCGACCCAGCAGCACCGGCAGACCGCCCATGGAAAGGTTCAACAGACGCTAAAATGGTGTCAAACATGTTCTTGCTACAGAGCTTAGATCTGATGAGTAAGATATGTGGCTTATTAGGGAAAAAGCAGGAGCATATCCGATTTGAGGAGGACTACCAGGCTACACGAGCCGAATTTCAGCAAGAGTACGTTACGCCTAGAGGGCGCATTGCCTCAGATTCACAGGCTGCATATGCATTAGCTATCTGTCTTGACCTCCTTGACCCAACGCAAAGAGTACGAGCGGGAGATCGTCTTGTGGAGCTCGTACGTAAGAACGAGTTTAAAGTGGGCACAGGGTTTGCCGCCACACCGTTCCTGTGCGAAGCCCTTGCATCAACTGGTCATTTACAAGTTGCATATACGATGCTACTTGAAAAGGGCTGTCCTTCGTGGCTATACCCTGTAACTATGGGTGCTACTACGGTCTGGGAGAGATGGGACAGTATGTTGGAGGACGGCTCTATCAACCCAGGGGAAATGACGTCGTTTAACCACTATGCGTTTGGCGCTATAGCGAAATTTATGTATGAGCGAGTTGCCGGGCTACAGAGGCTTGAGCCTGGATGGAGGAAGGTTCGTATCTCTCCTGCCATTGGCGCCGCCTTTTCCCGAGCTTCTGCGTCACATGTCTCTCCCCAAGGCACGATTTACTTTGAGTGGGATACCCAGGTTGTTGACGGGAACCACGAAAAATTTGTGATCCGAGCTAAAGTCCCCCCAAACACTGTTGCAGAGATTGTTCTCCCGGGCGTGGTAAAGGAAGAAGTAAAGGAGGTTGGTTGCGGGGAGTGGTTTTTCACATCATTGTTCAAAAGAGAGTATGAGTGGCCAGTTCTGCCGCTGCCATCAAAGTCATAATTATATCGTGGTACCCGGTCACCACACTTAGGTATAAAATAACAAGGGCATTATGATTGTGTGATATTTCGTCTCTAGTCGCAATCTTGAGTTGGTCAGCAAAGTATCGGTTCGTTCTTGTGGAGCGACTCGTGTATTGCATCTTTTTCGGACATAGGCATAGAAAGGATCATTAGGGCACAACTGAGGTCAGGTGATTATATATTTACATACCATCAAACCCAACAAAAAACTGGGGGGAATATCTCATTTCTATCAATTGAATCATGACCTGTAGAATGATAGTATAATGCAACTGAAATCTTAATTAAAATGGAATAAAGCTTAGCTTAAAACGCTAGTTTAAACCCTAAAGAATATATTGTGATTTAATTCGGCCGAAAGTGTATTGGCGACTTTAAACCCCAAGTCGGATTTGCTAACTGGATTTCTATCATCAAAATCTAAGTTTTTCCTGACCCTATTGCTACGCATTTTATAATATCCCCAGGTGGTAACGAGGTTCATGACTGCTCAGAATTATACCCTCATAACCGTTCCAACCACCCTGTACAACTTTTGATCTGCTCCGTTGCGAGCAAAGGCTTTAGCGATCGATACCAGCACCAATACCGTTCTCGCGACCTGAGTCAGTAACTATGGCAGTTTTGCCTTCAAGAGATAGAGTGTCGATGGGCATGTTGGAAAAGATAGTTCAGTTATTCTGTATGCGATGTGTATTTTGCGAAGTCTGAGTGTATCTTGGTGATGATCTTGTCTTCCAGCTGGCCGTGACACATCATGTTTTATACGTTGTTTTGTATCTCACGATCATCCATATGGCATCATACCACCAAGGATGGAAATATTTGCTTTGTCAGAACAATTGTTCGGGCGAATTTCAGCCCGAGTCGGTGTACAAGATACTGCTATCACGTTCAGTTTCAAAGACAAATTCGTTTGTGACCTTAACAGGTGTTGTTCCTTCGAGCTAAGTCAGTCTCTGTAATAAATTCATGGACTTTGATAAACGGGTTAGACCCTTCAGGCTTAGCCTTCGGCTAGTGAGTGTCTCGTCCACAACTAAACCTTTCAGTTCCTAGATCCAGGGTCATTTTTGAGTCCCTAAGCCTCGAAAACATATCCTATTTAACTCAGAAATATCAAGAGCCTCAGCTCAATTATGACGCTAGTGTCATTGATGTTCTGAGCCAGAGCATCTACTGGGAAGCTGTCCCGTTGCACGGGTCAGTTGCCTATGCCTAAATAGTTCAACATGCCCAGCTTCCTGAGCATCTTGTTCGGCGGATCCTGCGGTATGCCATGTCGATTCGACTCTTCGCCCAAGCTCCTGGTTCGTTGGATAGCATAACACATACGTCGTTCTACGCTGTGCCACTCAAACGAGCAAAATAAAATCCCCCTCTTGGTATAGACATAACCTGGAAGAGATCAAGCCCGGATCCGTATACCTTGCCAAAGTATTAAAGAAACTCAGTGCTAACAGAGACAAAACCAGCGAAGAGTGGGAAAAGACTGGTTTCGCTTTGGCCAACTTCGACCGCTTAAAAATAGGCGAGCCCTGGTGGGACTACATCAGCCGTCAGGTTGGAGTAAAACCATCCAACTGGTGCTTGCAGAGATTTACAGAGAGTATGCAAACTGTTGCCTTTGCTGCTGTCAAAACGGAAGAGCCACTGATTACGGGGTATGATTGGTCTAGCCTTAGCGAGGGGACAGTCGTTGGTGTAAGTTTTGTGGCCTCTAGTGTTCTCTTTCTTTACTAAATGTTCGCCAGGCTGGAGGTTCTAGTGGCCACGACGCCGCGTGTCTCCCTAGGCCGTTCCTAAACCTACGAATTATTGTGTAGGACCTGCCCCACATTGAAGAATCCTTGGATTAGCATGTGCCTGAACCTCTTAAAGGTAGGGTAATTTTTATACTACATGACTTTTTCAAACTTCGAATCGATAAGGGAGATTTCTTCATACTGAATATGATTTCACACGATTGGTCAGATAAATACGCCGCCAAGATTCTAAAAGAAATGATTTTTCAATTAAGCTCCACATCCAAACTTCTGTTAATTGATGCTATAGCACCCCCAGGAAACGCATGCCACCATTTATTGACTCCTCTCGGACTTATGGTGGCGGCTGATTTGCGGATGTTGGTCACTCTCAACTCACTTGAGCGTACGTTGGAAGCTTGGAAGGCTTTGCTCAATCAAGTAATTTATAATACTGAATTAAATTATAGCTGAATCTAGAGGTTAAATTTAGATAATTATTCTAGATTATGTTTAGACCTGTTATCTTAATGTACCCTTCCCTAGAGATTAACAAAGTGTCTCCAATTGTTTTTTTAACTGGGGGTTAATATCTTACAGAGCGTTGGAAGAAGTAACTCAGCCTCCTCAAGAAACGACAATCAAGGCTATTTCAACATCAGGCTTCCAGAGTATCCATGCAACTGATCGCTAAATATACACCGTTAATATCCCTCGGGTTGCTGGGTTTGCTGCAGAAGCTCATATCTCGTTTTTTTATTCTGCGAGGACTTACTGAACTTCAATAGAGCATCTATACGTCTGCAAAAGTCGAACCCTTGGGCGATATGCAAGGACATCATATTATCACGGGCCTCGCAACTATGCTGTAGGAGCCAGTAGACAATATTAGTAAACCTGAGTGGTTGTCATACTGTAATCTCTGGGCTATAGGTGGATCAAAGAGATATAACACTTATGAAACTGTTGCGTAGATATAGTGGTTGTTGGTAATCTGTTCTTTATGTAATTATGTGGCTTTAACGTTTAAAAGCGCCGATAATAGTTCCATTGGACCTTTGCCAGTCCATCACATCCGAAGCATTATTCTGTTGCATCTAGTTTAAGTACTCCCTATTCCTTGTTACCTCTTTAATGCTATCCTATCCGTTATATCTAGATGCGCTGAAGACCTATAGTCTTAATATAGCTGCTATACTTATCATTAACTGAATTATCGGTACATATCTATTTAAATCATTAGTATACCTATGTACTACTAGCGCAACTAAAATCCCTACCTTAGTTATCAGTTATTAATTAACGAAAACAATAGATCACATGATTGAAACGTATAAAACCATGCCGAATTGAACTCATGTTATATATTTGAATGTATGAAGTCAACTAAGATTGTCTGAAAGTGATGAAATATAGCAGTGCGCTTAGGAAAGCCAGACTGAACCCGATAATACTGTCACTAAAGCGTAGCGACCTCCGGGTGCTTTGAATTGTATGTCGGCTCACTCGTCACGGCTTGGATCGAAACCGGGAACTTTATCACCAGCAGCCATCCGGAGGTTCTTGGTGAAAGCATCTTCCCAGTCCCACAACTTTGGGGCAACACCTGAACGCCAGGCTTCAAACATCTTGTACTTTAACTCTCCAGAAGGCCAGTGGTTCCAACCCAGAACACTTCCCAGAATCCAGTCCTTAGTAAAGTTCTCAACCTTGTCATCATCTTTCTTGGTGGCAATACGGAAGCAATGTGTACCAAGTCCATCTTTGTGGAAAACAAGTTTGGCACGGTCTCCACCAGTCAGAAAATTCTCTGACGCCTTGTCGTATTTTCCATGGCACGAAGGCGCGACACGTTTGACTTGGCTGTCTTTGACAAAGATGACAATGTTCTCCCGGTCATGCTTATGGCCTGCACCAAAAGCTTCGAAGCCAGTATGGTCCATCTCGAAGTAGTATTCGTACATGATGGCACACCAGCCATTGTTACATCGCTGTCGAGAATAGACATGGCTGCTATGAATGCGGCTAGACTCTCGGCACTTGGAGAGACTGTTACCCCAGTATGGTTCCAGCCCAGGGTTGGTTCTGCCGCCTATGTCGATGGCTGATGTGTAGTAGCAGCTGTCCGTATCGAAGTCTAGAAGAGGCTGGTATTTCTCCTCCTCCGCGTCCCCTTTGGGTGGAAGCATAGGTATGACGTCTCGGGTGGATAAAGAGGTCGACCCAGTGACAGGAACCGACTGCACCTGTTGAAGGACGCAAGTGAGAGCAACGATAGATGCCAAGTTTAACATCTTGAAGTTTGATATGAGAAGTAGTAATGAAATGAAAGGTCTTTCAGGTTGATGTGTTTGTTTGATGAGCTAATGGGTGAGTTGAAATGAGATCAAGGCTCGGATGGATGGCCTGTTATATAGAAATCTGAATTGCATCGTTGCAATTCCGCGACATCAGGGCTCACATAATACATTTGACCAACAAAGCCGGTTGTGACATTCAATTCGTGGATTTTCTCCATCGAGAAAGTGCTCAGCCCATTGGCAGACTATCCATGTTCATAAAATGAAGTAGGTACTAGGTTTTGCGAGCTGCATGAGTCAGCTTATAAGAATTTGTCGGCCGTAGACTTTAGAAGATACTAGTCAGATCAGGTATGACTGACCAAGTGGAAGATTGTTACAACAAGATCTTACGAGAGTTATAGCGAAACAAGGCTCGGCGAATAGGAAGGCGGCTGTGCCAGAAGATATTAGTGTTGCAAGCCAATGCTAGTGCACTTAATAACCTACACATCACAGCCCAATGGCACGAAAGATGCTAGGTTCCCAATCCCAAATGCTGTATTTTGAACGTCCCTGTCAGCCCTGTCAGCGAACAAGTGGAGAACGCCCCTATCCAAACTCAGGCGCTTGAATAGTGACCGGATTCTATCGTCCTATTCGTCGACAGAACCTTGTCCCTCTTCAAGCTTAATTACTTCCCTGGCACTGCCTTTATGTATGTAATATTTGCGCAAAGCTATTTTCAGGCACTAAGTAAGAAAATTGAGTAGAACAATATTGGATTACGAGCTAAGCTTACTATTTGTGATATTACCTATTTAGGCCATTTTGCCGTATGACTGAAATTTTATCTAATCCTGTTTAGGTCTGCACGGGCATAGGGTTCGCCTTTACATTTGAAAAGAGCAAGGAACAAATTTAGGTATAGTATCTTTGCTGTTTGGGGTTAGCAGACGATTCGAGTTGCTAGGCTCAGAGGCTTTACGGCAAAATAGGTGAATATACCACCCAGTGTAGACGAAGAGAAGGTACAATGCCTCTAGACATATGTTACACTGTCGCTCGTGTTAAACAAGTGCATGGGCATTATGTGGAACAGGGATGCTTCAGATTACGCGCCAAATTGGCGATGCTCTCGAGGGGCAGATTCTGACACAACACAACGTGAATACACCTTTTACATCAATTAACCGAGTACAATTAATGTCTGACAGCTCGTTGGGTGCCGAGGACTTTGATAGCAAAGGGTGGCCCGACCAAGCCACATTAGACGCAGGCAGACAGGGACGTACGGTTCGGCAAAGCTCACAAATAACCAAAATGCCCCGGGTTGGGAAGGATTACGTACAATCGATAGTCCTGCGGGTGTTTATTTCTTGAATCAGACAACACCCTTGTTTGGAATGTTTGAAGTTGTGTAAAAGGATGAGTGTTGGGTAAAATTTTCGTATATCAATCATATTATCGACAATGCCGCATCCCTATCGTCCGTCCCATTCTCAGTGCAACAGGATTTCACTACCGCTGGTTTGTTAATAGTAACGTGTTGGCCAAAACGCAGATTAGAGGTACAGAATTAGGTATAATCTAGCATATCAAATAAGCAAACGCTGCACTAAATTGTCTCTTGAACAAATCATAATAAAAAGACAGTGGATCACTAAATCAACTAAAACTAACCGATGTCTCCTTTTCTAGAGATCGCAACAATTGTCTGACATTTTCTTGCATTGTGTCTAGTTTTGCGGCATGCTCTACAACAATCTTTCTTTGATTAGGCTGACCTTCTTCGGTCGCCACTTCTCGACGATTCACCCTCTACCTGCCCAATAGGACTTATCTGATCAGCTACGTCCCTCCCTTCATCTAACACTACTACTCCTACTCTCTGCAGCCGGGCCCTCTTACCCTCCGTCGCCGGTTCAGCATGTCATTTGCCTGCCGAAGGACTCTAAGCTTAGCTCTCATTAACGCCACCAGATGCATATTTCCCTTCACTGCCTTCTTCAGAGATTTTATATCTTTTATAGCTGACTGTGGAGATTTGCTATAATGTCATCTGATTCATTATTGAATATACTTAAACTAGGTCTATGCCTTAAAATCCGTCTATAAACGCCAATTACGCAATGAAGCTCCGCCATGAGGGGACATGTATATAGCTCCTGAATAACCCAGTCTTCCAGGAATGGCACTCGGCATTGTGTCAATATGTTTGGTTAAATGGGCTTGCAAGATAGGGAAAGACAGTTCTCAGTGCGACTGTGTTAGATTATGTCGTTAAGGGAAATGGCCGCTTAACTCTTGGCTTCTTGTTTGACTTTAGTGATATGATAAAGCAGGTCTTGAATATTATGCTGCAGTCCCTTGCTTTCTAGTTTTAACAAGGCGGGGCGGTATATACGACAGCGTGCTTTTGATCTCCGTATCTGAAGACCATGAAGAGATTGTCAGACTGTTTTTAGACAAGGGGGCAGACATCTACCGGGTACGGTGGCGTGTACAGCAATTCTCTTCAGGCCACCGCGTATGGAGGCCATGAAGACGACACCATTTGATTTCGTCTTCTTATTTTATTCAACGCCAGGGGATATTGGCAATCCTAGCCCCTCGAAGGTCATGGGGCGTGCTGAAGACCATCTGGGTCTAGAGAGGCTGTGTATAGATAGAAACTATATAATAAACAATATATTCTTCACTAATAATTTTTATTCTTTCCTATCTATCAGTGTAGCAACTATCCTTGTCTCCGTTCAGCGTCTTAAACAAACTTTTAAGTTGCATCGAGACTTCACACCGATCTTTCTCGATACAGTCGATCCCCTCACGTTACAAATAATCGTCGAGCCAATCATAGAAAAGTTAAAAAGCAGGCAGTCGGGTGAACCCCGGCCGGGGCGTTTGTGGTAGTCAATACGAGTGGCATCATGATTCTGCAGGCCTCAGCAGTTGACAAGGGTAGATCAGAAAGATCACACTGGCCGGTTTTATTGAATGGTGGCTACTGTCGGGGATCGACCGAATCTCTATCAGTCCAGGAACACAAGAGGGTGTAGAGTGACAATCCAAGATCATTATCCGGTCAGCCTAATCAGCAGATAGGTGAGCCTAAACAGGTTGTATGTACCACATTGTATCACTTGGCGCCCATCAGCAATGCGGGGTTTGTTTCCATATATCACCTTCTCTGCCCTACCTCGCTAAGCTATGGCGTGACGAGGCGTTCTTGATATCGAATATTATTTGCTTATCAAGGAATCAAATCCTGTCTAGTGTCCCCTTTCTAAACTTTATCCCCGTTACATAGAGTGCGACTACGATTTGACATCGAAAAATCGCTTTTGAGCTTGCACGAAACCTTCCATCCGCCTTTTTCAGGACCCTATCCCCCCGATGAGGCTGCAGCGAAAGTCTTGGTCTGAGCTCCGACAAGTCTACCATTTGTCCGAGTTAAAGGCCCCTGCTGATGGAATTGAGTAAGCTCCTGTTTCTACGCTATCACTTCCTTGCCACCCGCATACCGCTATGATTACTTCACAGTGTTTAACGTGTATACAGTATAGTCGTAGTCCCCGGACTATGGGCCCAAGGCTGCCCCAAGAACGAAGAGAACAGCTGCTCGTGGCTCAAGCTTCTACTCGCCTCGACTGACCAGGACACCCGCGTATTCATCTTCACCTACGACATTGACTCGACCGGTGCTGAAGATGGACATGTTTGGCATCAACTGCTAGTTCTTGGGGGAAGTCTTCTCGACAATATCCGTCAAGCGAGGCCGGTTGATGTGAGGTCCCTAGATGAAGGTATCAGGAACGAGGCTAATTATCCTATGTTGTGTAGTATCACCGAAGACCCCTCTACTTTATATGCCATGGGCTAGGCGGCATCATTCTCAAGCGAGCCTTAAATCTGGCCCACCACGACTATCCCAACATCCACAACGCGCTGTCGGGCATTGTTTTTCTTGGAACACCGCACCTTTGTACGACCGAAGACGATCGTTGGGACAATTGGCGCAAGATACTACAGCTCTATCGCAAGGATGTCCCAAAGACAGTTCTCCGAAACGAAGATAAAGAGAGTCTGGCCTACGTCTGCGAACAATTCAGCGCCTTGAATCTACCAGTTCCAATTCTGTCCGTCTTCGAGTCCACAGAGACAAAGGTGCCTGCATCGGGATTGGGGTTTATTCGAAAGGGAGGTAGGCTGAATGTTAAGGTAAGATGCCGTAATATATGGCCTTAGGAAACAATATTCATATGAATCAGCTTGTCGATCGCGTTCACGCAGCCGTAAATACGACACACGAAGAGCTTGTACCAGCAGACTCGCCCCACTCTGGCTTGCCTGTTGTCATTCCTGGGACATCTCTATTTCAACGTATGATAAGGTTCATTCACAAGGCTCCACTGGAAGGTAAAAGCCTCGTTACCAAGGCCTTTGGAAAGCTCCAGATCAGTTATACTATCTCGTACACCGACACTGAGAGCCATTGTAGCCCTCCGAACGGCAGCCCTGAAAGGGACTCAAGCCCAGGAAGTTCAGTCACCGGGACCAGAACTGTTCTTCTACCCTGTCACATGCTTGGTCAAACTCGTAACCGTGGCTTCTTTGGGCAAAAGAGCATCTTAGAACAGATAGAAGAAGCTCTCAAGCTAGAAAATTTAACTGTAGACGACAATTCGGGGCATAGCAGTGGTGAAGAAGAAGAGCCTCTCCAGGCATTCGCCCTTTGTGGTATCGGGGGCTTGGGTAAGACCGAGATCGCCGTAGAGTTCGCTCACTCGCATAAGAGCGACTTTGATGCTATCTTTTGGGTCAACTCAGCAAGCACTGATAAACTCAATGGATGCTATCGCAATATGGCTGTTCAGCTTGGCCTTTCCGATGAAGCAGTAGCACTTCGGGAAGACCCAGAGTCGATCAGAGAGATTGTCAAAGCATGGCTTTCCAACCCTATTAAGACAATGGGAGCGGGGCAAGATTTGGGCTCGAAGGCTCGGTGGCTGATTGTGTTTGACAATGCTGATGACCCGGATATTCTGTCAGACTTCTGGCCATTAAATGGCCCTGGCTCCATCCTCATCACCAGCCGCAACCCCTTGGCGAAGCAGGATCCTCCAGGTTTCGCCAATTTGTTAGGCATCGACCTACCCTCTATGACACCTCAAGATGCTGGAGCATGGCTTCAGGGCCTTTCGCGTCGGGAAAAAGAACAGTCTGGTCGAGAAGTCTGTGAAACTATTGCTGAAAGAATGGGGGGACTTCCTCTGGCAATAGTGCAAATGGCATATCTGATCAGGACTAAACATCTGTCGTTGTCCGAGTTCTTGGAAAGCTATAATCATGATGCAAGAAGATTCCAAAGCGCACCAGTCAAAGGAATGACTCGGCAACAAACAGTTGCCTCAATATGGAACATAGAGAGCTTGACACCATCTGCCCTCGCCCTTCTCCGGATTCTCTCTGTGCTTGATCCTGACAACATTCCGGAAAATATGTTGATGGCGGGTGCGGACAAAGTCGATCTGGATGACTACCCCAAAGACAAGTTTGAGTACATGGACGCCAGGGCTGAACTGATACAGTCATCTCTAATCACGAGAAACATGGAACTTGGTTTTCTCAAGATCCACCGACTGGTCCAAGACGTCGTACGCGATCAGCTCGGCATAGCAGAGTTACGGTCAGTTTTTGATGCAGCAGTCGTGCTATTATCAACGGTTTGGCCATTCTTTGATGAAACAAATGAGCTTGGATCCGACCGACTGAGAAAGGTACAAGAGTACTTGCCTCATGCAGACACCTTGCAAGAACTGGTCAAGGAAAAGTCTCCAGAGAAACTGAAGCCGAACATTGCTGTTGCGTCACTGTTTAACGAAGCAGCGTGGTGAGTCTGACTAAATGTAAATAGAATGATCTGAAAGTACTGATTAGGCATCTCAGGTTTTTCATCCTTCAATCTTGGGGTTTTAACCTTAGAAGTGGCTTCGAATACGCACGCTTGTCACAGCAAATTCTCAACGCCAACAGCGAGGGACAAGACACAAACAGATACAGCTATCTGCTCACCAATAGCTACAGATACCAGGGAATTACCTCAATCTACATGTTGACGAAAGACGCAGTTCCATGCTGCAAAAAGTGGATCGAGTTGCTCGTGGACAGAATCCAGAAATACAAGGAACCTGTTGACATTAAGACACTTCCAATCTCGTACAACGAACTCGGAATCGCTTTGATGACCATCCCAGACACCAAGGAGGCGTTGAAGGCTTTCGAGACTTGTTGCGAAATGTTAGATCAACAGCGAAAGTCTGATAAACTCCCTTTTCCTTTTGCCTGGCAGCACAGAGGAACCGTCACAGCTTGGTCAGGGAACCCCGACGCTGGGTATGAGATACTGGCACCTATTCTGAAAGAAAGAGAGGATAAACTAGGGAAAGATAATACCGAGGGAATTGAGTAAGTTCCCGTACATCTGACTGGCCGCGGAACTGGCTGCTAACTCAACCCAGGGACGGTCATCTACTCACATATATGGGTAACATTCGACGATTACAAGGTCAAAGTGACTGGTACAACTTTGCGAAGCGTGGATTGTCAGTACTGCGTATCACTTGCGGCGAGAACGCAAGCTTCACCATCCAGGCCAGCTACAGACTTGCAAGAGCCCATTTCGAAAGGGCGGAATACGACGAAGCGATGTGAGTTTTGTCTTTACAAGTGATTTTATATCAAAGCTGACAAAATGATCCAGTGCCTTGTTAAGGAAGTGTGTGGCCTTCCCGGGCGACGTTCCATGGTACAAGGCAGACCTTGGGAGATATTGCTGGAAGTTGGGCCGCGCGCTTCAAGCATCAGGTAACAGCGGAAGTGAAACACGTGAGTTGCTTAAACGGTCCATGGATATTCGCCACGACTTGGTTCCAAATGATGATCGGGAAGAGGATGAGTTGACAGATTCGGATTGGGACGAACTGATCTACGTTCTATACCGTTGATTTTGTGGGAGGACTTTTATCCTGGTTGTTTCAAAGAGAGTGCGAGGCAATTTCGGTCCCTACCAGGACATTCCATACACATTCCCTTAACATTGGAATATATTCAAGATTGTCATTCAGTTTTATTTTGGTAGTCAATGCTCCCAAGGTTGAAAATGAGGCGTAGGAGGATTCGGAATTTGAGCATTCATTCACATATTATCTTAGAAATGTCGTAGTTCCAATAGTGACCGCTTATTAACGGCACAAGTCCAAACAAGGTCAGCTCTGAATGCCAAATGATTACGGATTATGCAGGTTAGCATAAACAATACAGGACTGTGAAAGGGTTGAAATTCTCAATCAGGCTGCCAAGTTAATATAGGTCATGGGATGATGAGTATGATGCAGGTGTCTAATCATGATTGGCCCTACATGTTGAGTATGGTTGTATAACACAAAAAGGACGCACAGCTGACTAGCCTAGACAACAGGATCTTACGTACTACAAAGGCTGTGCTGAGTGGCGTTTCTGAACATTTGACCAATGATTTCGGGTCTTTCTCAGCCTGATCTGCTTGAGTGTGTATTTTAGGCCTCGATCTCCCTCACATTCAAAACCGTTTTACCCGCCCTTGGCGTTATACAGAAATGGACCCGGCAAAATCATCAATAGCGTCACCTGAGGAGATGGGCACTCGGCGTCGTTCAGATCCAACATTCGTTAGATCGAGCACCTGGAACACAAGTTCAGCTCACCATGAAAGACGTCTCAGCCCTTCCTCAAGCCATGATAGTATGAATAAAATCCTGTTCCGATACTTTCACTCATCTATACTAACTGTTATATTCAAGTTTACAAGTCCAACTTGTCTACTTTTGTACCACGCAAAGACGGTCGTTCCTTGTTCTCAGGGCTTCACTATGAGGCACTTTCGAGGCTTTTTGATCAACCTAGTAACTCTACCATACCCAGCCCAGGCTCTCAGCCAAGACAGGCTGACTTTGCTGTACTGCACGAGCTACCACCTGTCTCGGGTGCACGGCGTCAGGTACACACGTTGACTGTACTCGATGAAATTGAGGAAACCCTACGCAAAACCAAAGTGAATAAGATGCTTTTCCTCCGCGGATATCCTGCGATTGAATGGCTTAGTCGGATAGGATCCTGTCTTGGATTAGACTACGAGTTCTTGTTCCAACACTTGGCTAACGGAACTCAAGTTAATCTGAGTGATATGTTTTGTCTGCCGCCCATTTCTGTGATCGGCACAGGGACAATACAGTTGACATTTACGAGCATTGGATTGTGGGATAACCACAAGTCTGGTTCAAGCTTGGAGAGGGCTCGTACGGATCTAGCGAAAGAAATGAAGTCCTTTATAGATGATGTGAACATGGGACGTAGGATAGCGCCGTGTGGTACAATGGTTCGCAGTTTTTCAGTTCACGATCTCAAACACTTTTCTATCGAACAGCAGCTCACCATCAAGTTGCTTCAGTTCCAAAGCCACTGGACAAGTAAGTTCTTGTGTACAACAGTTAACAGTCGCCCATGTTCCACTCTATTTTGACTTCGTTATAACTAACTCTGATGACTTACTTAGTTGTTGTATGGTCAGACTGCGGCACCAGTTTAAGTCAAAGCCATCGCGGTCCTTGGAAACAGATCAGAGACTCGCATGCAGGAGCTGTTCGCTTTATCAGCTGGCCTCTTGACTTCACCAATCGACAGATCAGGCACATCATCAAGTCAACACAAGAGGAATCAGTTGATGCAGCTGAGAAGGACCAAGAAGTTGCACGTGATCCCCTGGAAGCGGGGCTTTCACTACTTTGTGACGAACTCGGCCAGAACGAAGACAGCACAGAGACTATGGCTAGTAACGCCTCCCCTTTTCATGCACTCAACACAGTCTTCCTTCTCCTGGCAGTATCTGAATATCAATTTCTAAACCTCATGGAAGAGAAAACGGAAAACTTTGGTAAAGACGCCAATCACGGGATTGGTGAGATTCAAAGAATCAAGAAACAGGTCGACGCTCATCTTGAACGACTACAAGATGTACTGGATGTCATAAAAAACCGAGGAGGTCGCGGTTGGTCATTGGTGAGCCAACAACCACATTCCACTCCCAGCCCCCACAGTGAGGAACATAGCGATGAGCAAATACAGCGCCGGGAGAGTTCCCTTAGCACCTCGTATCAGCCGCAGCACCACAGAGAAGAGGCTTCACAGCATAGGAATAAGAAGAACGGCGCAAAAGCAAAAGCAGACGATGCCGCTATTTGTCTCGAGCGCAAGTTTGAGAAGCTCATCCGCCGTGCCCAAGCCGTTTCATCTGGCTGCCAAGATGAAATGGAAAAACTATCAAACGAGTCCGTCGTTCGCGAGGCACAACGTGGAAAAGAGCAAGCCGAAGCGGTAGCTAAGGTAACATTTATTGCTGCCCTTTTTGTGCCATTAGCCTTTACTACGTCAATCTTTGGAATGGATCTTCAGCAACTCAACGGCTCTGGAGCTGATATAACAACGTGGATATATGTGGTTGTGCCTGTAATGATAGTTAGTGTGGTAGCATGGGCTGTTAATGGAGAGCGCATAACAAGAGTGTGGCAGTGGATAAGACGGCATATTGTGCATGAGTGTAAGGGCTTGAAAGGGAATGAAAATCAAAAGGAACCCGTTTGATGTTTCACGTATTGAAAACGGGTAAAGCATTATCAAAACTATTATCAATGTAGAACACTATTTGATATTATCATTGCAGAATACTCCTACGCAACGAAACGCAAGAAAGAAGAATATAGACTAGTTTCTTAACTTACAACGGTATTACATGCTGTGGATGAAGGACTCTGTGGTGGCCCCTACCTCGGTAGGGGAGCAGAGAGATGGGCCGCCAAGCGAAAAGTCTGTGCAAAGCTAGTATATGGAAGATTGCGGCATACCACTGAAAAGCAAACAGTGAAGCTTGACGTGGTTCCGATACTCTTATACCGACTGGCGGTAAGTGAGCCTTGGCCTGTCAGTCATGAAAGCTGGGAAACCACATACCGTGATTACTGGTGGGGCGCGAATTAACATGACTATCTGAGTCAGTTATGGGTGGTTAGAAGGCTCCAGGGTTAGCCTCATAAGGAACTTTGGGTCTTTATTATAATATCTCCAGAACCAACAGCATATCAAGGATCCAAAAAAAAAAAAAAATCGCGCATATCACATCCCAGCTAACACAAAGTCTTCGCACCAGCCGGTTTGATATCTTCGTTCCGCAAGTAGATGGTATGGTTCTATCGGCTTTATTACTGCCTCGGAACTCACCCGTCGACTTGACAATTCTGTCGTCGCTTCTTACTAGCCCTGCTTGTTCCTCTCCGAGCGTATAGGCCTAGTGATGTCCACAGCTTTAATGTCACAACAATACAGTAATTCCGAGCGGGCACCATCGTTTTGCCCGCGAATCGGAAGACACCCAAGTCTCAAATCCTTAACCCCGGTCATCATCACCTCGCCTTCGCATTTCGCATTTCGCCTGGCGTATCCTTGCGAAATGCCCAGCGAGAGAAGAGAAAACTACATAGATTTCTGCAAATCAAAGGTGTCGCGTAAGCTTGCCCTTTGTCCGGGGCCAAAAGGTTCCATTTCCGGGAACAGGGTGTGTTAAGCGAGTATCCTCTGTTCAGGATCTGATAACTAGATGCTATTGGGCAGAAACTGGTCTGTTTTTTACTTGGAAATATCGTTTCTGGTAACAGATGCGGGAATAAGAGGAAAGTTGTATGGAGTTACTAGGAAGCGGTTGGATCGCCAATTTATGGGGCAGGGCTTCTGCCAGCATGGCCTTGATACATTATGTTTACGTTGCACCAAAGCTCTAATGCGCTGTTTTCCCTCCCGGTCAACACTCTACAACTCTCATACCCACATCATTCAACAGAGCCGTGGATATGGACAGAACCGACACGGTGTCGCCGATCGCTGGCGAGACAAACTTACGAAACACACCAGAAGTTACTTCCGAATCGGTGCCTTCCACGATGCCTAGCCAGGGAGAATTGGAGCTCGTTGCAGTACAAGTAAGTGCCCGCTCGAACCCGAGTTGTTGATTTTCTGATCAGGAAATGAGCTTTAGGAAGAAAGTGAAGAGGGCGACGGTGACTCGGCACTCGGAGACGGTGTGTAAGCGCTTCATTCGTCTGTTCATTTCCCTTTCTAAGACGGCTATTAACGCATGAATCTAGTGCAAGCTCAACCGCATCCATTACATCTAGTATTCTTGAGTATCGAAAGTTTCAGGGTCGAACCTTCCACAGTGAGAAGTACGATACCGAGTATTTCGCACCAAATGATGAGCAGCAGAGGGAGTCTATTGATATCTCGTAAGGCAAACTCTGTGCAATATACATCCAATCGGGTTTCTAAAATTGACAAGGCATCATTATCTCCTACTCCTTCTCGACGGCAAGCTCTCGCTAGCGCATTTGAACAACGATCTGGAGGCTAGTCATCAAATCTGCTTCCACAGATGTCTAGAACTAACAGTATGCAGAAAGTCCTCGATATAGGAACCGGAACTGGTAAGTGACACATGGGATAACGCACAGTATGCAAGCAGCTAAAGAGAAAACAGGCATATGGGCAATGTACGAACAAATGTTGCGTTTCAAAACACAATTGTAAGATGCTAATATCATAAAGTGATTTTGCCGACCAATACCCTAATGCCGAGGTTATCGGTACAGATCTATCTCCAATCCAACCAAGTTGGGTACCACCAAACGTCAAGTTTGATCTTGAGGATGCAACCCGTGACTGGAGTTGGTCTGAGAACAGCTTCGACTTTGTCCATATGCGTTATCTTATTGGTGCGATTTCTGATTGGGGTGTACTATTTAAGGAAGCGTTCCGTTGTTGTAAACCCGGCGGCTCAATCGAATCCGTCGAGGTCAATCCCCTTTTCCTCAGCGATGATGAGACCATCAGCAATGCAACGGCAATATAAACATGGAACAAGCTTTTCAAAGAGGCTAGCAAAGCTTTCGGCCGCAGTTTCTGCGAGATTGAAGGAGACGTGCAGCTGCTCGCTGCTGCTGGATTTGTTGACCTTCAAGTAACTGACTTCAAGGTACTGTTCTCTTGTACAAACTTTTGGGACTTTTGTATCTCACATCACATAGGTTCCTGTTGGTGGGTGGGCTAAGGATCCCAAGTTGCGTGAAGTCGGTCAGTTTCTTCGCGCAACGATGGAAGCTGATCTTGAGGGTAAGCGAATCATCGGTTCTAACCTTTATGCAATCGTTGCAGCCTTCTAAGAGTATACAGGATACACCCTCATGGCGTGGCAACAGATTCTAGGATGGCCCAAGGAGGATTATCAACTGTTCGTAATGAATATGCGAAAATCCCTGAGGGACAAGAGAGTTCATGGTTACATACGTGTTCGATTCATAAACGCCCGCAAACTAGAAGTTGTTTAGTGAATGTAATTACGATGAAACGAGTTTCATTGCCTCAGCATAGCCTTTCCTATTGCCTCCGTAATTACCAAACTTGGTTATAATATTATGAGAGGATTATCTATCTCGTTCGGTCAGTTCTATGTTAAGTTGCTATCGGTAATCCAAAGTGTATACTCAAGGAGTGTATATGCTACACTTGTTTTCTACTTCATCGGTTCGTTTGATGTGTGATACTTTGTTTTAAATTGCAATCTTGATGGCCAGCAAATTGTTTGTTCGATATTGTTCAGGGCGATTGGTAAATCATCTTTTTCAGACATAGGAATAGCAACGAGTGCAATATATAATAGCATCGGGAGTGGGATGCCGAGTGGGATAATAATTATAGAAACCTACAAGAGTGGGATGCCTGTTGTATATCAGCGGAATGCTTATAAAAAGAAACTGGCAGTGGGATATGCTTACAACTCTATATCATAAGGGTTTTACTGCACTTCAAAAAGCCTTGGCTAAGAAAGCTATAAACAGTTAGGAATTTTAGTGTTCAAATAATCGAAATACTCCAGTGACTCGAATGTCGCCCAACACACAGTTCGCAATACATGTAATTCATCAGTATCATGCTTCTCAGTAATCTCTCAATCTTTTTATTTGTCGCTTGCGGTACATCGTACACAGCGTCTGAACCTCACACTCATCACTATAAGGAAAATCAGACCCCGGCCAATCAGCAAACCTACATTAAGCCGCTGCCATGTAATGCCATCATTCCAGCACCTTCCGAGCAAATCACCAGTCAACGATTCCACCAATTTGTTTACGACTTCGTCGTTAGGAAGGATTTAAGCGGAGCTTTCTCTCTAATATCCTCCAACTATAGAGTACGTAGAAAAGTTCATATTGATTCGATCGAGTTATCTTTGTCTTGCTTAGTTGACTGACTGATAAACAGAATCATCACCCTGGTGTAGAGGATGGCCCCGATGCAGTCTGGGAGTTTTTATCCCCAATCTGGCCCGATACCACCTTTCAGCTCCGTCGAACTATGTTCAAAGGCAACTTTGGCTGGCTGAACTACCACTCTTCTACTGCTGGAGAAATCATTGACAAGTTCCGATGGGAGAATGGTTGTATTGTTGAGCATGTAAGTTTACGTACGTCTGGAATAAAATACCTTACTAATGTAAATCCTCTTTGAAAGTGGGATGATGGAGAGGTCTGGCCTGCTGCAATAGTACATGAAGAACTCTAGTAAAGTTCTTTTTTCACCCCACTTAATTGGGGTAGAGTTAATTTTTATAACCTTCAATTTAAGAGTAAGGCCAATTAGCAATACAGTGAAGTAGTTCAGCAAGTACAACTAAAACGTACAATCCAGACCCCTAGTAGTTAGCACAATTAATTGCAGTAAATTTGGTTTTTGTAGGTAAATTAAGATCTGTTCTAGCTACGCGGCGAATTCAGAGTGCAAAAAAAGAGATGTCTTAGGCCGAATCATTTCAAATTGAGTTCGAATATAGCAACAATTCGGCGAGGAGCTGGAACATCGCTGAGCTTATGCGGAGACAACCATGTCTGTCTCGCATGTTAAGTGTCTATCGACATCCATATTCGCATAAATGTGGTGTCTGTTCCCTGAGAGAAGCGGCAACTAGCTCACTACGAGCAGAGACGGATTTGTAATGACTGTCCTTCCGATGGCCAGTGGAGCGCGCACGAGCGTGGAATGGGCTGAGTAACAACCAATTTGTTTTCGTCTTAAACAAGCCTAAAGGAAGGAAGCGCAATAATGCTTAGCAACTACCGCTATTAACGGCTTGGCAAGACTCGGGACTTACACATATCCCACCGGAAGATGACGTAACTTCGATCAATGCATCTTCGCTCTAATATCATTGATGACAAAGCTTCCCTTGAGACCACTGTTACTGAATGCCAGCCTCACACATGCTGATAGATAATACCACAAAGAAAACTTAGACTGAATAGCTGAAGCCGCGTAATGCCAGATATAAATGATCTGGGACGGGGAATTGAGAAAATCATATATACTCCAGTCAAATTCTCTAGCCCTGACTGACTTTCGGTGGGAACATCTCATCAGCCGAAACACCTTCACTTCCTGCCTTAAATACATCTCGATCACTACTACGGTCATCCGAGCGATCGAGCTCAGACATAACAATCAAAGGAATCAAGAAAAACCATGCACAGCCAGCCAAGATCAGCGACGGAGACCGTCCCCAATCGCTCATGGGGTGCCACAATCCTCTTCACGACTGTATTCCTCGCAATATCGGGCGCCGCCAGCTGGTACCAGTTCGTGTTTTCGCCCTCTTCAACATCTTACCAGGTTTTGGACGCCGTAATCAAGAGTGCGGAGCTGCCTGATGGTGTGCTGCTCAAGACAAGATGGTTAAATGTCAAACCCATCGACCACGTACTTACTCTTCTGGTCGGGGCCTTCTACCCGGGCGCTGTTGGTTACGATGTCGGCGCCAAGCTGCAGCAGTCCCAGTTTTTGCTGAGCTATTCGACGTGCATCGCGTTTCTCACTGTCGAAAGCTTAAGGGTCCGCAATCGGTGGACTTTGCTTGGCTTGTAAGTGCACAATTTTTCTTCCTTCCTTGAATCCACATTCTCTGGTTTCTCATAATATTTTAATTGGCTGATTGAGATAAATACGAATTAGCCATACTATCTGGGCGTTCCTTTACCAGATAGTGACTGGCATGGTCACTCTCCCACCGGTCTTCATACTTCGACCGAAATCTCGAAGTCCCGAGCTCCATTGCCCGGGCGCTGGCCCCTTCAATGATATTCATCTACATCATCCCGACGATACTTATGTATCCCCCTTGCCCCAATCCAAAGTACAACCAGATCGCCGTGGCCTTCTGGCAACCTACACCAATCTCCATAGATCTAGGCGTCTATGTGCTAGACCTAACAGTATTCCGTGGATCATCATCGTCGCTGTCTAAGACAAACACCGCTACAACAGGTCTAGCTAGCACAAAGCACATAACCAATCTTTACAAAGTCACGTTCGTCGTGAGCGCCATGGCACACCTCACCACCATTTACATCCTTTTTACCACTACTGGCAACCTACAGCTGACCTTTGACCACGTCTTGGTGCCCAAGCTTGACCTTGAAACAATACAAGACTTCTCTACGGGCATGCACCGCATTTTCCAGTGGGACTACTGGCTTATCTTTGTCTCCGCGATCATCTGGTCGTGGCTGGGCGTCTATGACATATCAAAGATGCAGAAAGCAGATAGTGTCTTGACAAAGTGCCTTGGGATTGTAGCAGCTGCTATTATAGTTGACCCCGGCGCCACTCTGGCTTACTTTGGCATTTGGAGAGAGAATGAACTTTCTGCTATTATTAGAAAGCAATCGGTTTTGAAAGATAAGAAGAAATAAGATATATTATATTAGCGAAACCTTTTCCTTTAGGGTAAGAAACTGATAGATTATCTTCAAAGAGCGGGGCAAGAGAAGCTTTCGAAGACGCCTTCATAGTGTTGTTTAAGCGGATCAATTCTCTATCTGTCCTTGCTGCCAGCTATCCTTGTCAGGCAAGTACAATAACTCAGCGTATACCATCCAATCGTGTCTGTTCGCCGTTTGTATCGGGGGGCGGGGGGGCTTGCGACAGTTGAAATTTCTAGAACACAGTATTGACGTGACGTCCGATACCGCTTGAGAATGCTCCTCGGTGTTCAGTCCCAGATTTGATAGTGGATATTGAGGCCGCCCCGCCGAAGGACCTCGAGCTATGCCTTATGAGGCTTCTCGCGAGACTTGCCCTTGAGATACCTTGTTTCTACAAAGAAGTGCTTAACGTCATGCTTTCTACCGTATTTGTATTTTCACTGCCCCAGCATATAACGCTAGGATTATAGAAAGCTTCCATAGTAGACTTAATAGTTAATAGTATAGTATTAGTAAAAGGCATCGATACGCATGGGTATATTGGGAGTGCTCTTTTACCTGGCATTATAAGCTTACTTGACTAAGTCAAATAAGGCACACTCCGCCACCGTCTAACGAAGGATTCGAAGGACGAGCTCCATGGCAAGAGAATAATCCCTCACGCTTACCTGTCACCCTTACTAGCCCCCTTGGCAGTAAGAACTATACACAGGTGCCCATGAAAGTGACCCTGTATGACATACTAGATGCTCTACTGATTGATATGATTCTGGACTGTGATTGGTTTAAGTACGGACTGAGAGGACATGATAGTCATGGCAATTTCATAGCTACTGGAAGTACCGTTTATCAGATTATCAACTGATCATCTTGTCAGACATTGTTGCTCTTTTGCATTCCGCCACCAAGAAAAAGCCGAAGAAAATCTGTTTTGTGTATATAAAGGCCGCACACTCCCCTCCTCAAAACCGTCTCATCATACTCATCAACGATCACTTCATCTCAATTCATTCGCTCTCACAATGAAGTTCTTCTCTGTTATTTTCGCCCTTGTCTCGGCCTCTGTTGCCATGGCTAGTGCTCTCCCCGAGCTCGACATCCCCGGGAAGCTTGTTACACGAGCTGAGTTTGAGCTTGCCAAGCGCCAGGCTGGATGTTCTGCCTGTGTTCAGGGCATCCGATGCTGCAATGGTGCCTGCATCCGAGGCTGCTAGATCGTCAGTCATTATGCCGAAGGTCAATTGCGTGAGTAAGTTGAATGTGTCGCCTCTTTTAGTGATAGTACTAAGTATTGAAGGGTGCGACTAGATGTTCAACAGCTACTGGATGATCATATTACAACAGAATGGATATAGGGGTCTCAATCGGGAAATTATGCCTTTGGGATAACTTTGTTCAAGATATATAGCAAAGTCTAAATATTCTTGAGTATCTAAATTATGAATATAATCTAACTGTTCTAAATTCGATGCATTCTTGCGCTGCCATTAACGCGCATTCTTTTTACTACTACTTAAGATGATGGTCGGGGTGATTGCGTAGCTGAAGAACTTGGGGCAAACAATTGTTCCTATCTTGGCTTGGAGCTCATAGTCCAAACTATGTGAGGATTTAAAATTTGCTTAACAGCTTCTGAATATAAAGAAGTCGGTTTTAATGTTAAGAAATAGCATGGTTTCTTTTCCAGTTCGGTGGCATTATAACATAATGTCGGCATAATTTCCCTCCAATCTGTAACGCAGCGATGTTTATACTATGTATAACTCCTTCTCAAGATAAAAGCCATGGGATTAAACGCAGAAGAACTTACCCGGCTTTAAGCTAACTGTTACGACCCTAGCGGTTATGTCACGTGTACCCTATAAATTCCATGCAACTTGACCCACTTAATCGTGAACTCGCTTCCCGAGTTTACCAGACCAATCACAAGTAGATTACGCTTACATAGGATTACTATACTCCAAGAGCACCTATAATCCAGGATTACTGCAATCCCTAGACCTAAGCGATCCCTTAAGGATCTCTTAAGTATATACATATATTCACTTAGTATTAGTTAGTATACTTAGCTTAATAGCTATTAATAAACTATCTTTACTTAAATATGCCTTACCCGCTCTATTTACTATTAAGAGATATAACACTTCGCTATACTTAGTATTATAATGCCCTATATATCTGCCAACATAAACCTAGTATAGACTAGTTTATCCCTTGGGAACCACAACTATCACATTAAGGTTAGGGTTATAAGGGGAGTTATTAATAGAAGATTCATCTAAATGAATTATCTAATCCAGTAATTAGTATAATATAAGCATAGACTTTAAATGGATATATAGCGACTAATTCTTTAACTCTCGGTAACCACTTTTATGCGAATCATCGTCTAAGAGAAGCATATTTAAATAATATATAGGGTCTCTCTATTGCCTTCTATTTGCGCTTATAGTAAAAGGATACGGCGTTTTTCAGAGTCTAAAGGCATATTAATTCCTGCAACTCGGATAAGAGATCCTTCCACTTAATAAAGGGATCTCGGCGAATAATATGCATAATATACTGTCCTTAGGCACAGTTAAGCTTCTTAGGAGCACCTTTTCGAGACTCATTTTATATAGTTACTGTCTAGGTAAATCTCTTCTCAATAGCCCCGATGCATTTATAATCTATCTCTAACTTTAGCGCGACTGCGCGCTATAAGATACCCGCGATTCGCATACCAATTATCGCGCCTTTCGCCTCAATGCTCCATTCGATATTTCTGGTGTGATTTCTAACTAGAATATCAGTAAGCTCATCAGATTTAGACTCCATTTAGACATAATATTACTGCTTTATTATGCAGGGGTATCGGTGTTATGTCGAGGAGACGGGCGGGGAATGTCCGAAGTGAGGGGACATTTATTAGTCATCACTGTAATTGGTGAAAATTATAGGGTACACGTGACATAACCGCTGAGGTCGTAATACTCCTATTACTTTAAAATGTTAATCAGCCAGTCTTAAGCATTCTAAAGCGAAAAGGCTTAGATTAAAGAGCTCAATGCAATGCAAGGCAGAGCTCCATTAATAAGACCGCCGCTGGCCTGCAAGATGTTAGCTTTTTCATAGGGTCTATTGGAGGAAATGACTTTAAAGTAGAGGGACTGTTCTGGCAGCAAGTAACATTGCCACCGAACTTCTTTCCCAGAAGGCCAACAAGGATACCGACAACGTTGAGACTGAGATCAGAGCATCCATCGAAGAGGGTCAAATCGTTAAGGATAACCGAGCCCTGTCCCGCAGCATTTCCAGCAGGCTTGTTAGAAACCTTGTTGCAGCATTGGACGGTCATGTCATTGCCACAGGTATTCTGGGCTTGGGAGACAGTGAGCTCGTCAACAGAACAGTGCCGGTTACCCTTGCACTTCGAAGCAGCAGCGACTGAGATAAAGAAAGTGATGACAGTTAAGGGATGCATCTTGAAAGATTGATAGGTAGAAAGATTATTGGAAGTTAAGAAACCTTTGGAAAAGTTGCCTAAGTTGAAAATTGTAATATAAACGATTGGAATCTGATGAGTGATGTTGTAGAATGGTCCAATACTTAGAGGATCTTCCCAATGTTTTATAGCTCAGAGAATAACGAGGTTGTTCAAATCGTCTATGGGCAAAAACTACAGTAGTCGGCTTGAGATAACCGAATGTCTCAAAATTGTATCTTTGATACACATGTTCTTGCATACAGATACTGGCCATGTGGGGCAAACATGTGCGATACGATATAACAATACATCCCTTACAGCGAATAGTCTAGGAACGGTTCCTAAGACACAGGACGCTGCATTAGCTCAAGAATAGCTATGACATATCTCTATTAGTCCCTAGGACTTAGCGAAAATGATAAGTAAACTCTTCTTTTGGACCTAAGTTAGCAGGTCTAATCTTAGATCCCTGGCATATTCCCAGTGAGGCAGTCCCATTTTAAATAATATGTTAAGCAGTATGGTTAATTAAAATAAAGTAATCTATTGCCTATAACTAATTTTTATAAATAATTTCACAATGACGATAAGAATTACAGATTTATTTAGAAGTATACTATCAGTTATAAGATTACAGATGTCTAAGAAACTGTAGTAAAGACCTAGGACAAGATGTAATCCCTAGTGACTGTGCAAAGGGGAAATGATGGACTGGAACAATATAGCGCACTCTTTTAGGTTTAGTCTCTTGGCACTGCACTTGCAAATTTCCACTAATATGGGCATATCTCGAAGTTTAATAGCTCCATGCAAATTCCCACTATTATCTCTCGCCCCAGTAAAATCTCTAATACTCAGTCCAGGACTAACTTAAAAGAATCCTCGGTAGAATTATAGTTAAATATACTTTGAGGATCTTCAAAGAAATAGATGAATCTTTATTTTTCCTACAAGTTTTAACCGGTCAAGCGCCAGTTAGTAGAAAGCACAGAGAATATTAAGATATATTTTAGCGCGATCCTGGAAAAGTACAGCGATCTGATTAGGAAGCTTGTCAAGTAGCAGTAACGTGGAATAAAACTCCGTGCCTCAAGTGTAGTTCGAGACATGGAGTAGTCGGACTAGACAGGTGGGAGATCCAAGCATTCCCATGGTAATCTATATCGCCATGCCACACTAGCATAGAAGAACACGGCAGACACGTCAATGGATCTTAATTGCCATTCCCCTCCCCCAAACACGAAAGTATTTGGTTACTCAGGTTTCTGACCATAAACAACATAGCTATCCATATATTAGTCATCATGTACAAAACATATATCAGCATAACTTACATAGGCCAGTATGCGTGGATGCTCTTATCCTTGAGCTCGCGGCGAACCTTGGCAAGTAAAACTTCAAGTTCTTCTTTCGTCCACCCGAGCACACGGGTATAGACAGCAGAACTGAGGCCATCAAGACCAGAGCTTATGTTTTCGAGATTCCAGGCCCCTATTTTTGATTAGTATAACATACGCCATCCACATAATCCCTCTCCCCTTATGTTGAAACTTACCAAGCTCTTTGTGCTTGGAGTCTTTGGGCCAAGTATTCTGAGGCCACTTAAAGACTGTCTGCTGGACATTTTGGAAGCCTTGTGCTTCAAGCTGCTCCTTGTACTTGTCAGCTCCATCAAATGGTCGCCCAATCGCCTTGGTTCCTTCAAGCAACTTAGTCGCCCATTCATATGTCGCTGAGTTCTTTCTCAATGTTCCATCATCGCTAGTAATGGGGTAGATGTCGGCTAGTTCAATCCAGCCACCCGGAGCAAGGTTTTCATAGGCTTTCGAGAAGAAACCAGGCCAGTCGGCGAACGAGGCTGTCATCATACGACTATAGATGAAGTCAAACTTGACGTTGAATGTCCAAGGTTCTTCGATATCATCCACCTGAAAGCTCAAGTTGGGAGGGACAAATGGACTCTGGATGGGGCTAAGATCTACACCGATAACCGATGCACTGGGATTCTCGTCTGCAAAGTCCATGGCCCAGAGGCCAGTACCAGTTCCGACATCAAGAACGTGGTGCAATTGGTGACCATTTCGCCCAGCTGGTGAGAGATACAACTTGTTTTCAAAGGTAACGAGGAATAAATGATGTTGCAAGTCAAGCCTATCCTGCTCGCGCTCGTCATTTGGCATTACATACTGGCCGTCCTTGTAGGCATGATATGTTCGACCGTTCTCTTGTCGATATTGTAGAATGCTGGAGGTAACGGACGATGTAGAACCTTCCTCATCCGTCTGGAGAAACGAGTCTTGGTCGCTATCATTTGTGTCAATTTCATCAACTTCAAGAACCGCAGTCCTGGCAGGTGGAGCAGATTCTAGTTCAGGTGAAGTCATTGCGGAGATATTAAAAATATTTACCAGAGGAATTATCTTGGAGAGCCAGGGCTGAGGGTTGAATGAATGGCGGTCAATATGTCCTGAGTGCCTCAAGTTAAAAATAAAATAAAAACACGTGCGGCCCCCGCCGCAACTTTGGCCTAAATACCGCACATTCGGAAGTTGCCCTCGCTAGGATGGGCTGACGAACTTCTCATTGATCCATCAATAATCGGCTGTTTAGCCTCTATGGGTAAGGTCGCCCGTCTCTTCCATGTCACGGATCAATATTGATACACTCTATCACCTTCCAAAGGGGTATCTAGTGGAGAAGATTGGAATAAATCCCATAAGCTAAATTTTCTCCTGTATAAAACATGGTCTAGGGTCGGGGAATCCGGGGAATCCGGGGGCCCGAAAGCCCGTGAAGCCTTGTTTAGGTTTGAACTAGCGCTACTGTTGTTCTAACAGATGTCAAGACTCAATGATATCTTTGCACCAGCTACTTCAATTCAAGAATTAGATGCATACGATAAAACAGATAAGCTACAACCAGGCAAATTGCTTACCTAAGAATCCATGCATATCTAGATCCAATACCTCCAGCAAGAAAAAAGAAAAGCGGGCAGTGCACTTGTTTCGTCGGAGCGCAAAAGAGTACAGAACTGTGTATTGCAGCGGTATCTGCGTCGAAGGAACCTCACATATATACGCAAACTTCCAGAGGCTATTGATTTACTACAAAAGGTATCCACTGGCACCGACACCCAAATTGAAAATGATCGCTATTCTGTCCTCCTTGATGCACACCTCAAGCTGATCGCCGTAAATCACAGACTTGAGGTAGCCTTGCTTCGGCTAAGCAAGAAACTTATCAGCTTCAGCCAATCAGCCACTGCCGCCGCTGGCGAGTGCATATAACTATAGCCAGGCTATTTTCTCGTCTTGAGATTAACGTCGATGTAGATGACGAGTTTTTAACTCCGTACTGCACCGGTGTGATACTAATGATTCGGGTGGTGCACAAGCACAACACCTTGAGTCAAGCACTGAAGTTTTGATTGATGAATCCACCTCGATCCTTGATACCTTGACTAATCCCCCGTCCTTTCCCATCATTCACGAGTATGTGGCTTACCAGGCAGACATGTTCGAGGACCCATTATTCTCCCTGGGTATATCTAAGAACTTAAACAGGACATTAGACCACGGAAGCCTGAAACGAATGACGTCTAGACTAATTCACCGCCTTGCCGTACACCCCGCATTATCTACCCGTTATTAAAGCCTGCACTTTCATATTGCTCTATATTTATTAAATTAAATCCGTTTTTTTTAATAGTGATAAATTTATAGCTATTAGATTATAGATATAGGATCTTTTATACTATTAATAATATTAAAATTTATAGTTTATAAGCTTTAGTATAAAAATACTTTATTAAGCTCTTAATATTAAAGGATTAATATATTAAAGCCTATAATAATAGTATTATATATTAAAAAGAATTATTATTAATACTTAAGTAAAAGGAAGACTTAGAAAATTATATATTATTAAGAGAGAAAAGGCATATTAGCCTCTTAAATAGTCTAAAATATATAGTTTTATTAAGTAGTTATTTAAGGTTAATAGTATAGTATTCTATATTAATAGAAACTAAGTAGACTAGTTCTTTATATAATATTTTATTATAGAAAAGAAGCTTATAAAAGTCTATAAACTATTTAAAAAATATACTATAATAAGGAAATCTATAATTAACTACTTTAAGGGACTTTAATAGGTTATTAATAGTAAAAATATTATATAGGATAGTATATAACTTAGGGAAACCCAGGCTAGTATAATAGCTAGGATAAATATAATACTATAATCTAAAGTTATTAAGACTAATAATTTAACTTAGATATCTTTATCTATTAATTTATAAATATATTTATATAAAAGATAATACTATTAAACCCCTCTTAATAGAGACTATTAAGTATAATATAAGTTATATATTATACTTAATATTATAATCCCGGCGGTTATATTATATATACTCTATAATCTTCCTCTAATTAATACTAAGCTTACTTATACTAGAGTAAGCCTTATTAAGCTTACTCATGCATATATAAAACCTACCCTATAGCTTACCTCTGATATTATAAGTATTATAATCCCAGCGGTTACTTTACATATACCCTATAATTTTCCTCTAATTAACACTAAGCTTACCTACACTAAAGTAAGCCTTATTAAGCTTACTTATTTATACATATAACCTACCCTATAGCTTACTACTAATATTATAAGCCTTTCTCTAAGGCTTATTACTATATAAGTAACCCTTTATATATATATATATTCATTTAGTATTAGTTAATATTCTTAGCTTAATAGCTATTACTAAAATATCTTTACTTAAATATACCTTACTTACTCTATTTACTATTAAGAGATATAATACTTTACTATACTTAGTATTATAATGCCCTATATATTTACTAATATAAACCTAGTATAGACTAGTTTATCCCTTAAGAACTATAATTATTATATACAGGGAAATATTAATCTTTAAAAATAATAAAAAGCTACTTAAAGTAATAGAATTATATTATTTTATAACTTTAATTATATTACAAGGTGTGACGGTTGGGTTTTCTAAGGGATAAACTAGTCCGTTCTAAGTTTATATTGGCAGAGTCGTAGGGCATGTAATACTGAATGATTATGAAGTATTACGTCTCTTAATAGTGAATAAGGCAGGTTAGGCGTATTCAGCTAAAGATGTTTTATTAATAGCTATCGAGCTAAGTATACTAACTAGTGCTAAGTAAATATATATATACTAATGTCTACTATGTTAGGAGCGACGATGAGTTAGGTCGTCGTCGGTCCTGGAGCGACGCGGTCCTGGAGCGCCGTCGGTCTATGTAAGTGTTAGTCTATCGTCGATTGGCCGATCTTGCGGTACGATGTGGGGAAGTGAAAAGTGAAAAAGTGGGGTACACGTGACGTAACCGCTCAGGTCGTAACACAAGGAAAATAACCTTAAGTAATTAATAATATAAATAATTAAATTTAATAGCTTAAAGAGGAAAAAGCTATTCTTAAAGCTTTATTAGTAATAGAGGAACCTATTAATAAAGTTATAATTAAATTTAACTTAAATATAGCTTTCCCTTTAATTAATAATATTTTTATAGTATATAATAAAGCTAGAAAGAATATAATATATAGATTAAGAGAAAAGGCTATAGAAAAAGGAAAATTAAAAAGTAAAAATAAAATATAAATATAATAAAAGTCAGCTAAATAGTATATTAAATCTAAATTAAATTAAACTACTATATGTAATTATAAAGTTATTTAAAGTATTTATTGCATTAGTAATATAATGCTGTTATGGGTATATAGAACGGGGGGGTATACAGCAAGGCAGTAAGTTAGTCTAGTACTTTAATGTGATGGTTGGGTTTTCCAAGGGATAAACTAGTCCGTTCTAAGTTTATATTGGCAGAGTCGTAGGGCATGTAATACTGAGCGGTTGCAAAGTGTTATATCTCTTAATAGTAAATAAGGCAGGTCAGGCGTATTTAGGTAAAGATATTTATTAATAGCTGGTAAGCTAAGTTCTATCTAATGCTTAAAGAGTATAGCTATTTATATTAGTCTAGAGGTATAAGGCAATAGGTATTATCGTTATACCAGTCTTAGACTGAGATACCAGGTCGTCGGTCCTGGACCGATGTAAAGTTATTCGGTCCTCGTCTAATTGGTCAGTGTTCAGGGACTGAGAGTTAATCTTTCGATCCTAATATAATTAGTATAAAGTGAGTGTTAAGGTGGGTTATATTAAAGTGGAATAGTGTGAAAGTGGGGTATATATAACCTGGTTATAATATGATCTCTCCCCTCCGTTAGGTCTTGTCCTCGAGACCTGCTTCTTACGTTGTTTATTTCCTGCGGTTAGTCCTTGTTTCCTGGTGAGTCCAATATGGACCTGCATTTATTTTTTCTGGTGGCTAATAATATATCTGGTTATATAGCGAAATTTAAGCATTAAAAGTCTTCTGAATCGGGAGCTCTTGCTATATATATTTAGGATTTTAGTGATTATATTATGCCTTATTCTAGGTGTTTTTATTGCAATTTGATTTACAAGGCAAAAGATAAGAAGTCTAATCGCTATAGTAACTATATTAAGGCAAAGGTAGTTTGCGATAGTTCTGGCGTTATGACTTTTCGTAGGTTATTTCCGTGTATTTTTATAGTGCCTGCTGAATTTTCTCTAGTTTCTTGAAATATAAAAGAGTAAAAGAAGGTTAAAGAAGATAAGCGTGCTGCTGAAGAGGCTCTCGAGGAGGCTATGGCTTATTTAGCTCGTATTTGCAAGATAAAACGTCGCCTTAAAGAGCAGGGTAATGCATTATTTATTTATGGGATGCAGTCCTTAGAGGATTGCGAAGTTCCTATTATTAACCAGGTTAAGTCTTTAACCGTAAGCGAGGTTCAGTCTTATAGTGCTTTTAATATAGTCAATTAGAACTCTGTATTTTCTAATATTCTATTTACTAATCTGATTTTTAAAGCTAATGGTGAAAGTTCTTTAGGAGTTACTAGGCATTAATTAGGTATTTTAGTAGTTCTTATATGTTTTCGTTTTCTAGGTAGTTTTTCTATTTTACTAAATATATTATTTATCTATTAATTTTTTATATATCTCTGATTTCTTTGACCTCATAGGTTTCTAGTCTATTAATTTCTTTAGGTTTATTGCCGATTTTAACTTTAATAGTATCAGCGGCTATTTTAAGAAATAAGATATAGTAAATTAAATAGAGTCTAATTTTTACTAGTAGCTCTAGTTTATAGATATCTTTCTTAACTTATTATTTGATTTTATATAGTCTGATAAACTTATAGTCCAGTTTATATAAAGGTCATTTTATTATAATATTTTTTATAGATAGGTAGACTATATCTCCCTCCTTAAAGGTTAATCCCTCTACCTTCTTGTTAT